CTAGTGGAAGTAATCGTTGCGATTGTTTGTTAAGGGGCGTCCAGACCGGATGAGCGAGCAAGAATTCGGGTATGTTATATAGGAACACTTAACTGGTGTGGACGGCTCTGCGATTGAGCGAATGATTGCTTGCCCGCGCTCGACGCTGTTCCACGCCGCGCCGTGTCGCTACATCAAAGAAAATTCGCGCTATTGCACGTTCGGTTTGACGGGATTTTGTTTTCCACGTTTGCGATCGAATATCAAAAATGGAATGGCCGAATGAAGTTGTTATAGAACTAATAGAGGAGTACAAAAATCGCCAAGACCTAAGGTTATAGCTAGCCTTCTAGGTGAAATTGCTTTTCGGTAATTGGTTTGGTTCTTTGGTTTTATTTTGGCTCTTTTCTCTTTATTTAGTACATCTTTTTGTATTGAACACATTGACTGTACTCTTCGTACACGCGAAAATAGACACCCAAAGCCAGGCGTTGCCGACTGTGTATACCAATACCAATTGTGTAAACCTATGTCATTATTCAGGGAATATGTTAGGCATTTATTCACATATAAATCTAAAAGTGCGTCTGTTATAAATAATATTAGCATACAAACGCGTAGCACAACTTTTTTTAATTTGGACATTGGAAATGGTTTTCTGTCATGATTTAATTTTATCTACGAAAAGGAAATGAGCTTTAAATAATTATCAAAAACTAATTATTATCTTTTTTGGACCATGTAAGAATTTTATTATTATGATTATATCAGAAAAAAACCATTTTATTTATCATTTTTCCCTAAATTATTTAAAATTGTGACTACGCGATGTATTTATTTACTTTTTATCAACAAATGGTGAAACATTCGACAAGCAGAAAGTCTATTTTAAATCTATGCAATCTGAGGTACTGACGTCACTGCGTCTTTGACTGCGTTATGAGCGCTCGAGGTGACTAATGAATATTTACTTTGATTTTAATGTTTTTTTTGGTTTTCACGTATCAATAATACAATATTAGCTAACTAAAGATGTATTTAAGCGGTTTGCTATTTTTTCAGACTTTAAAAAATGATTTGTAGAAAAAGCAATTTTTAAAGTGGATTGTGTACGTAAGTCGGTAATAATTTATGTTGCACCAGTGCTTAATTTTATAACAGATATATTTTATCATGAATTTGGAAAGGCTTTCATTTTCTATTTACATAAACAAAGTTCCAGACAAATGTATACACATATCACCGTATACTAAATCTGTAGGCAGTGGTATTACCGTTAGTTATCAAATGTAAACTCAAACTGTTAAATGTAAACAAATCCACATTCTAAAACTACAGAACTTTACGGTTTTATTTTCAATTTATTAGCCAATTTCGAGCGGACAACCGTTGGTTATGATTGACAGATAAACAATGCTTTAAACGTCAGTTGTCTATCGAAACGTCAGTTGTCTAACCGAAACTGACGTTTAAAGCATTGTTTATCTGTCAACCATAACCAACGGTGGTTCGCCTCGAAATTAACTTAGGCTCTGGCTTAGGTAAAGTCGTTCAACATTGACGAGTGGTGTGATGAAAATGTTACTTTTAGTTCCGTAGAAAAAAGTGTCAGTTGGTCAAATGACGATCGATGACATTTCCTATATAATTTTACATACAAAATGACGGCGATGTTTAAATCCAAGCCATCTCTGAAGCCCGTTTTTCGATCGTATCGTAATCGTAGAACACAAACCAAAATTTTGTGCTAGTCCTATAAAGCAAAGGCAGGAAAACTGTCAAAATTATAGTGAGTTTACTAACAGGGTGAGTTCAATAGGCATGCGATGTACAGATTTTGTCAACATGGAAAAAAAATGTTGCTGCAATTGTAAAATCCTTTGTTGCAAACTGTAATACAAGTTGTAACAATATCTATTTACTATTTTTTGTAGTTAAAAGTTGCAGAAGCAGTTCATTGTTTTGTAGAAGGTTTTAATATGGAAGTGTTTAGGGTCATAAACTAGCATCAGGGCCAGTCAACTGAGTCAACTGAGATATACGACCTTGAACGATCTTTTTTTGGGGTAGTAATTTCCTGGGGCGCTAGATGGCGTATTTTTATTTTAATTTCTCTAGTTGCCTAACAATTGCGTACAAAATTGTTTTTATAGTTGCCTATTAATTATGTTCTGTCATTGTTCTGTATGTCAAATCAGTTTTCCGTTTCCGGCTTCCTCCTTCCTCTCCAGTTGTATTTTGCAATTGAACGGAGATGTGCGTTTCGCTGTTTTCTGGTTGTTTGGCTGTGTTTTTTGCAATCTTATTTTACAATCGTGATTTTGTATTTTTGAATTTTTTTGAACTTTGTTTTGTGTTTGATTTTTAAGATCTTTATGAAAGGTAAGGTTTAAGTTAAAGGTCTTTGATTTATCTAACAATTTTATTTAATAATCCGAGAAAGTGAGGTTAGGTAACCTAACCAAGTCCAAATGTTCGTGAATTTTATTTTTTAACAATGTAATATTTACAACGCCATATATTTTTACAAAAAAAAATTGATCAACTCCATATTTTTGTACATAAACTCCACAATGTGATATTACACAATTGTTCAAGTCCATATGTAAAAAATACACGTAAATAAAACATTGTTTCTAATGGACGTCACTTTCTCTTGTATTCCAACGATATTTGTTATGTGTTCTTAAATCTGGTACTATAATAAATATTATACTTTTTAATCTGTTGTTTTATTTGTTTGTAAAATGTTTCATGGTATAATTTTCTGTAAATTAAAATAAATTATTTATTGTAGGTTTTTATGCACATAAAATGATATAAGCAAACCATTTAACACTTAACAATAGTTTAACCTGGTTTAACCTTTATATATAAATCCTTGTTTTTTACCATTTGACTTGTTTGCCAACTTGGTTGCAAGAGCTAACAATAGTTTAACCTGGTTTAACCTTTATATATAAATCCTTGTTTTTTACCATTTGACTTGTTTGCCAACTTGGGACCAATCAGATGACTACACATTATTTTGTAGAAATCTGATTGGCTCTAACTGGCGAACAAGTCAATACGTCTTGCTTAAAAATAAATTGCATCTATTTAAATTTGCCGCCACATTTGTTACTTTCCTGGGTGGCTAGATGGCGCCACTTCAATATACAGATTACAGATTTCTTTACAAATTTGAAACCGTTTTGAAACTAAAAAATGCATGGGAGTTAGCGTTCTTCTTTAGTGTGTTCTGTGACTAGCATATCCTGCTGTTCCTTAAAGATTGTTAGTAAAATGTAATCTGCATGTCGGAAATATTTCCGTTCCATTGTAGTAAAAATGACAACTTCGATCGGCAATTCTTAAATACTTTTGTATTAATAATTACTACAATACCACACAATACGCTCTTAACCAATATCACATATTGCAGAGAAAATTTTCGCATTTAGAAATCGATGCGTCGCGGACGACTCCAAATGACAGTCTCCTAGCCTGTTTTCTTACACTGTTTACAGTCACACTTATGCGTCTTATTTTTCCGAAATTCGGCAACAATTTGGCATACTGCACTTTTCCGGAACATCCCCTTTGGACGCATGCACAACATGTAGCGCACTGAATTGATGTATGATTTGCTTTTACAGTATGATCACAAATTCAACACGTTCATATACACGTTCGCCATATTTTCTCTCTCCCCTATTGAAGACTTGTCACAACCTGCCCGACAACGGTTTCAATTAGTACGCCAACGATAAGCAAATTTTACTGCAATTTTTTGTAGTACTAGTTTTTATTCACTTTTAAAATGATTGTTGCAAGAGCTTGTTTACAAATATATAAGACTCATTGCTGCAACAAAAGCTGAATTTTTGATTAAACTAAGTAACAACAGCTTCTGCTTCTTCGGCTTCTGCTCGATTTTTTTCCGTTAATCAGAAGAAGAATCGACAGAACACATGTCAAATCAGTGCGATAACGTGGCAAATTTGGTGGTTCTTTCAAAAAGAGCTCTATGGAGGGTTCAGTCACTAAGTTATTAACCTTTGCGAAAAGGATACGACTGGAGAATGTTATCTAGAGAACAGAGGATCGCAATAGATCTGAAAAGATCGCAGTGGAATTGGCCAAGAGTATAAATAGTCATCACATAAAATATAATATACAGGGTGGTTCGAACTGTATTCGGGAAACTTTGGCAGCATATTCTGCAGATAAAAATAAGTAAAAATGTTCGTATAAATATGTCTTAAAATGCTTAGTTTGGGAGTTACAGAGTGTAGAAATTTCATTTATATTTCGATTTTTTTTCAAATAATTTCTGAAGTAACATCAATATTTGTATGAAAACTGGGAGTGTTTTGACATGAGAAATTTGATTTTGATATCAATATGACTGCTATACTTGTAAATTATTTGGAAAAATTCGAAATAAAAATGAAACTTCTACACTCATCTCGGAAACTAACCATTTTAGGACATACATTTATACGAGCTTTTTTACTTATTTTTGTATGCAGAATATGCTGCCAAAGTTTCCGGAATACAGTTCGGACCACCCTGTATATCTAATTCTGTATCGCAATAGTAAAATAGTAAATAAAACTTTAAATAAAGTAATTAATTAAATTAAAAAATGCAATTTTTTTGGTATAGACGTTAATTAATGTAATATTCCATTGAAGTTCCATTTATAAAAACTACCGAGACTAATGCTTTGCCTGCCTGAGAACGAGAACAGGCGTGGTGGTGTAAAGCGCGGGTACTAAAAAACTAAGTCGACTGGCTGTCTGATGATTGGACTGTGGTAATGGTGTAATTTTATATTTTATTAATGTAGAGGCAACGAGGCAACAATGATCAACAACCAATTTTTAAAACTTTGTCCACTTCTATTTAAAAGATTTTCTTATTACGACAATTATGTATCAAATTAAATGTTATGTTATAGAAAGAGTAGCACTTTTACAAAATAAATTAAAACATATTTATTTACGTTTATATATCGAGATTTTTCTTATTTGCAGGTCTTTTCTGCCGATAGTAATAGTATATTAAGCCGAACAGATGCTCCATCGAATCCTTTAAAACCAAGATCGGCACCTTCGGAAGGCCATTGTATTTGGTTTGGTCAGTGCAATCAGAAGGGATCATTGAAACAGAACTGCGTCTACAATGGTACGGCGAAATCCCTCAACCAGACGTCGTTTGACACGTTCAAACAATGGTGTCCGCACATGGATCCCACACAAGTGTGCTGTGATGACGCCCAAGTCGCAACAATGTCCGCCAGCGTTACTCTGGCCGCAAATTTTCTCAAAAGGTTTGTATGACAGAATAAAATATTCGATTTTCTCTTTTCTACATTTGGTGGATTTTGTATGAAAATGGATCCGTATTCAGGTTTTGGTCTTTTTTCGCACATTTTTTACCACTAGTTTATTGGATATACAGGGTGGTCCGAACTGTATTCCAGAAACTTTGGCAACATATTTTGCAGATAAAAATAAGTAAAAAAGTTCGTATAAATGTATGTCCTAAAATGCTTAGTTTCCGAGATACAGAGTGTAGAAGTTTCATTTTTATTTCGATTTTTTCCAATTAATTTCTGAAATAACGTCAATATTTGAATGAAAATTGGTGTCTGATAGTTTCTTGACATGAGAAATTTGATTTAATGTCAATATGACTCCTACTTGTAGAGGGCGCCACCTACATAATTTTTAATTGGGTTGAAGTGTAATAACTTGTACTTCCTCCGTACTTGTATAACTACCGACTAAAAAAACATAAATTTACCACGTTTTTTACGTAAAAATAGTCTCTTAGTAAAAATCGCTACAAGTAATGGCTCTTCAGATATTTAGAATCGAAATTATCAATACCTGTCATCATTGACATAAATTAAACATGTTGACTAAACAATAATAATTAGACTGGTATCATAAATTTGAAATCTTTTTGTGCCAAAAGTTCAACAGAGACTGTTTTATCATCATTTTTTCAAAGAAAAATAAAAGTTCCCAGATTAATTATTTCAGTCAAATAACCATCTATTCAACATGTTTATTTTTAGTCAGTAATGACATGCATTGACTATTTCCATTCTAAATATCTTTAGAACGGTTACTCGTAGCGATTTTTACCCAGAGACATTTTTTACGTAAAAAATCACGGAAATGTATATTTTTTATACAGGCACGGACGAAAAGTTATTATTACTCTTCAGAATAGTTGAAATACACGTAAGTGACGCCCCCTACAAATAAGAGTCATAATGACATCAAAATCAAATTTCCCATGTCAAAAAATTTCCAGACACCATTTTTCATCCAAATATTGACGTTACTTCAGAAATTATTTGGAAAAAATTGAAATAAAAATGAAACTTCTACACCCTATATCTCCAAAACTAAGCATTTTCGGATATACATTTATATGAACATCTTTACTTATTTTTATCTGCAGAATATGTTGCCGAAGTTTCCGGAATATAGTTCGGACCACCCTGTATATCGGGTGCGTCTCCAAAGTGGCTCACCCCTATAACTTTTTTATTTTTTCAGATAAAAAATTGAGATTTGGTCTATTAATATATGACATAAATTAGGATTGATTAACGTATTGAATTGTTTTCTGCCATTTCGTGTTTCACCGGAAATAACTACAACTTTTGATTTTTAAACGGTACTTTCGGTGTTTTGTTGCTTTATTCGATAGAAAATGACACTCGGAATAGAATGACATATAATATGTCAACTTTTGACGTTTTCGAATATGGTTTATTTGAAATTGTAACATGCGATTCATAATGACAATTTGACTCGAAATACCAAGTGTGTGGTATCAAATTATTCGTAAAAAAATGCTTTTTCCAAATATGCTAATGAGCCATCCTCGTTTGAAAAAAATGAGATATGATTAAAAATACCCCAATCAATCCTAATTTATGTCATATACTAACATACCAAATCTCGTTTTTTTTATCTGAAAAAATAAAATAGTTATAGGGGGTGAGCCACTTTTGGAACGCACCCGGTATACAATGCAACCTCAATCGTTATTCGCGCCCTTACCCTTCGTAAAAAATGCTTTTCCTAAATATGCCAAGAAGCCACCCTCGTTCTGTTTGAAAAAATTGAGATATGATTAAAAATACGATTTGGGCATCTTTTAACCGGCCAGGACAAGACACTAAATAGATTAGACGATCAAATCTATTTTTCCAAGGCATCTGGATTAAAAATTAGTGTTTTAACACGGCCATGTCATCCTAGATTTAAATTTAAAATACGAAAATACTATTCAGAGTGTCATTTTCCTTGCTCTGTCTTTTCCTTTCCTCCTTCTTTGAGTAACGCATTTGAACTTGAATATCAACGTCTCACGATCGTCAGTACTTTCATTAGAAAAATAATGTTGAAACGGAAACATGTAGAATATAGTATGTGTGGGAGGGGGATTAATCACCGGGACCTTACAGATCTATTGTGTGTCTCCCTTTCTCGAGTTATAACTATCTCAGGGCTTTGACAAAAGCCAGTATCCGAGTATTTTCCCTACATAATCTACCCAAATACTGCACTGTACTGTAATGTGTACAAATACTCCTCTGGCTTAAATACTCGTATCCCTGTCCCTGTTTTGGTTTTGGAAGCGTGGAAGCGTGGTTTTGAAAGGATGGCTTTGAAATTTTAAAAAACGGTTTAATAAACGATGTAAATATAAACCTTTGCGATAAAAAAAACTCTCGTTTTATTTTTTTAATAAATGAACCAGTCGTTCAATATTTGTTAGTAGACAGTCACTGGCGAATGGTTAAACATGGAGAATTAATACGAGATGTTGGTATCTGTATAGTTTGTATGTATAATATATTGACTATAGATAGTATGTGTAACATCGTGGAATATGATTCTATGTCCCTATGTCTGTATATGCATCATAATATTAAAAAAACACACACACACACAAACAGCATACAATTACAATTTTTTTTCAAGTTTGTCAACAAAAGAACAATCCAAAACTCTCGTGGGAGGGATGGAATTTTTTTCTGTGCCAAGGGTAGATGTTTTTTGATTTTTTTATTATTTTTACAAGATAAGATTTTATATTTATAAAAAACAGTTTGGGGTTATTTTTATGTAACAAATAACTATCAATATACTTAATATGTTTTATCTACATATGTATATAAATTATTATACAAATAACCATAAGATTTTTTTGTACAATATAATACAATATGTATAGTTATTCGCTAATCGGAATAGGTCGTTACAATTAGCTGTTTCAATTAAAGAGGTAACTGTATCTAAATTATACCGTGTGACCGAAAAAAAACGGCGTTCTGTTGGCTGGGAAATGACGATCGATGACACCATATAAATTTACATATAAAATGACAGCGGTCTTCATTTCATAGCCATGGCTGACGCCGTTGATATTCGATCATACAGTACTTTACAGTAATGAACCCGACACAACTATTTCAATGCCGCTAAATGGCTCAGCAGCTGATGCGGTTTACACAAAATTCTTCTTCCTTCTACAACTGTTTCGGCATTAAGATGACTTTTGTACTTACAAATAATGGTGTACTTACAAGTACACCATTATTTGCCTACTTGGCAAGTATACCATCTTTGCAAACAACATTTTTTTCATTTGTAATCAACAACAAGCTGGGTGCTCACGCGACGTGACGGGTGACAAATAATTGCACAAGTAAACCACTCACACAATATGGCAAGTATATGCCAATAACAAATGTTTGTCAAGTACACGAGTCGTCTGAGTCCGTCTTTAGATATACGTCATTTTATTGTCAACATTATTATCTATTTACTGTGTAAATACCACAAGGCTAATCCATTTAATTAGTTTTTCGTCATTCTGTTGTGTATTATCGTCATTATGATTGTTTTTAGCCGTTTAAATGCTAGAAATCTGTGAATGTTAACAATTAGCTCAGACTCACTGCTTTACTAACAGTATGCCAGTAAAAGTTTCACAACTAATTTTGAAACAAACTTTTAGTAGTAAATGTTTTAGTTTGGTTCCGGCAGCAGCTTAGGCTCTTCTAGGCGCTAGCTTTAGGGCCTTCAAGCAGCTTCCGGTAACTTACTATCGGGAAACGTCTCTGTTTGCTTATCGTTTTTTTTGTAATTTTAACATGGATCAGCTTAAATATGAAAGCGATTCAATGTTCTTAAAATTTTCACTTGTTCTAACTTACACCAACACGCTTTTAGTAGCGATTGCTAGTAATTGACATTGTTAATATGACATTCACTAGTCCGATGCCAAATTGTTAGCTATATATTGTATTGTATGTTATTCCGGTCCCATATGCAATTTTGCACTTTGGGGATCATTTGTACATTTTCTTCAAATGATTGTATGTAAGGGTTCTTCCGGTATCCCGCTCAAATCTCTGATGTTCCGGAGCCATGAGTGCTGTTTTCTTCCTGGTCCTCTTCGATCCTCAATTTTGCCCTGCAGGACCAGTTTCGGAATGGCGGGCGTAGCGAGTTCCTCTCAAAATGTGCCCCAAATATGACAATTTCCGGACCTTTACTATATTAGGCCGTTGTCTTGCGACACCAGCTTTCCGCAGGACTTCTTGTGTGATTGATATACGAGAGCTTAAATAGTCTACGGAGAGTCCACATCTCAAACGCTTCGATGCGATTTAGAGACTTTACTTTGATTGACCACGTTTCCGCACCACACAACAGGACGGGCCATACATAGCACATAATCACTCTTAGTCGGAGGTTTAACGGTAAGCGTTGTTGTAGGAGGATATTCTGAAGCCTTCGAAACGTTGTTTTGATCATGCCGATTCGATTTTTAATTTCCTCGTTGCAGTCTCATTTGTTATTTACAAGACAGAGCTGAGATACTTAAACCGGTCCACCTGATCAGTGATCTCGCCGCTTATAAGCTTGATTTTTATGCATCCGTTGTTCGACGATACGTTGATACGATATTAATTTTATTGGTTGAATTTAAAGGCTTCGATTGGTTAACCGTTTCTAACCAATCGAAGCCTTCAAATTCAACCAATAAAATTAATATCGTATCAACGTATCGTCGGACAACGGATGCATGAAAATGAAGCTTCACAGTGGGGTTAACATTTTGGATTTGTCTACTAATCACCATGGTTTTGTTTTTGAACTATTAATATACAGCCCGTACTGTTGTCCCACACTATTTATTTTATTTAGCAGTTCTTGAAGATCTTCCATAGTGGAGGCCAATAAAACAGTATCGTCAGTATATATGATATTATTAATGGGCTTACCATTAACCTTAATACCCCTGAACACATTTTCGAGAGCAAGCTGGAATATTTTTTTGACATAGATGTTAAAATGCATCTGTGACAGAATGCATCCTTGTCGCACTCCTTTGGTTACTTCAAAGGCTTCGGTCGCGAGACTGTCTTCACTTCGGCTGTCTTGTTCCGATATAGTTGTTTTATGATTTGGATGCGTCCTCGTCTACCCCGATGTCCCCTAGTCGTGCTAGAAGTAAATCATAATAATCAAAACAAATAAAAACATCCTGTCGTTGGTTGTAACATTTCTGCACCAAAAGCTTTAGCGAAAACAAGTCCTCTAGTTCCTAGTCCCTTAATAATTAATGATAATTAACATTATTATTAAAAATATTACTGGATTACCGACTTTTACTGGAGCAGATATAAATAAGAATATGTCAATATACCATGAGAATAAAAAATATGATCATTATTTTTTCCTGTCTTCATATAAAACACGCTTGATTATTAAATTTTTGAGTATTCTCGAGTGTATATTGTATTTACTATGTTTGCAACTCATTTCTGTTTTTGGTTTAATACTTGACGAAGGGAATTTCCGATTTAGAGTTTTAGAGTACCCAGAACTTTTCCAAAAATAGTGGATTTTCTAATTTTTAGAATTTTTAATTTTTGTAGAATGGAGATTTAAGGTATCACTTAAAAGAAAGGAAGGTTGATGATAAAATATGACTCATGGTTTTATAACAATATTAAACGTAATAGATTATTATAAAATGAGATATTTGTTATTATCAAAAAATGTTTGTTTCTTTTATATCTAAATGACATACAATGTGTATTAGAAGGATATTAATGTAATATCCGACATGTATTAATAAACTATTTTTTTTTATTTAGCCTTATCTCCAAAAAAATTAATCATATTAATCTTGCGTATCTCAATAAAGTTAATTTTATATTTTATATTGATTTTGCTATCATTAAATTTGATATGTAAACGGATTTTGGAGCCATGAGTCTTTAAGGTCGTGGTGATTAACCCCTCCAACTCATTCTACATTCTACATTCTATAAGGAATAATTTTTTGATGTGGTTTAAGGAATTTAAAAAAAAATATGTAGCCTTCGGTTTATATTTAATCTTCTATATACACAGTTGGTACAGTGTTTAGAACCAAAAATATTCCGTTAAATATTTCCACTTTCTTCTTACTATAGAACAAATTGACTTTTGTTTTTACATATATTGACATTGTGAGAATGTTACGGCATATAACTAACTTGTTTATGTTTGATGTTTGTTAGGTAAAGGGGAAAATGAATAAGATTTGCTTTTAACTTAATTAAATGGTGAAATATGTATTATGCGATGTAAATATTTGTTTACGTTTTTCAACTACGTGTAGTAATAAAAAGTACTACACAAAAATTGCAAGAGTAAATAGGTTGTAACTCTAAAGCGTAGTTTACACGGGATAGAAAATTGCGATAGAACTTGCTAGAGTAACTTGCGATAGTGTTTACATTTAAGCAAATTTCAAAGCAATTTCTTGCAACAAGTACTTTCTAGGCATATGCTTTGAGCAAAAAATTGCATGCACGTATACAGTACGTCTGTCCGTTCTGTAGCTACGGGGTATCCGTGAGAGGGGAAACGATATTCTCTCAATGTTTTTCGTAAAAAATAGGCGACGCGTCCCATCAATAAAAATTCAACAAATTTGGAAGTGGCCAATAAAATGAGTAGGCGGAGCGATTTGCGGTGACGCACTCGTCAAATCGACGTATAAAATATATTGCTGTTTATTTAAATGTTTTTTGTCCGCATTCCTTTCATAGATACAGATCCAGCAGATGTACTGTACACGGTATGGTGTATATTGCACAAGTATATTGTTTAGTAGAAAAATATCGCGCCATAAAAAAAGAGCTGCAGCCACTGCTCTTCTTGTTGCAATTTTACGCAAACACTCAAGAAAATCTAGAAAAAGAATATGGGTTAAAGAATGGATTGCCAGAAGGCCTAGTCTTGGAGCTTACGCGATGTTATTAAAAAAAATAAGAAATGAAGACCCAAAGCATTTAAACAATTTTCTGCGAAAGTCGATTATACTTTTTCTTTTTATATTTTGTTCCACTCCTGGTTTGCTTGGGTACGAATATCATGTAGCTTCCGCTGAATCTCAGCCTCAGTTGTGTTGAATTTGTCGGCTATAAATTTGATTGCTTTTTGCTTTTTAGCTCTATCTCAAAATTAATTATCTAAATTTTCGATTTTTTTTGCCACAATTCCGGAAATCCTTCAAATAAATTAATAAAAGCGATGGTATCTTCTTTCGACCACATACTCCATTTTAATATCGTTATTTAACAGGCCTTCGAAAATCACTTGCACCAAAAACTTTCAACAAGACGGAAATAAATTTTAACTTGCCAGAGCACTCTCCCAACCTGTTTACACTTGCCAGCGTCTTTCGTCGCAACCACTTCCACGCCAGTTTTGTGACTTGCTGGGAGAGTGCTTTTGGATACTGTTTACATTATGCAAGTTTGGTAGAAGTGCTCTCAGACATATACTTGCGATAATTTACTTGCCCGTGTAAACTACGCTTAAGGGTACAAACATAGTGGAGGCAGGTTTCTGCTTACCGTCAACCAGAGAAATAGAGAAAGAGGGACATATCCTCTATTATAGATACGGAACAACACCGGTATCAGGTCTAAGGAGAGATCAAGACAGATCCTCCAGCCTCCACCTCACGGGTTCCTCAGCCGGAGTCAAGCTCCTCGGTGGGCCAAACTCCAACTGTGGAATGGTGTGTACTCTCGGAGAAAGAACTGTTGTCAGAGGAGGATGCGAAATACCCTGTCCCCTCTACAACAGGGGTATGATGGGTTATAGATTGTTACACATTGTGTGAAGACTCAAGGAAGGGGGGGGGGCGCAATAGATCTTTAAGGTCGCAGTGATTACCGCCCCCCCCTCATTCTGCATTCTACATTCTACAGGCAAGCGCCGTCTCAGGGTACCTATTCTTGACCACTCGCGTCTTCAAATATCACTCGCATCTCCGAAAAAGCCATATAACAATACACGTGATGCGTATACGCAAAGTTGCGAACGATGTCAAGAATAGGTACCCAGATCGGCACCAACTACCAGTAAGCGGAAAACCTGCTTGTACTGTGTTTCCACACTAATACACCTTCTACACTGTTTGGAAAATAGACCGAAACAGATCAAGATCGCATTTCGTCGCCTAACTTTGTCGCATCTCGGTTTATCTCCGGTTGTCTTGGCCTATTTCCGTTTGTCTTGACCTACTTTTATTTTTTAAAAACGCCTCGAAACTACACGTGAAATTGCGGAGAAGGGCGAGGGGGATTTTATTTTGACGTTTCATGCTGCGTCGTTCAATTTCGTTTAGTTTCGAACTGTTCCCACGACGTGTCGGTATCTATACCCGAGACAAAGGACTTTTTTCATAAATCTCAGTGAAATAAGTAAACCTAGACGTTTCTAAAATATATGTTGTTACAATGATATTTCGTTAATTATATCTCGTTTTATGTTGATAATATATTCCACAAGATTAATATTTGAACACTCGTTTGTAATATGTATAGTAGATATTTAAGAACAAAACTTTTCACTTAATTTGCAGGACTATCATTTCAATATTTTTGTTATTTAATTTTTTTATAATGAATTAGTATATAAACTTGTATATGTTATGTTTGTTTACGGCCTTAATTGATTAATATAACAGTGGTATTGCTTGATTAGTAATACTGCCAACATCATCAATATGACAATATGTCGAGCTGATTGGGAAAATTATTGATTGACCCGATGTCAATAAAACTATGGTCCACGAACATTTTTAAAAAGTAATGTTCTCTTATTGTTTTACGAGAAAACTGTAAAATATTACTTTTAACTGATGATTTAAATTTAAAATTATTATATCTTACGAGTTACTGAATAAACTCAGCTAGGAACTAACAGATTTTTCTCAGTTTTCTACGCTCAAATACACCTGTTGTGGTCAGACCGCAAAAAGAAAAATTAAAACAAAACAACATGTTTTAGTTTATAATATTTTATTTACATAATATTCTAGTTTTAATGGTTAATTATTGTTTTTACAGGTGTCCCAGTTGTATGTCAAATTTAGTGAAACATATATGTGAGTTGACTTGTTCACCTCATCAGTCCACCTTTATTGAAGTAGTTCATACTAATGTCAGCACCCAAACTAATAGAAGCTATGTGGATGTGGTCAATTACTACATCACTCAAGATTTCCTTGAGAAAACCTACAATTCCTGTAAACAGGTAACTACTAAAACTAATAATACTACAGTCTGTTCATTAAATAATCAGTCCACTTAGATCATCTTTAGAGACCTACTATTCGCTTACCTTATTTAATAAGTTCTGAGCTCTAATACGTTTATAAAATCTATCAAGGCTGGTGCTCTGATTGTCTGTATGTGTACGAAGTCTCAAAAACTATCGAAGTCGACTGAGCAATAGATAGAATGTTAAGACTAGTTATAAATGTACAAAAGGCTGATTTTCAACATGAAGTTCCAAAATATAGATGTAGGACTCTGATTAAAAGGTTTGATTTATATGCAGACTTCCAAGAAATGTACTATTTTTATCCTTTTAAAAAAAATAATTTTTGTACTATTCTTTAATTCTAAAATAGATACAAATCATAAATAAAGAAAATCAAAATATTTATCCATAACATAGATTACCATTTACAGAGAACATACGTGCATTAAACTATTCAACTGAGATTATACATTGTTTGAAGATATTTTTGTAAATTTGAATTTTTAAGGTGCGTACAGCTTGACGAGACGAGCGCGAGACATTCCAAATTTGCTAAGTGTGGACGAGTTTCGCGAGAGCCTCGCCTAACAACCCACGGGACCTCGATGCTATCCGTCGCCTGTCGCTTTTTCGATCAAAGAAATCACACGGGACCGTCTGGACGTAGTTGTGGTAGGCTCTCTCGACTGCGAGATATCGGTGCATGCTATATACATAGGCTTGCATGACTCGAGCGTCTCTCAAAAAATGGAGGAAAGCCATCTCGCGTTGGTCTCTCGCTCGTCTTGTTCTTGTCTTGCTCTCGTCTCGTGCTCGTCTCGTCAAGCCTGTACGCACCTTTACATAAATTATAAGTATTTGCATTTTTGTTGTTTTAAATAAATCGCATGGTATACTATTCTATTTTTGTACACTACTTAAATTTCATGTCAACAGTCACGACATGTCAAAAGTATTTTTATGTTATTGGGCATGCTCGTAAATTTCCTCAAATGTGTTTTCTTCTTAAAAACACAATAATAAAACTCTTTGTATATCAACAAACAGTAATTACTAAAATTGTTATGCCATACAAAAAAATTAAAATTTTAGTGTTTTGTCTGCCTAATTATATTTCTTTTTCACATCGCCCATATCGACTGTCTTCTAATAACTACATTTTTTATTTCACTAATTTGACATACATTTTTTTTTATACACATTCAAATGCAGAGCACGGATTTATAACGACCTAGTCGCTGTACAGGGTGGACCAAATTAGACGCTTTTAAAGGGAAACACCCTTTTCTATAGGAGATAGACAAAAACTACTATCGGTGTCTGGAGCTCAATTTTTGTCAAAAACATGATGCTGAAAACCGTGCATCTATATCTGTTACCGTTTCGGACTTATGGGGTGTTTTTCAAAAATGTGCATTTTAAACAAATCGTTCTAACTTTTTTGCGATGGAAAAATTTGTATTTTTATGAAAACATTTCCAAATCACCTTTTTACGTAGAATTTAATGGTTTAAATATATATTTTTTTAAATTAATAATTTAAGAATTATCAACAGAAAATTTGATTTTTTATATGGGACACCTTGTATATTTTTAATTTATTAAAAATAATTTAAAATTATCTTTCCAAAAATATAGCACACAACAATAAAAATAAATAGCAAACCAAGACATGAGATTTTGCTACAGGCGTTCGACATATCGACCGTCTTCTGTTATGGATAGACGGGGCCGTTTTTGAACGTTTCTCGCGGAATTTATTAACTCTGGGAGTGAAAGATACTCTCACATAACCGCTAAGCACTTCTAATTCTTGTCTAGATTATACGGACAATTTCAAAATAAGAACCTTTATTCTTCCGCAAAGATATCCATAGGATTAGTTCCATAGGCACTAAGTTCGGCGGCTTCGACGGCCAACGGCTGGGATCTTGGTTAGCTATTCAATTATTCTCTAAATTGGCTGCAAAAAATTTGCTCATAACTTCAGCGTTCTGAGGCGGTGTCTCGTCTTGCTGGAAAAATATGTTTTCGAGTTCCATTAGGGGCAGATCATCAATAAGGGGTCCAAAGCCTACTAGTTAAAAGTGGTGAATTTTTAAAAATTCTGTACTTCGAAGGGGATTATAACAAAATAGCATGTGTGCTATATTTTTAAAAAGGAAATTTTAAGTTCTTTTGAGTTAATTAAAAATATACAGGGTGTCCCAAATAAAAAATCAATTTTTCTGTCAATAACTCTTAAATTATTAACTTTAAAAAATTATACTTAAACCATTAAATTCTACGTAAAAAGGTGCTTTGAAATGTTTTTACAAAAATACAAAATTTTCCATATCAAAAAAGTTAAACATTTTTGAAAAACATCCCGTAACTCCGAAACGGTAACAGATATCGATGTGCGGTTTTCACCATCATGTTTTTGATGAAAATTGAGCTCTAGACACCGATATTAGTTTTTGTCTATCTTTTATAGAAAAGGGTGTTTCCCTTTAAAAGCGTCCAAATTGACCCACCTTGTACATATGACTTTTTATTAATTTTTAAAAATTTAATTTGAAAAGAATGCTGTTTATTATTATTATTTGAAACGTATTATTCGATAGTGTTGAATATGTATAGCTCTTGCCACAACCGTTGATTGAAAGAATTGGGAAGATACGCAACCTAATGGGCACATTTGTGACCAGGCTGATTTGATTATCCTTTACGTCTCAAGTGCTGTAAGGTGGAGCCTCTACTCGTTCTTAAAAAACACCTATTTCCTCTAATTCGGCTAGCGAAAGCATATCGAAGACGGTGTGGAACTGAAAGCGACAGTATTGCCGTATTAAAATGTGTAATATCTGGAATATGTTTGACGAAAATATCTTTGGATGAAAAATCCGCGTTTATGTATTGAAAATTTATTTGTGTTAAACATAGGATAAACAACAAAAATAAAAATTCTTTTCTATGTACTGAATATTTCGTATTATCGAAAAAATCGTTTAGTTGGCTTGGAAATGACGACTATTGACATTTACCATAATATTTTACATATGAAATAACAGAGATCTGCATTTCCAAGCCAACTCTGACGCCGTTCTTTGTTTAATCATATTTATATTAAATTGTTTAGTGATAGAAAATCCGTATTATTAATGTACTCTACCCAAAAATCCGTAAATCTACGGATTAATCCGTAGTTCTGGCAACACTGTCTCCGGCATCTGCCCACTGTGTCGACTGTTGTCTGAAAGCAGAACTACGGTACAGTATTCTTTATCCGTTGTGTATTCTTTATCTCAGCGCACAGCGGCGCTGAGTTAAATTAAATCTCGGACAGTTTGACTAGCGGCTACGGTATCGCCAGCTACATCTCGGACAGGTTTTGTGGTACGAAATCGCCCTTAAGGTTGCGCATCCTTCTTATTACTCCAATCACCACCGCTACCTATTTATTAGACAGCTAATCGACTCTCAATTATTTACTTGGAATTTATTTTGTATACCTACCTAGATATTCGCTTATCTTTTGTCATAAGTCGAATTCTGCACTCCCTTAAGCGCGACTACTCAAACACCAGTGCAGTCAACTGGCTGTCTAATTAATAGGCTGTGCTGTCGCAGGAACACGGGCAACATTTTTTCAATACTTAAGTATTACCAGTGTCTTGTATCTTTGGATTACGAGTTGTGTGGGAGAATCTATTGATATTCTATTATTAAATATCATTTACAGGTCTCTGTACCCTCTACCGGCCAACTGGCTATGGATCTCATGTGTGGAAATTGGGGTGCTCTGAGGTGCTCCGCGAATCGTTGGTTCGAATATATGGGTACGGCGGACGAGAAGAATAATCCTTTTGTTCCATTCCAAATTAATTACATCAATTCGACTAGTAGCAAAGTGGGAAATTACACCCCCCTGAATTTGGATATCACACCGTGTAATAAAGGATTGGACGTAAGTATTTCTATTTTTGGTATCTTAATATGTAAATATACATAATATTCTATACACGGTCGGCAACCTAGAGTTTTGTGTCGGTATTACAATATCTAGGAGTGAATTGCTATGGTGACTTTTATAAGTTGGAGACAGAAAAATGCGTTACAGTGCGACAGAAAAATTACATAACCACTTAAGAGTCCATTTCACTAGTCCGAAAAAGTGGCAAAATAAGCGTTCGGCATTTAATGTTTTATGTAAAACTGGCTAGGTATTTTTATACAAATGAAGAGGGAAATTAAAGATAAAGGATTATACTATATCCGTATTGTAGCACATTTTTAGACAACTTCTTTATTTTTAAGATTTTTGATGGTCGAACATCAACAAAATATTCCTTATGTTTGGACTAAATTTTCTCGAAAATAAAGACATCAATTTAACATTCCGTTACAATACGGACATAGATTGAAGTTTTGTGATTACAGTGATATTATAATTTATATGGTTTTGTAACAAATTGATCGCTATTTTATGGCAAATGTTGAAGCTCTGCAAACCTTAATCAAGCCTTAATCAAAGCACGTGTGTTTGGAATTTTGGGAGTGGCTTAACACGACAGGATCGGGCTAAGGCTTAGGCAGATTTCTGAATTATAATATATATTTCCTTCCGTGTGGCGGCAGTTGCGGAACTCGCTTTACCCGAACCCTGAGAGCGACCCTGTACAGCGTAATAGACTCTTAACGAGGGGTTTTATTTCATACTCTTGAGAAAATACTTGCTTATCTCACTTTGTTCAGTACATGTTATTGTACTGAACGAATTGACTAACTCTTCTTACACATGAAAATCGACCCACAGCCAGTCGTTGCCGTCCGTGTATATGTGCAAGTATTTTAACGAGTGGTAGGTCTGGAGGGAAAAACATTTTTTTCTCTTTGCTTTTTTTTATAAAAAAATAATTACATTTTGAAAATCGCCGTTATCAAAGTACCGTATGACGGCGTATGATCGAAAAAAAAAACAAAGATTAATGTGCGTAGCAAATAAGTCGAGTGCGTTTTATGGTGGATCAATACACCGTCAAAAAAATTTAGGAGAACAAACCTGCTGCATTAAATTGGTTTTTTTTAATTCCGGAGATATTTTTTTTTTCAATACAACAATAAGTATGCTTATTCGCAAGGATCCCCCTATTTGACAAAAATTAATAGACAGGCAATAAAATACACATTTATGGTATCGCATATGCGCAATATATTTCTTTCTAATTCTTCCACTTAAAAACTGCGCGAATACGATGCAGATAAGGGGGGGGGGTTAAAAGTGAATTTTATGTTCCTGTTTTTGAAACTGAAACTTTTTAAATAAGTTTTTGAAGTGAAAAACTTCTTTACTTGCGATGGGAGTAAAAATTCAAGGCCGCGACGCACGAGCTAGCGTCATGACACGCGTCACAAAAGTGGTAACGATCGAAAAAGGAGTAAGCCAATGAGGAAGTTGAGATTGGTCTTTGGAGCGTCGCAGCTCGGGCTCTATGTGGGCTAGGGGACTGCAACTCGGAATGTAGATGGAGCTCGAAGATCCCCATATTTTCGTGATATTTTGACGACGTTTCGTGCACTATGAAACCCCATCATCAATGGCGAAAAAATCCTCCGATTTAAATGAATTTTTGTATGCCGATAGATTGGGCCAAGGCCAACTTGGCCGTGTACGACACGTGTCACTGTGACAGTTAGTTTTAACGTAAGGAAAGTCAAAAGTTGATTTCGTCCGATCGCGACCAAATTTGGTGGGTAGGCTATGTGACCGACGCCGACGGTGCATACGGTTCCACACTGCAAAGTTGGATGTGGCGTTTCGTTTACATCTTTATCAGAGTGGAACTAAGAATTTAATATTGGAGAAAAATGTGGGTCGATTTCGGCATAATTGGGTACGGGCTACAGGATAACGCCCTGGACGTTTCGAACCGATCGATGTCTCTAAATGGACGAAATCATCATGATTTTTCTCTTAATTATGGTTCGATTGGAACCAAACTCGGCACGTGGACAAAGGTATCCGATTAGGGTCCTCAGACGGACAGACATTTTAATACAAATTTTGTGAAAGTGAATCAAATTATTTATTAATAGTTTTAAATTTATTACTTTTTCAACGTTTCAAATTACACGTATATATAACATATCCCTCAAATCCTTCAATTTAATACCTGTTAGTATGAAGTTTCACTTTAAATATACGCACATAGTGCACACACAATTTTTTTTCTTTTTAAGAGCAGTTGGAATAAATAATTAAATAATTAGAGTTTTGATAAGTTGAACTTGACCTTCACTAATCAGAATTCTTATACAGTGAAGGAAGTCTAGTAAATTCAAAGAATGTTCTTATTTTGAGCCATGACTTAACAAGTTTATCTCACTTTGTTCATTTCAGAACAAAGCAAATTCGATTTGTGTTCGACTTTTAGGATGTTTTCATTGTTATAAAGAAAAAACTTCTTTGAAGAGTAAATAAACTCGTTCAAGGTTGCTTTCTAATGAGCTTTAAAATAAAACTGATTATTTATTGAAGATGCATGGACCAGGCGCAACATTTTACTGGCTCTTGTTTCTGGATTAAGGCCAGCGCAAAACTGTTTTTGTTTTTTATAGGTTTTGGAAGGTGGGAGAGCTTAGAGTTGCTAATTTTACTTCGAAATATCACAAAAATATAATTGACTTAATTTCTAATAATAACTCTCTCAATATTTTTAAACAACTATGTATTTTGATTTAATATTTCGTTATCATAAGTGATTGAGAAGAAATATACATCAAATAGTCAAATACTATGTGTATTGTGCTATGTAACAATCTATATTCTGTCTATAACTATTATAACTTTAAGAGGTTAGTTTTGCTATTATTTTATTTGATTCTGATAGATTAAAATAATCTATTTTTAAATGGTATCGAAATCTGATGGTAACCTTGTCCTTAAAATGATAGAAAATTGAATAATCAATACTAGAAAAGAAAGAGATGTGGTATATGGCAACCATATGTCAATGAAGAAATGACAAAAAAACAAAAATCTCATGAATCAAATGTGCACGATCCATATGCGGCAAATGCAGATCCTATATTACCATGAACTGTATTCGAAAAAGTTACGTACATTCAAGGTTTGCAGTTTTGTTGCAAATAATTTATGTTTATTACTTTAGCTTCACATTTCAGTTGTTTGTACTTTTAATAATACGGTAAAATCATAAAATATATATGTTTTTAATTTCTATGGGTTTCTTAGCCAAGTTATACTTCTGTTGTCAAAAATTCTTAAAAAATGCGTTTTACTTTAATTTTGTGTCCGTTCTTATTAATTTGTTGAAAACTAATGAAATTGTTTGTTCACAAGTTTGAATATATTGTAAACAGTGTTAAAATAACAAGCTTTTTATAAAATTTCTTCATCATGTATTTTAAAATGAAAAAAAAATGGGGTCCGTCAGACCCCAGCACGCCATAAGAGTTACAAAAATTCACCACGCCAGTTGAGGGTTAAGGAACGTCAAAAGTTGATGTCGTCCGATCGCGAACAAATTTGGTGGGTAGTCTATGCGACCGACGCGACGGTGCATACGGTCCCACACTGCGAAATTGGATACGACGTTTCGTTTATATCTTTATCAGAGTGGGACTAAGGATTTGATATTGGAGAAAAATGTGGGTCGATTTCGGCATAATTGGGGACGGGCTACAGGATAACGCCCTGGACGTTTCGAACCGATGTCTCTAAATGGACGAAATCATCATGATTTTTCTCTTAATTATGGTTCGATTGGAACCAAACTCGGCACGTGGATAGAGGTACCCGATTAGGGTCCTCAGACGGACAGACATTTTAATACAAATTTTGTGAAAGTGAATCAAATTATTTATTAATAATTTTAAATTTATTACTTTTTCAACGTTTCAAATTACACGTTTTCAAACATATCCTTCAAATCCTTCAATTTAATAGCTGTTAGTAAGAAGTTTCACTTTAAATATACGCACATAGAGCACACACAATTTTTTTTCTTTTTAAGAGCAGTTGGAATAAATAATTAAATAATTAGAGTTTTGATAAGTTGAACTTGACCTTCACTAATCGGAATTGTTATACAGTGAAGGAAGTCTAGTAAATTCAAAGAATGTTCTTATTTTGAGCCATGACTTAACAAGTTTATCATTTCAGAACAAAGCAAATTCGATTTGTGTTCGACTTTTAGGATGTTTTCATCGTTATAAAGAAAAAACTTCTTTGAAGAGTAAATAAACTCGTTCAAGGTTGCTTTCTAATGAGCTTTAAAATAAAACTGATTATTTATTGAAGATGCATGGACCAGGCGCAACATTTTACTGGCTCTTGTTTCTGGATTAAGGCCAGCGCAAAACTGTTTTTGTTTTTTATAGGTTTTGGAAGGTGGGAGAGATCCGCGAATAGCTTAGAGTTGCTAATTTTACTTCGAAATATCACAAAAATATAATTGACTTAATTTCTAATAATAACTCTCTCAATATTTTTAAACAACTATGTATTTTGATTTAATATTTCGTTATAATAAGTGATTGAGAAGAAATATACATCAAATAGTCAAATACTATGTGTATTGTGCTATGTAACAATCTATATTCTGTCTTAAGTTATAATAGTTATAAACTTTAAGAGGTTAGTTTTGCTATTATTTTATTGCGAAATTATTTATGAGGAATAATAATAATAGCTCCCGTATATAGCGTTTGACGCCTTGGGAGTAGCAAGGTACAGCTTGCCATACTAGAGCCGTTCGGTATACAAGGAAGGTAATGTGGCTAGCACTACGCTTCAACCGCCTATTATTACCTCAGGATTGTAAATCCCAAGTACTCATTTAAGGCTGAGTCGACCTAGGTACCCAAACTATTTTTATTTTAATAAAAATAGTCGGCTGATGAGATGTCGGGTGTGGGATTTGAACCCACTACGTTGAGATTGGTAGACGAGAGCCTGTACCTCTACGCCACCGGGCACCTATTTATTTATTTATTTATAAGGAATAAAGAGTTTAAATTCTCTCACTTCAATGCTAATTAACTGAACTTGAAACATTTTTCTATTAAATTATATCTTTTCATTATTTATTCTTAAAAATTCCAAAGCATTTTTTTTTCAAAAAATTGTCTGTTTGTAAAGATCTGATAGATTAAAATAATCTATTTTTAAATGGTATCGAAATCTGATGGTAACCTTGTCCTTAAAATGATACACATGACTACATACGCATTCACTACAAAGGAGGTGGTTGTGATTTTCAGGTCAAAACTTAATTTTTACTCTCATTTTTTTTAATTAAAGTGAATTTTTCGCCAAAGGACGAAATTTTTAAACTTTACTTTTTGACAAAACACTACCATATGACAAACCTACCTGATGTATGATGGGGCTTAATGATATACCTACGTACACAAATTACATTTTAATATCCAGATAATTATATATTTGCATATTATGTGATATTAAAATGTTCAAAAAAATCATAAAAAGTAGTAGTATTATAAACTTTAGAGTATTTATGTTTATTTGATATATGAATACTAATGGTATATAAATTACAGAATAGAAAACTATTTTTTATTATGAATAATCATTAATCTATAGCTAATTATATTAACAATCTATATTCTGCTGAATTTGTAATCTTTATACCAGGTGGGTCTCTAAAGTGGCTCACGCCTATAACTTTTTTATTTTTTCAGAAAAAACAATGAGATTTGGTATGTTAGTATATGACATAAATTAGAATTGATTGACACACTTAATTGTTTTCGGTCACTTTCGGTCTCACCGGAAATGACTACAACTTTTGATTTTTAAATGGCACCATCGGTATTTTTTTATTTTATTCGATAGAAAATGACACCCTGAATGGAATGACATATCATATGTCAACTTTTGACATTTTCACATATGGTTTATTTGAAATTGTAACCTGCAGTTCCTAGCGATAATTTGAGTCGAAATACCAAGTCTGTGGTATCAAATTATTCGTAAAAAATGCTTTTTGCAAATATGCTATGAGCCACCCTCGTTCCATTTGAAAAAAATGAGATATGATTAAAAATACGATTTGGGCATCTTTTAACCAGCCAGGACAAGACACTAAAAAAATTAGACGATCAATACAATTATTAGAATACTATTAATAGAATTATTAGAATACGTCAATCAATTCTAATTTATGTCATATACTAACATACCAAATTTCGTTTTTTTTATCTGAAAAAATAAAAAACTTATAGGGGGTGAGCCACTTTTGAGACGCACCCGATATAGTTGTTATATTCATTTTTATCAATATAGAACTACATAAACAGCAAATTATTTTAAAGATTGTATGTAATATTGAAATTCAAAAGTTTATAATTCAACATCAGATAAGCAGTGTTATTATAACGATTGGAAAACAAAAGAATAAAATTTTATATTTATTTTATAACTAGATACCAGATAATATAATCTAACAATAAAATATTAAAATATAATGCTTAAGCCACACACGTTTTTCAGATAAGTATTTTTATAGTGATAACTTAAGTTTCAATGTTATTGTTTGTACAAGCGTCAAATACGAATTAAGTTGTTGTCTAACACGAATTAAGTTGTTTTGATCATCTATTTTTTTATCATCTATGTTACCTAGTTAACTTATTCTTTATGCGACGTTTTATTTTTGTTTTTAATATTAAAAACTGTAAACAAAATTATTTTTAGTTTTTAGGTGATATTATTTTCTAATGTCGAATTTTATTGCAGACAAAATGCTGACTAATTTTACTATCATAAAAAAGAACATAAAACGTCAAATTTTCTAGTTAACCATTGTGTGATTTTAGTCAATGTATAAAAAAATAGTAGTATCGTACAATTGAAACTATGGCCTATCATTAAAAAAATATATTTGTAATTGTAATACTGACGGTGTTTTTTTTCAAATTTATATTTAAATTAAAATTATGCCTCTTAAAGAAAAGTGTTTTATATTATAAGCTGATTTTTTTTATATAAGGACTTAATTCTGATATAAAAATTTTCAGGCCAATACACCAGCTTGTAGTTGTGTCGACTGCGAAGCAAGCTGTCCTGTTCCCCCACCGCAGCCCCCTAAACCAGCCCCCTTTGTTATAGTTGGTTTTAATGGTTTGGCCTTTTTGATGACGGTAGTTTTTGTCATTGGATCTGTTCTTTTCTTGCTAGCGGTATTTTTCTGTTCATCTGGGGGTGGATTAGGTAAGTACTATCATTTGTGTAGTCCTGATTTTAAATTGTTTTTTTTTGGTTAAGCTATGTATTTTTACTACAAGTTTGAAGGTGTGTTTTGTTTAAAAAAATATTTTTCAAGTGCTTTCTGTGATACTGTGGATTTGTTAATATTAAACTATTATGTATAAAATATTCAAGATTATAACTTAATGTATTGCAAATAATTTTAACCCTAGTTTATTAAAAAAAGTGACAGATTATTAAAAACTAATAAAAAAATACCATTAATATATATTGAAATACAGCTTATAATAAATTTCAATAAACTGATTTTTTATATATTATACATATACTGTCTAATATTTAATAATTGTTTAAAGCACATCACCGGTTGTTATTAAATGTTTGTTAATTTTGTTACCACGCACTATGTATCACATTTCAATTGCTGTTAACTTTAATAACAAACAATTACACCTTTGTTTATTGTTTAGTTATTCTCCACATGTTAAATAAGATTATACGGGATTCTTCATGTACTAAAACCATTTAATAATAAATACTATCATTTCATTCCGTGTCAGTTCATAACATTCAAATAAAATAGACAAATAAATGTAAGTAGTATAGTCCATGAGTTGGGAACTGCTATTATCTATGAGGTTATAGTTCCAATTAATATTGTTTTAGAACAACTTATCCTTAATCAAATACGTCCTGAATCCAAATATAGTTCCCGTTTTCGACTACCACCCACCATTTTCGCTAAAGTCCACCTCTATATTTTTTTATAATATTATGGACATGAATTTATTTTGAAGAGGGTGAAAAGAATTATTTTATCTGTAAACAATAGTAGGTAAATAAAAATATCTCTACTTGGCGTTTGCTTGCCATTTATACTCTGAGGTATAACTCTCTCGTCCCCAAAACTTGCAGTACTGCGCCACATGCTTGCATTCTACTTCCCTGAAAATATATTCTCCATCTTAGTTATGTCTTGATGGAACTGTTCCTCGTGTTTGTCTGATACTGCTCCTAAATTTTCAGCTTATGCAATTACCTACAAAAAGGATCTTTATCATTTTTTACCTAGAATTAGTAGTTTTCGAGATGTTCCGCCTCGAAGATCTCTCAATCTTCTCTTGAAGTCAACGCTCCGAAGATAGATTTCATGAGCGTATCATTGATTGATAGGACAAATTATTTAATAAGAACTCAAAGTTAAAATTTAATATTTTTTGATTAATTCAAATTTCGTTTAAAAGATAGATCAACAGCTATAAAGTTTTGGAACTTTTGTTTGAATTTTGTCATATTTTATGATAATAAAAAACCGGGCAAACATTCTTTAGCCCAAAAATTTTCAGATTTTTACAAACTTATTCATATTTTCGCTAATAATAACTTATTTGTCAAGATTTAGGGAGTATTTCCCCAAAATGGGTGCGATAGAGGAATACTGAGGTCATATTTGGATTCAGGAGGTCATTTTACTTAAGAATCGACAAGGCAGATTTTCATGGAAACCTTTTTTTACTCTTACTTATAGGGCGACCCTCGTATGCTTGTGAAAGATTAATAATATAAACTGATAATATAATGTAACAATAATGATTAACTACGCAAATTTTCTGACAAGTAAAATGTATAGTCATAACTTAATTTCTCAAGTACTGTTTCTTATATACAAGAACTATAAACGTCAAGTTTTTTTTTGAATGTCGAATCTATTGATTATATGTTCTATTTATTTGATTTCTTTTCATGCGATATCATTGGCATCTCATTTGACATTATCATTGACATTTGACAGGCGCTCGGCTAATAGATGAAACAGAGTGTGACCGCGGTGTGTCAGATGTTGAATTGGAAAATAACGACGAAAACGTTAACTCCGAGTGTTGTCAAGGTACAGTCTGTGTATGTCAGCTTGGTATTGTGTCGAGACAGAGAGAATCCGTTTTTTTTTTGTGGGATACGGCATGACATTGACCTATTTGGCATATTATTCCATACTTATTTATTATTGGACTACAGTTACTTTAACATAAAATAAGCGCATCAATCAATAACAAACTCAGTATTATATATTATGTATACAAATACTGTCTACAAGGATACAGTTTTATTAAATTGTATACTGTATAGTAAATATGAACAGGACTTGTGTAGTAACTAGAATGATTATTATTTAAATTTGATTACAAACTTACTAAATACTGTAAACTTGGTGGCACTTCAGTTATAGCAGAAAAAAAGTATAGAAAATAATATTTAATTCTCTCTCTCCAAATCTTTGAAAAATCCTGTATACAGGTTGTCCCATTTTAGTTTAAATCATACGGTATCTCCGTTATTTTTCGAGAGAAGGGTGCGGTTTGCACAAACCAGTCCCACTTTTTTGTCAAACGGCAGATGCTGCAAACAAAATTTTCATAGCCCTCTTCGTTTCTGAGCTACAGAGGGTTTTGAAAATTTTGCAATATGGGACAACCCCCGTATCTTTGTTGTTGTGAAAGGTATCAAGAAGGTGAAAACTGTTTATTGTAGAACTTTTTACGGTAGAATTCATTAACTTAGTCTGTTATTCTACAAAAAGAATATTTTTGAAGATATGAACTAAAGTTATGTTTTCTTAAATGGAACACCCTGTATATTTATAAATTTTATGATCTGGTTTGCCATAAGCTTCTCAAAAATATATGTCACTCTCTATTTATTTTCAGTATTTACTGCAATATTTAAAAGTTTTCATTAAAAAATCATTTTTATTAGTAGGCCATGATTGATAATAAAAGAAACTAAAGAATTATTAAAAGTTTACTGCTATGTGTCTTTTGCTTTATTTTGGGAACCACTAATAAAAACTTTATATATCAAGGAAACTTAACTCTGTACCGCTATTTGTAAATTTTGAAATCTGTCGTACCATAACTTTTAGATATTCCTTTAGCTAATTTACATGAAATATACTTTCACCACCATGGGGCACCCCTCACAACTTTAAAAATATTAGAATTTTGTTAAATGACTCCCAAATCAATATATTGAGACCAATGGACTCATACGATGGCCTCCCTGATCCCTGGATTTGTTCGTTCTCGATTTCTGTATTTAGGGATTTTTGAAATACGAAATATATCGTGGCAACTACAACAATGTCAAAGACCTGGAAAATGCTATCAGGCAAGCTTTTAGATATTTGCAAATTCATCCCGTTATAAAAATGAAGAAAACTATATTCAGAGATTCAGTGGTTACAGTTTAAAAATAAAATACCTTTTTTATAGTCCCAAATAAAATTTTAATATGTGTATGTTAGGTTATGATTATTTTAGAAAATACCATTTTGATTTACCATTTTGATTTTTTGTTAACTATCACGGCCTACTAATAAGAAAATGATATCTTTTAAATATTGCAGTAAATATTGAAAATAAATATAGAGCGATATATATTTTTGGGAAGCTCATAGCAAGGCGGGTCATATGATTTATAAATACGCAGGGTGTTAAAAAAACATAACTTTAGTTGATATTTTTAAAAATATCTTTTTCGTAGAAAAAGTGACTACGTCACTGTATTCTACGTAAAAAGTTCTACCATAAACAGTTTTCACCTTCTCAATGTCTTTTCCAATAACGGAGATACAGGGGCTGTCCTAAATTGCAAAATTTTAGAAAAAACCCTGTAACTAATAAACGAAAAGAGCTATGAAAATTTTGGTTACAGTATGATCCGTTTGACAAAACTTTACGACGTTACTGGCATCTTCCGTTTGACATAAAAGTGGTACGTTTGTGCAAACCGCGTCCTCCTATCTTTACTAATAAAATGGGACACCTTGTACAGTGACAAATTTTACAGCTAAAAAATATTGAAGACGGATCATCTCTATCTACGTATGTGTATAAACGTATGCTTTAACGTGTTGTAAATGTGTTATATGCATTAAATGGACATACATAAGTGTTCGTACCGTATAGTTTGTATTATCTTTGAGTTAAACGTTACTTTGTACTTATTGATATATGTGTGCATTTTCATTCTTTTGGTTATGGTTTATTATATTTATAAATAATAAAACAGGTATTATAACTTCCTTTGCTATTATCAATTTAAAATAACACAGTGAATTAATGAGGTTGCATTTTTACAGTCCATACTCCAAGGACAAGGTAATGGCTCGTGATAAAAAAAATAGTAATTATTTTTTTTATAATTCTACTGTTTTTACAAACTTTCCCGTGTTTTAAATTTTACTGGCGGTCGTTCTTTTCGGTTTTATTTGTTTGTTGTTGCCAGGCCAACTTGAAAAATAATTAGGCAAAATAATTATCGCTCTGTATTTGATCCTAACTAGCGTTCATTTCCTGCATTCTGTATTTAATCATTATTTAACTAACTGATTGACATTTGGAGAGTAAGTTTTTTTTAACCAAGTCCGTCTCTTGCGAAATAGAAAATAATATTGATATGATTTTCGATAAATAATTTGTAGAACGCAAATACACCTGTGACCTGCTTAAACTTGGAAAGTACGTATTAATTTCTGAAAATGAAGAAAGTTGCGTTTGGAACCAATTTGAAAGGCTGAATTATATCAAATCATTTCTAGAATTTAAAATATTTCAATCACTTTGATTGAAAAATGGAATGTGGAGTCTGAAAATAAATAATAATACAAAGGAAGTTATAAATTATTCTTATATTAAATATTTCATTTCTTATTATTTGTTTTCTATTAATAAAATTAAGGTATGAAGAAAAAATATACTGTTTTTATATGATGTTTTTGTATCATGTTAATAAGAAAGTATTTTTTCTACATTATCTCTACTGACTTTACCATCTTTTGGCAAAGGGTCTTCATTTGACAGCAAATTTAGATCTAGTTTTAACAACTATTTTTTCGTTTGAATCTATGCGGGACTGTTAGGAATCCATCATTATTATAAATATATCAGTTTGTATATATCTTATCTTAAACAGAAACCACACAACTGTGATAAACTAGTTGCTTTTTAACAAAGTATGACATTGATTATAAAAACATTTTAGCATATGGATAGTACAGGGTGTTTCAAAAAACATGTGCCATCTCTCGTGGGAAGATTCCCAGCATAATAAGATTTATTTTTTATATCTGCCTTGTCTCATAGAGACAGCTATAGAAGGTCTTAATTTAAAAGTGTCGACGGATTCACCAGGGATATGCATATCATTGGAATATTTCTCTAAAAAAAACGTGTGTGCGCCACTGACTTTTTTTTCTCTTGTTAGCAATATTTTATAGACCGTTTAATGACAATTAAAAATTGTCTTTTGATATTTTGTCGATTTGAATGTCAATAAATGTCCGAAGTGTTAAATAAATACTCTTTCATCGAAATCATCATCAAAAAAGATGAAACAAAGTCATAGTTTTAAAGTTGCAGTGTGTTAAAACTTAAAAAATAGGTCTTTTGTAATTATCTTAAATATCATCATTTTGAATTGGCTGTAGGTAGTACTGAACATCAGTGTTATTAATTTTAATAAAATTTAATAATAAATTAGATTAAGAAATAATTTAAATATTAATCGTATTTATCTCATCAAAGAGATCGAAATCGACAAAATATCATGATACCACTTTTAATCGATATGATATTTATTTTATTTATATTTTTATTGATATTAAAGGAACTACACAATTTTGCTAACGGGAGAAAAAAAGTCTAAAAAAATATTTCTAAAAAAAGTGGCGCACACTTTTTTTAGAAATATTCCAATGATATGCACGTGTTGGAAAATCTGTCAACACTCTTAAAATTTAATTCGAATCACTAAAATTACTTGGAAGAAAATTATAATAAATTGAAGAAGAAGAAGAATGAAGACTTTGACCCCCTGTAGCTACGAAACTAAATAGAATCGGACCTACAGGGTGGCCCATTAGTGCGAGGAAGTCCAATATCGTCGTTGTTGTCGAAGATTATGAAAATAGTTTGGTTTGGTTAGGTTGTAACATATATTGCAAGGTTTATAAAGGGACGTATCCAAAAAATATGATAAGGTTTTATTTATTTTTTTTTAAATTGCATCCCCCATTTTTCTGTAGATAATCGGATTCGGCATAAAGTTCTGCATATAGTACACTATTTTTCTTTGAATCGCTCTACGGTGTTGCCATTCTATTACTTATTTACTAAAACTTTGGTTAAAAACATATCCGAAAAGTGTTAAAAACTAGAGTGAATATGACTTTATTAACACTTGGCTATATTTTCCTAAACAGCAAGGATAACAATACAAATATAATATAACAAATCCGCGTAGAAAAATTTACATTATTCTATACAGGGTATTTTTTTAAATGCAACACTGTAAATCATTTTTTTGTCAGATGCAGAATTAAAAAGTAACCAGTTTTTGTATTTAAAGTGTTTCTAAATTTTTAACGGTTTCGCAGATATTTGCAGTATTATATTACATATGGCTTTTCCAACAGTAAATTTTTATCAAAGCCGCCTAATATGATCTTTGTCAGATTTGTTACCGTTGAAAACCCCATATGTAATGTAATAAAGCGATTATCCACAAAACGGCTAAAAATTTAGGGGAACACTTTAAATACAAAAAATGTTCATCTTTTAATTCTACATCTGAAAGGAAAGTAATATACAGGGTGTTGCATTTAAAAAAATTGAGATACAACATTTTAAATATTCCGATTTTGATGACGCCATAAAAAATACCCTGTATAGGAAAATGTAAATTTTTCTATACGAATTTATTCTGTTATCCTTCGTGTTTAGGAAAACTTAGTTAAGTATGAAAAAAGTTATATTCACTCTAGTTTTTTACCAGTTTTCGGATATAATGTTTGTAACCAAAGTTTTACTAAGTAAGAAATAGAATGGCAACACCGCAGAGTGCTTCAAATAAAAATAGTGTACTATATGCAGAATTTTATGCCAAATCCAATTATCAGGATAATGTAAATTTTTCTACACAAATTTATTCTGTTATCCTTCGTGTTTAGGAAAACATAGCTAAGTATTAATAAAGTTATATTCACTCTCATAGTTTTTACCCCTTTTCGGATATAATGTTTTTAACCAAAGTTTTACAAAATAAGAGAACAACATATTTTTAGGATATGCCCCATTATAAACCATGCAACATCTGTATAAAACTTTTTTACATATCATCTACAACAACGACGTTATTGGACTTCCTCGCGCTAATGGGCCACCCTGTATGTTGATATAAAAAATAAATCTTATTTTAACGTGAGGAATCTCCACACAAGAGATGGCACATATTTTTTGAACCACCGTTTTCTACTTTTCAAATATATTGTCCTATCAGTACGACAGATTCAGACGAGAAATATTTTCTAACGGAGGGCATGTGGTTTTTGACTGTCGGGGATGTTTCTAGCGGGCCTGGGGCATGCTTCGGAGGAGATGCGAGCAGCAGTGGGACGGCGTTTGGCCTCGGAAGGCTTCCACTCGTCGCAAGTGGCGCTGGGCGACGCGTCCGCAGGAGAAGACAGCCCTTTGCAGAGCAGCCATCGATCCAGTACGTTGATTTAAATCAGAAATTAAAAAAAAACAGAAAAGTGCAGGGGCGGGAAGGGTAAATGACAGGATTGTTCTTTCATTTTTCCATTCAGTTTTATGTACTTTTTAGATTCCATCTTGGATTGTGTAATGGGTTTGTTATAGTTAATAGTATTTCTTCATTTTTTTTTATTATACAGTGTGGTCCGAACTGTATTCCGGAAACTTCGGCAGCATATTCTGCACATAAAAATAAGTAAAAAACGTCGTTTAAATGTATGTCCTAAAATGCTTAGTTTCTGAGATACAGGGTGTAGAAGTTTCATTTTTATTTCGATTGTTTGCAAATAATTTCTGAAGTAACGTTTCCGTGATTTTTTACGTAAAAAATGTCTCTTAGTAAAAATCGCTACGAACAACCGTTCTCAAGATATTTAGAATGGAAATAGTCAATACATGTCATTATTTACAAAAAATAAACATGTTGAGTAGATAGTTATTTGACTGAAATGATAAATTTCGGAACTTTTTATTTTTTTAAATTAATCATAAATTTTTCTTTGAAAAAATGATAATAAAGAGTTTCTGTTAAACTTTTGGCACTAAAACACCAAACCAAATTTATGGTTTCAGTCTCAACTATTTAGTCAACATGTTTAATTTAGGTATGTCAATAATGATAGGTATTGATAATTTCGATTTCAAATATCTTGAGGACCATTACTCGTAGCGATTTTTATCTAGAGGCATTTTCTACGTAAAAAACGTCATAAATGTATATTTTTTACTCAGTTGTGTTATACAGGTACGGACGAAAAGTTATAACTTTTCAAACCAGTTAAAAAATATGTAGATGGCGCCCTCTACAAGTAGGAGTCATATTGACAACTCCCAGACACCAATTTTTATCCAAATATTGACGTTACTACAGAAATTATTTGGAAAAAGCCGAAATAAAAATGAAACTTCAACCTGTATCTCCGATTCAGACCCTGTATCTCCGATTCAGACCCTGTATCTCCGAAACCAAGCATTTTAGGATATACATTTATATGAACTTTTTTACTTTTTTACTATCTGCAGAATATAATGCCGAAGTTTCTGGAATGCAGTTCGGACCACCCTGTATACTATATTTTCTTAATAATATTTACAACTTGTTTGATCGAGAATTGGATAGAAAATGAAAAAAATCGTTATCTTTTTATATGTAAAATTATACGAATCTATAAACAACGATTGAAATAGTTGGTTCTCAAATATTTATCGGATATACGGCGCTGGTCACTTTAGTTCCTCAGTCTGTATTTTAATCCATCCGACAGAGATAAATACATATAAGACCAGTTGATAGATAGAGAGACAAAATAAAAGCGGCGTACGGTGTTGCCAGTTCGTACGTGACGTAGCGTAATAAACGAACATAATATATCGAAGACAACATAGTTGCTTGAAAACTTGGAATAAAATATTTTCAGTCACTTTTTACAAATATAGAAATGAGTATTAATTGATTTTTTTCAGAAATAGTGCCAATAATCGTATTTTAAGGTGCAAAGCTGCATTCAAAAACTACGCAGTATCACTGGCTACACGCCATAGAACCAATAAAATTTGTACTAAATTCAAACAGCTGTCAATTTTAACTTTAGTTACTTAATTAACAACTATGATTGTTTTTGTAGTTTCGCCAGCGACACAATGTAGTTCTGACACCGAGGTTTAATAAAAATCTATTGCAGCTATAGTAAAATGAATAAATAATTGTGTTATTTAAAGATCCAACCCTAGATGCATCATTTTTCGTAAACGCTTACTTAGGCGGTATGAAATATTGAAGCAAAATCCGGCAATACTGCATAGAAGAAAGCCCTACTTTTTAGAGATCAACCCAACTTTTTTCTCTTTTTAATACATTTGTTTTTTCATTATGCCGTCTCTATCACTGATGTCTCACACGTTAAAATCCAGACCACGCTTCTACTGTGACCAAATATGTATATGGTAACCCACTAGCAACAAAACAACCTCAAAATTATAGATGATTAATTTGTTAAAGATATTTAGAATCGTTTTCCATAATAATATGAGACTAATAAAAATGAGATGAGAAATAAATGGATTTAATCTGAGAGTATTCCAATTTAATTATTAAATAAACGTATAAAACTGAAAAAATGTAATCGAGTTATTTTATTTAATAAAAACGGTATGTGTTAATACAAAACAAACAAGAACAAGACACCACATACCAAAAAATATTAAAAAGAACTACCTATTTCTTACTTTCAAGCTTTATGAGACTTCCCGCAGTTATGATTATATTTATCAATATAACTTATGTACAAATACAAATTTGTACTATTCCACAGGAATAAATAAAACAACATAAATAAAACAAACTATTTTATTAATAATAACACTTACCAAATTTTATAACTTAAAGGTTGATTTTTGGTTGAACTTTAATCTTGAATCTGAAAGGTTGAACTTTAATCTTAATTTTTTTAAACCAGTACCTTTTGACATTATTTTTCTGCAGTACTAAAATCCATTATTTACTACTATTCCAGTTTTTAGTATGTGTTTAGTATGGTCCTACCATATTCGAGATGCACTTATCTACAACGAGATGGTATACAAACCTTATTGATGGTAACTTGTAACTTTATTGGTGTATAAGACTTTCAGCCTGGGCAGCGAGTATTAACCATAAACTGTGCTCTGGGTCTACAGTTAATTTTCACTCGATTTTTCCTCCACTTGACTTCAAAAGACACAAAACACACGTAATAACACGAATCAAAATGCATCATCTTCCAAAACGCAGGGTATTTGACACAAAATTATAACCTATATTTTGGCAAGACTTTGACAAGCGTCAAAAATCTAAAGGCATGTTCATACGCATCGGCGTCCGTTTGTCGTTCATCGTTCCGTCAAACCAATAAAATTGAAATACGATCTGTCATTTTTGAAATAAACCAAAAAAACTGGTTAAAAACAACAAGAGACGACGCATGACAGATTTATATTTAAACCCATCCATAGTTAACTTAAAAATTATTAGAAACTTTTTTTAGTAAAATAAATAGATAGGTATAGGACGTCATCTGCTTTTCTTCTGTCATCGTCTGTCGAAATCTTACCTGAGAGAAAAAACAGAGTATAACGTATTTTTTGGTCTAAAAATTATTAATGTAAAAATTAATTTCTCTAGTATTAGAAATTTTAAAAATAATTGTGATTTTAGGTTAGTTCAAAACATATGTTTTATATGAGCGCAAGCGCTTACTAGAATATTGATTATTTTATTAAGACAAATAGGAGAAGTATGAACAGCATTTCCTTAAGTTATTAAAGTTAATTTCTTAAGGTTAATGCTAAGGATAAGGTTAGGACTAATTCACGAAGTATGGACCCACCATAAAAGTTACAAAATTCTCTAACACAGTATTGCCAACTATTTCAATTAATGTTGATCGCATTGTATATGAAATGTCATCGATCGTCATTTCCAAGCCATCTTGACACAGTTTTTATTCGATAAAAAAAGATTTATACATTTTTAACCTGATCTGCCTGGATAACACATCTACTTAATAACTCATTGATATGTATTTTGAGATCAGCTTTAATAGAATAAATCATAGGTTACAGAATATTTTTTACTTCATCTATAAATATAAACATTTTGAAATATGTACTTATTTTAATAACGCATTCAAATAATTCATCAAATTATTTGAAATGAGGTAAAAGAAAAATACGTTCTAAATAATCAGACTTAAATTTGAATAGCCTAAAAAAGGATCATAATGAAGCATGCATTACAGAGTTCTAATGTTGACTTCCTGGGCATATTTTGTTTACACATTGTCAAATGACAAAACAAGAAAAATTTTCTATTTTCCTCTACTAATAGCTATTAATTTTCCTTATCATTTAAATGGGGCAAATTTATTTATATTAATGGTTAAAGAAAGAACAATTCTGAGAAATAGTAAAACTTGATCTATTTATTATTCGAGACTAAAATTAAAAATAAAGTACAATTAAATAAATCAAGATTTATTATACTATTACAATACATGGAATCATTACGTTTTAAGAAGTTATCTTTTGTATGCAGATATGTGTACTTTAAAACTTAGAATTTTTACTTTACTTTAGAATTGTACACACATTGCTTATGGACTTGATAATGATTTTGTGACGTATATGAAGTCAAGTTGATTGCATGCTCTTCCCTACTAACAAGAGTGAATAGAAATATCAGCATGTAAAAACATTTTTTATTCACATTAAAATCACACACTCTTAGCACGATTTCTGGCTTTTTACCACTGTTTTAGGTGGTGATCAGGATTAGAGATCAGTAAAACCTGGGAAGAATTTTTCTAAGTTGGGTTTAATGGTTAAAGGGCATGTCGTAACTAACATTTTTATAAAGTGTATGTATGAATTGAGTTTTGGTCTTTCACAAATTTATTAAAGCGTTGTTATTGAAGTCTTGTACTGACTGAAATATTTTAATATATATTTTGTTGAAAAATCAAGTGTATATTGGAGTGAATGGATGTATTTACAGGGTTGTTCACCACATACAACACGGAGTATTGTAGCTAAACGATTAGATTTTTACAAATTGTAAGTTTTGGGTTCGTTGAAGCACTATTAAAGCTACAATTTAAAAATATTTTTACAAGATACGAGTGTCCCAAATAAGTAAAAAATATTATAGTTGTATTTTTTTAAATAGAACAGCCTGTATATTATTCTATTTTTGGATTCTACGATTGAAATAAAGGTAAATTTGATTAAGGTTTATCACACTTAAACCTTACCGTTTTTGAAATATTTTCAATTTTATGAAATTACAGAAAAAAAATTAAGGCTTTATTTCTCCAAGGGTATAAAAGTTTTTAATACTAAATATTTACTGAAGATTATTTATTGGTCATATATTGTGTTGCATTAATAAAAATTTTACGACCTAATACAGAGTGTCCAAAATGTTTTATTAAATAATTACTAGCTTTAAACGGCAATAACTTGTTTAATTTAAATGGAACACCCTATATATTTTACTTGAATCAGATACATAATGTAATTGCCTATCAAATTGTATTGTTCCATTTTTTACCCATCTCTTCAAGTTTTCATAGAAAATGCATTTTCTTATAGTTTAGACCTCATTTATCACTATACCCATGGAATATTGACATTTTAGCTTATTTTTAAAGATGTAACAAATTTTCAAAGGGTACATATTGTAATATTGTTGATATAGTTCGCTTATTTAATTAAAAAATAAAAAAAAACTGTTTAAATATTTTTTGTTAAAGAGGACCAATTAATATGATCCCAGTATTCAAACTACATTAATTGACTGTTTACGTTGTAGTAATAATTGTTCCAAATACTAAAAACTGAATTTTGTGTGTATTACACAGTGTGGTAAAAAAGTAACACCTTATAAATTTTATTTCATTTATTGACGAATGCTTATTTATAAAAACAGAGACATTCGTTTTCATAACTTATTATTATATTGATTTCTGAGCCAAATCCACATTTATTTAGAATAATTTATTAATTAAAACAATTTAAAAGTATGTAATTAACTAATTTTTGGTGTTTTTGGTAGGAAATAATGGTGGTATATTTAATTGGTATACTCCTTTACAAAGATTTAAATAGTTTTTTTGTATGCCAATGGGCATGCAATATTTACCACCTGTACAGTTTGTACATATTATGGTGCTATAAAAAAATCTGAAATGTCAATATTCCATGGGTATAGTGATAAATGAGGTCTAAATTATAACAAAATGCAATTTCTACGAAAACTTGAAGAGATGGGTAAAAAATGGTATAATACAATTTGATAGACAATTACATTGTCCATCTGATTCACGTAAAATATATAGGGTGTTCCATTTAAATGAAACAAGTTATTGCCGTTTAAAGCTAGTAATTATTTAATATAAATTTTTGGACACTCTGTATAAGGTAGTAAAATTTTTATTATTGCAACACAATATCTGATCAATAAATAATCTTCAGTAAATATTTAGTATTAAAAACTTTGATACCCTAGGAGAAATAAAGCCTTAACATTTTTACTGCAATTTCATAAAATTGAAAATATTTCAAAAACGGTAAGGTTTAAGTGTGATAAACCTTAATAAAATTTACCTTTATTTCAATCGTAGAATCCAAAAATAGAATAATATATAGGGTGTTCCATTTAAAAAAATACAACTATAATATTTTTTACTTATTTGGGACACTCTGTATCTTGTACAAATATTTTTAAATTGTAGCTCTAATAGACCTTCAACAAACCCAAAACTTAAATTTGTAAAAATCTAATCGTTTAGCTACAATACTCCGTGTCGTATGTGGTGAACAACCCTTATAGAAGTATTAAGCATTTTTATTAGACTTAATTTAAAACCCAAATTTAAAAATTCGATCTTGGTTTAAGTGTTAATATTTTTATGTTTTAATCTACTAGAATTTATTTTGTCATAGGTGTTACATCAGATTTTGGTCATGAAATGGATACACATTCTATTAACAAGATGCCGGGTGAATATGAACATGCCTCATCGTTTATTGAAAGGTAGGTTTATATTCTTTGTATATTAGCCTTGTATTATTTATCCTACAACTAGGGTTCCCAACCGTCCCGGTTTGGCCGGGATTAACCAGGAATCAGAAAGTTTGTCCCGGCGAAAGTTTTGCCTTGGCCGGGACCTGGAAACTAGAAAAGTGTGTACTACACACATAATATATTTTATTTTCTAATATTTAATGTCTTGCTTCAATTATTTAAAAGCTTAAAAATAATTGTCCCGGAATCGCCGATGCTCAAGTTGGGAACCCTACCTACAACTATAATTTAAAACTAGTCTAATATTAATTTCCTTTAAATTTCTAGTCAGACACTATTCTTGTAAAGTATTTTTTTCCACGTAATTTAGCAAATAATGCATAAATCATGTTTTATCGAGAACTTTTTTATTGTGTTAGGTTGGGAGCCAACACTGATTCCTATTTACAAAAGTTCTTTGAAAAATGGGGTACATTTTGCGCAAGGAAACCTTGGTTAGTTCTGTTTGTAGGCACGTGTGTAGTAGTTGGTCTTGGACATGGTGTTAAATACCTTCAGGTAAGATTCATTGACTCATTTTTTAATATTAAAATTATTTTGTTTATGTGAAATATACATTTGTGTTGAGAACAACCACCAGTGTATTTCGGAACAATTAAAAGTAAGGGAAAATTGGCATAATTCTGAAATTTCCTACAAATGATCATTACTTTCTGGTTGTGGTACTTGTATAATTCCGTTACTACGTTATACAAGTCATAATATGATTAAACCATATACGTATAAATAAAATATGCCCCTATGTAACCACGTGTGCTGTTTCCATGCCGTAAGAAAAAGACAACAAAACTTATTACTGTATAAGTCTATTTCACCCGGATATCGATTGAACTGCGATTGCGCCAAACTCCGATTGATTGGTATTTTAGTTCTGTTTCAACTCCATGATAATCTGTTATAAATATTAAAAAAATAAATAAAATTAACGAGGTGAAATGTCAGTCAACCACTTTCCTTTAAAAACACCGACCAATGAAAATTTCTTCGGGTGAGGCATGCGAAGTTAAATGAATATCCGGGTGAAGTAGACTTATGTAGAATTTCATATTGCTCTTTCACTGTTTGGGCATCACTTTTTAGAGGCTGAGTATATTTTATTTATACATATATGAATTAAACAGAGATTCAATATAAAAGATTACTTACCTGTTACCATAGATAAAAGACTTATACTATTAAATAGATAGACAACTTATAATACATTTCAATTTTATTATACAAGGGCGCCTCTGGTAGTCGGAGGAAGAAATACAAATGGAGGGGAGGGGTGCGGGGAAGGGGGTTGTTTTAGTTAATTTAAAATAAATTTAGACATACATGTAAGAACACTTTGTGTGCTTTTAATTAGGTAGAACATATTATAAACGATAAATCAACTTAATTAAAAGCATACAAAGTGTTCTTATATGTCGGATATTAATTTAAAAAAAATATTAAAAAGACTAGAAATAGTATATATTAAGTTGTTACAGTTATAATTTAATCTTTGGCAGTTTTCGGCAAATAGCAGGCAGTTTTACATAATTTTCCTCCCTTTGAAGTGAATTGGAAACGGCTATATAATTTTGGTATAGGCAAGATTCCTAGTTTGTTTCCGTTTGAGACCTGAAATAATAAAAACAAATTAAATTAGATGTAGTCATCTGTTGATCATGCTAATATAACGCAACGCGCGTTACATGTCCTTACATGCACCGTAAAAAAAATTAAATAACTGCTCAGCAAGTAGCATTTATTCGCAGTACTAATTTAAAAAATCTATAACTGTAAATAGATATGTTTAATTTACTTACCATTGTATCCTTCGGAAACCAGGTGTACAACAATTAAACCCCATGATAAAAAATAATTAAGAGTCTATACAAAACACAAATTATTGTCCCACCATTTTTAAAAAACATATTGTCTAAAACAGAATACTGGCAAAAAATCTGAAGGAATTTAATTTTACAATAATTCGACAAATCAAAACGAAATCAAACCGTAAAATCACAACAAAAGCGTCTCTGAGTGTCTCGTGACAGTTAAAAATCAAATTTTATTATTGTCAGATATTGACATTTGCATTATTAATATTGACAGTTTTAATATTTTGCGCCTCTGTGCATCTTGGAGGAAAAACTATTTTTAATGAACTGTCATTTCCATTTAAGTTTCCCAGCCATGCCTGTTACTTAATTTCTAAAGTTGACGTTTGGTTTGTGAATGTCATATATCAAGGCACGTTTTAAAAAAAGACATCTATACAGGGTTTTCAAACGACTACTTTTTTGATTAACTAATTTTGTATAAAAATTTTCAACTATAAAATGATTATTTTATATTTAAAACTTTTTTACCTGTACTACATAGAGTATTACAGCACGAAAAATTTATCTACAATTGACCTACTAATGTGTAATATTACATATCTTATCTGGTGGGCGTGTTTATGGAAATTAATATTGAGATTTATATTGTGATTTTGGTTCACCTTGTATACTCAAACAAGTTTGTAGAAAAACAACAAATAAAATTATATTCGAATAGAAAGGTCTGCCTAAAAAGAGTCTGATTTCGACAGGTGACACAAAAAATTGCAGAAAATACAATTTTTCTGTGAATTAAAATTACATACACTACTCACTGTCATTTTCGTTATACAGACACATATAATACAGGGTGTTTCAAAAAACTCGAGGAAGGGATTCCTCGCGTAAAAATAAGGTTTATCTTTGATATCAACATAGGTCCTATTTTGCTTTGTTTCGTAGCTACTGGGGGTTAAAGCTAAAAAATGTAACCTATTATATAAACCGATTTATTACAATTTACTTCCGAATGCTTTTAGCGAATCGAATGAAATTTTGAGGGTAAAAGTTACTATAACTGCTACATCTTTTAGAGCTAAACAAGTGTTAACAGATTCGCCAGGGACGTGCATATGGGTAATCACTGAAATATTTTTTTAAAAAAACACATTGGCTGTACCGACTTTTTTGTCTTGTTAGCAAAATTGTGTAGGCCATTTAATGCCAATTGAATGTTGTATCTTGATATTTTTTCGTTTCGATATGAGAATCTTCTTATGAGAATCGATATGAGGTATCTCTCTCCTTGATGAGATAGACTATTAATACTATAACAATTAATAAAATAAAAATAATAAATTATTTATTTAACCTAATTTGTTATTAAACTCTATTAAAATGTATAACAATGATGTTCAGCTATCTACAGCAAATTAATAATAAATAGTATTTAAGATAATTACAAAATACATATTTGTTAAAAGTTTTAACATCCTGTATCTTGTTGAATGAATCAATGAGTACTTAAAAATAAGATTTATTAACGTAAGTTAACACTGGTCAGTTAATGACATTAATTTAGTTAAAGGTTGCTATTAGACTTGTATTAAGGCAAATTAATAAGATTGCGTTTAGCTTATCAAGCAAACCAAAATCAACAAAATATCAAGAGAACACTTTTCAGTGGCGCACATGTTTTTTTAAAAAAATATTCCAGTGATGACCTATGTATATGCACCTCCCTGGTATATCTGTCGACACTGTTGTTGCATTAATATATGTCGCACTTATAGTAAGAATTACTATAAGTGCGACATATATAGTAAGTTTTACTCTCAAAATTTCATTTGAATCGCTAAAAGTAGTGATGGGAAATACCGATTAATTTCAATAATCGAGTACTCGAGTTACAAGCGATTTCAATAATCGAGTACTCGATTATTGAATCGAGCGAAATATCGCTCGTATTTAAAAATCCGGTTTTTCTCCTGTCGCTTGTTGCTTGTTGTACTCGTAACGCCAAGCAGTAAGTTGCGTGCGCAGAGCACATATTCTTTCGGTGATGAATGGCAAGTAGCAAGCGACGAGGGATTCGCTTGATCGCTTGCTTGATTTAGTTTATTTCAAGGCATTGTCGATGTAGGTCGTAAAATTTTGTCACTCAAATATGCAACGGATAAGGTATAAATTTGCTATCTGCAATGTATGTAGAAAATTCGCTCGGCTTTTTATCGAGTATGTGACATTAAAATCGGATTTCAATTTATTTCATTCTATGATCGCTTGCGTTCGTCGCTCGTAACTCTTCACTTGCATCGCTCGTTCATAATCGAGCGATGTCGGTTATTTCAATAATCGAGTACTCGAGCAAGTTTTCGCTCGAGTTATCCCATCACTAGCTAAAAGCGACTTTAACCCCTCGTAGCTACATAACAAATCAGTATCGGCCCTATGTTGTTATATAAAATAAATCTTATTTTTACGTGAAGAATCTTCCCAAGAGAGATGGCACATCTTTTTTGAAATACCCTGTATAAAAAGCATTTAATGCCCACATAATTTTTTGGAACTTATTCATTTGCAACCTGTATATTAAAACTGTAAATTCTTTTGGCAGATTACAACGGATCCAGTTGAATTATGGGCATCGCCAACATCCCGCAGTCGCGTCGAGAAAGAATATTATGACTCACACTTCGATCCGTTCTATCGCAATGAACAAATTATTATCAGGGCCAAGAATCTTCCGAAAATCGTGCACAATACATCGGTAGGCAATGTAGTCTTCGGACCCGCCTTCAACGATACCTTCTTAAAGGAGGTACTAAATCTTCAAGAGCAGATTAAAGCGCTCGGAGCGGGCACTGAATACAGCTTCGAGAATATATGCTTCGCTCCTCTGAGAAATGTTGGAGATGAACCGTCCTTAGATCAGTGTGCCATACAGAGCATTTGGGGGTATTATCAAGACAGTATAGAGACATTCGATGCAACTGATCAAGATCCGGCAGGTTACGAGATAAATTATTTAGATGCATTCCTGAGTTGCGCTAGGTAAGATATATTTATTTTTATTCTTTAATTTTTTTCTTTGATTAAAAATATGAAGGAAGGAGTCTAATACCATATGATCGAGAAAAAAACCATTTCATAGCCATGAAATGAAGATCGCTGTCATTTTATATGTAAATTTATATGGGAAATGTCATCGATCGACATATCCCAGCTGGATGCCGTTTTTTTTCCATCATGCGGTATTATTTATACCATATTGGTAAAATATTTTAAGAACAATCATATATACTATGGAAATGAAGATAATATATCTAAGCTATTTAATAATACTCAATTCTGTAGCTTGAAAACATGGAATAAAAGACAGTATAATATAACTTCAGTAGTCTGGGCAGATATCCTTCCGGCAATCACCCGGATTATCCAGGCGCCCGGATTACTGGAGCCACTTAAATTTATACCTTTAGAACATAAAGACAACTCAAAAATTGTCAAATATAACGTTGATTAATTGAAATTATAGATTAAAACTATTTTTCGCATAAAAAACTGATTCATGTCTACGTTGCAGCACAGTATCAAGGTTGATGTACTCATTTGCATTGTATGTTTGTTCTTTGCTTAATGTCATCCTAGTGGCTTAATGTCATCCCCAGCAACATATAAATTTTTCCTGATACGTAATCACGGCGGTAACATCACTGGAAAGCAATAACATTTCTGGCCACATATCGTAAAAAAACATTTTTCGTGCCTTAATTTCAGTTTATCTAGTATATAAAAAGCAGTATAAACCAGTTGTACAGTACATCTGCTGGATCTGTGTCTATGAAAGGAATGCGGGCAAAAAACATTTAAATAAACAGCAATATATTTTATACGTAGATTTGACGAGTGCGTAACCACAAATCGCTACGCCCACTCACTTTATTGGCTACTTGCAAATTTGTCGAATTTTTATTGATGGGACGCGTCGTCTAATTTTTTACGAAAAACATCGAGAAAATATCGTTTCCCCTCTCACGGATACCCCGGAGCTACAGAACGAACAGACGTACTGTACAATGCTAGTACAAGTTCAGATTATTCTGCTCTTCTATTTTTTTTTATATTGGCTTTTAAAACCACACGTCATCGATAATGCTATTTCTACCTGGCGCTTGCAATAATTTTAATATAAAAGTCCTTATTTTATCCTTCTTTTTGTTTATGACAAATACTGCAGATTTTGGAACCATAACTGCTCCGCAATTTGACGAGTATTTTTCCCGAATCAATATTTTAGATTTTTTGGCTGAGAGTGTAAAAGTCTCATGTGTTCATTTGACTGAAACCATTACATTGTAGATTGTCCCCCTTTCTTAAGTTATAACTCATCATACAGTGCTTTGACAAAAGCCAGTAGAGAGGTTAGTTCTCCATCTCCGATGTCAGTCCTATCAAAGTTTATGGCACGAATGGTTGTCGTCTCCGCGCACTCAGTGATGAGGTGTTCTGATGTTTCCCATTTCCCCACAGAATCTGCATTTGCCGTTGTTTTTTAGCTACTTTTTATCTACTGAGGTGTTCATTGAGGGAACAGTGTCCAGTTAAATACCCCGTGACAATACGAAGATTGTTCTTACTTAAATCGAGGAAAATCTTTGATTTTTCTCGGTCGTAAATTCTAAGAAATTTCTTCGAGTGTCATAGACCACTGGAGGATTCCCATTCCATACGACTAACATGCTCAAGAATCAAATTCAGAAATATAGACTCAGTTCATAAACAAAATGTAAATGTGTCTGCGTGTCCAGATTGGAAAATTCTGAGATTTCTCGTATGATTTTTTTTGAGTCCGGATTTCAGGGGTAAATGTTTTAAAATGCTCGAATAATAGCAGTGTCCAGATTACCGGAGTGACCGGTCTAGGGACTGTCCGGACTATTGAAGTTATACTGTATCTGCAGTCACTTTTACAAATGCCATAGAAATATTCATTGGTTTGTTCACATTAGTTCAGGAAAAGTGCTAGATATCGTATTTTAAGGTATGAAGCTTCCTTCTAAAACTACGCATTGTAGCGGGCTACATGTCAGAGTACCAATAAAATTTGTATTAAGTTTAAACAGCTATCAATTTTGACTTTAGTTACTAACCTAACAACTATGATTGTTTGTTTTTGTAATTTCGCTAGCGACACAACGTAGTTAAGGCGTTAATTAAGGCACTTACAAACTGGAATTTAAGTCGGTCATATTAATCCCCCATCACGTTCAGCTGTCAACCTAAGGTTGACATGCTTCTTTAATCCATATTATGTATAAGCTTCGATTCACAAAGGTGACGATTGCATCAGAATATGTTTATTTATTTGAAAAATACATACTTGACAGGCATTTAAGTGTGTTAGAGTGAGACAACTTTCTTCACAACTTTCTTTCAGTCCTGGACCAAAGATAGATGATTTTTTCTTGGATTTTATTCCCTACTTTAGACAAACCCTCAATTAATTATATACAAAATACTTAAATGTAGACAACGCCCTTCTTTGGTTGCTGATTTTTGTGTGTACTAAGCACAATCAATTTGTTCAGTACGATAGGATGTACTGAACAAAGAGAGAAGAGCAAGTATTTTCCGAAGTGCATGAAATAAAGCGCTGGATTAAGTAGTTATGTAATAAACACTTATCATTTTCCTCTCTCCGACTGTATTGTGGATAGGATGTATCTTAAATCAGTATCAATTTTAATAATCATTAACATTTATTGGCTTAACATAAAACAAAAGCAACACATTATTGAGTCTATCCTACTGAATATTTTAACATGTTTAAAATACTATAATTATATACCAGAATTCTCATATCAGGCCATATAAAAAACGCTCGCAAATATTTCTTCCTTTATTTTATTCAGTGATGTAAAGTTAGACCCATAGCTTTTGAGTAAATCCTATCTATAAATATTTTAAGCATGCAAGCATACTGTGTAGAATGAGTGATTTCATTGATTTCATAACACTGACGGAAATCCTTATTAAATTTGATAATAATATATTTGTTACAGCAATCCATACAACCCCCTCTGTCTCGCCCCATATGGAGGTCCCATCGACCCGGCTATAGCTTTAGGAGGATTCCTAAAACCTGGTGAAAATCTGGCCGAAAATCCTAAATATGAAGAAGCTACGGCCGTAATTCTGACTTTTTTGGTTAACAACTATCATAACAAATCCAAAGTAGTAGCTGCGATGGAATGGGAAAAAATATTCGTCGAATTTATGACAAATTATACCAAAAATAACATGTCCGACTTTATGGATATTGGATTTACAAGCGAAAGATCTATCGAGGATGAATTAGATCGTGAATCTCAAGGAGACGTTATAACCATCTTAATTTCTTATCTCATTATGTTCGCATATATTGCCGTTTCTCTTGGTCAGTTAAACAGTTGTTCCAGGCTATTAATAAATAGTAAAATCACTCTTGGACTTGGAGGTGTGATTATAGTTTTAGCCTCTGTAGTCTCATCTGTGGGTTTCTTTGGATTTATACGTCTCCCGGCTACTTTAATTATCATCGAAGTCATTCCGTTCTTAGTCCTCGCTGTCGGCGTCGATAACATTTTTATTTTAGTTCAGACTCATCAAAGAGATGCCAAGAAGCCTGGAGAAAGTAACGCGGAACATATTGGACGGACTTTGGGTCAAGTTGGGCCCAGTATGCTTCTAACCAGCATTTCAGAAAGTTGTTGCTTTTTCTTAGGAGGTCTTTCTGACATGCCTGCAGTCAGGGCTTTTGCACTTTATGCCGGAATGGCCCTTCTCATTGATTTCTTATTACAAATTACTTGCTTTGTTAGTTTATTGTCTCTCGATACCATCAGACAAAATTCAAACAGATTTGATATTTTTTGTTGTTTCCAGGGATCGAAAAAACGGGAGTCTGACAGTCTCACTAATCAAGAAGGACTTTTGTATACCTTCTTTAAGTCAATTTATGTTCCTATCTTAATGAACAAATTTGTGAGGTGTATAGTAATGATAGTTTTCTTTGGTTGGCTGTGTTCGTCAATAGCTGTTGTGCCTTCTATCGAAATCGGATTAGATCAAGAACTGTCTATGCCGGAAGATTCATTTGTGCTGAAATATTTCAAATTTCTGAAAGACTATCTCAGTATAGGGCCTCCAGTATATTTTGTAGTTAAATCTGGACTAAATTACTCAAACTATAACGACCAAAATTTGATATGCGGCGGACAGTACTGCGACATAGACTCGTTGATTACTCAAGTGTTCGTTGCCAGTAAAACACCTGAAACAACTTTTATTGCCAAGCCTAGTAACAGTTGGTTGGATGATTATTTCGATTGGTCCGTTATTGATCAGTGTTGCAAATATAATACAACTAGTGGAGGATTTTGCCCTCACAACAGCGGTAAGTAAATCAATAAAGCTTATTTTTTTATTTCATACTGTCTAGTACTGATGAAACGGATAGTTGTTTGGCCGGATACCGAATACCAGATATTCGGTGAGCTGAGAGGCCGGATGGCGGCCATCGAGATTGTTTCAATAAAATTGCTGATGAAAATATTAGACAATGTCGCGATCAAGAGAAAAACCCAATTGCAAGCGTGATTGACTACTATTTGAAAACAGTTCGAATTGATCACAGCCGGGACCCTTACAGTTGGTTGTCGAATAACGCAAACCACTAACCCAATTTGATGAAATTTGCGAAAATATATCTTTCAGCTCCTTGCAGCAGTGTTTTTAGTAAGAGGTTGTTTTCCGAAGCTGGTTTGGTTTACAACAAGCGAAATCGACTATTACCGACAAACGCTGAAAATTTAATTTTTACTCGCCATAATTTGCCACTTATTAATTTTGACTATTAATTTTCTAAAATTCCCATTGATAAAAGAAAAAGAACAAGATAGTAATTTTAAAAATCTGTGTATTTTTTTTCATTTATTATTAGTTACCTATTTATGTCACTATATGAAGTTTTTATTTTTGTGTTTTTTATTAAAGTGAATAATGAATATTTTCATATTTTTTGAATTTTTTGTTATTTTCAGCTTTAAATAAAAGCAATTTAAACTGTAAGTACATTATTTTTTGTTATTTATGTTACTTTTTGAATATCCGGTATCCGGCCGGATAGTGAGTTACTATTCGGTATCCGACCGGATACTAAATTTAGCAAATTAAATTAAATTTTACCGGATGGTTGCCGGATATCCGTTTCATCTCTACTTTCCTATATCTAGTATACCTAAATGTAAAAATGTTAAAAATTTATTTTTGAAGAACGTTCCCCGAAAACGAAAGGGTGTAATGTGTGTAAAGGGAATTATCGAGCAAATGTCGAGAATTTATAATTAGCGTAAATCTTAAAAGCTACACCTGTTGGATATGACAGCAGTCACATAGAAACAGCCATTTAAAAATGGGAAAAACAATAAAAGTCCATAGGTAATTTGAATTAAAAAAACGCTTTCCTGGACATTTGTCGTTTTTGAATACTCATCGTTTTCCCGTGCGCTCTTCAATTGAATACGTCAATCAATCCTGATTTCTGTCATGTACTAACGTACCAAATCTCGTTTTTTTATCTGAAATAATAAGCCACTTTTGAGAAACACCCGGTATGCTTTTATAAGGGAACGTGTCCGCACAATGATTAACGTCACGAATGGAAACGTTCTCTCTATTACAACACTAGATACACGTCCCTTAGGTCACTACTGCAGTACTCTTGTATTCTGGACCTACCGGACTTTATAATGGAAAATACTATTATATAATGTAATCTCTTTGTTACAGATTCCGAGGATTGCGATGAGTGTAGTATATCAACCAATGCCTCTATACACAGGCCTATAGCGACCGATTTTGACCGCTATATATCATTTTTCCTCAAGGACAATCCCGATGAAGATTGTGCGAAAGCCGGTCACGCCGCCTATGGCCAAGGCGTAAACTACCGAACAAACTCGACGACACATTTGTCAAAAGTAGGCGCCAGTTACTTCATGTCCTACCATACCATTTTGAAAACTTCGGCTGATTATTATGAAAGTATGAGAGCCGCCAGACAAATTTCTGCTAATCTCACCAAAACTGTTGGCGTAGAAGTGTTCCCATACAGCGTGTTCTATGTATTTTACGAACAGTACCTTACTATGTGGCCAGATACAATTCACAGCCTAGGAATATCTTTAATAGCCATCTTTGTTGTTACATTTTTATTAATGGGACTGGACATTTTCTCCAGTATAGTGGTTTTAATCACCATTACCATGATTTTAGTGAATCTCGGAGGATTAATGTATTGGTGGCATATAACTCTAAATGCAGTTTCTCTAGTAAACTTAGTGATGGCTGTAGGTATCAGTGTTGAATTTTGTTCGCATTTGGTGCATAGTTTCTCGGTGTCTGTAAAACCTACTAGAGTGGAGAGAGCAGCGGATGCCTTAACGAAAATGGGAAGCTCGATATTTTCTGGAATCACCTTGACTAAATTTGGAGGAATTATAGTGCTGTACTTTGCGAAATCTCAAATCTTTCAAGTATTTTACTTCAGGATGTATTTAGGAATTGTACTTTATGGGGCGGCTCATGGATTGGTATTTTTGCCGGTGCTGCTTAGTTTTATAGGTAAGTTTTTTAATACCTGATTAATTTTGAATTTTTCTGCTATTGTGAAATGTCGTTCATATTCTTAATGTGATTAACCTTTTTTTCTTCATTATACTAATAGCTATGAAGGGCAAATATTTTATTAGTATGTAGAAAATAGTTTTAATCTGGCAAATGACCTTTACTCTGCTTGACATAAGACAACCTGTGTCTTTTTTTAAAAAAAAATAATTATAATTCAATTATAATACACAGGATGTTTTATAAGTTTTATGTATTGAGTTGTAGAAGTCGTTTTCTAACATTATGAAGGAGGTAAAATTATTTTCTTTTCTCTATAAAAACTATTACCAAAATCAGACTTTCTTTAGGTATTAATCTTCATCCAAATATATGAAGGGTTAGGACAAAAAAAAGTAAGCCAATGTCCCTCCAAAATGAGAAAAGCACGATTTAATGTTCAAAACGCTACAAAAACAGAGTACAGGAACTTAAAAAATAGTGTAATAGAAATTTGTTAAAACCAAACCAAACCCAAAAGGCTCATGGCTTGAATCTTTCTCCATTTGTTTCTGTCTTTCGCCTTTATTCTCCTCCCCTCCACTTTTATCCTTCTCAAGTTCTGTTCAACGTCCTTTTTCTGGTTCTCGGTTTACCCCTCCTTCTCTTTCCACCTATTTTACGTTTCATTATCATACTAGGAACTCTTGTTTGAGCCATTCTTCGCATCCCAGCCATCTCAGTCTTTGTGTTCTTGCTACTCCCGTTATACTCGGTGCGCAATATAGTTGTTTTAATTCTTCATTTGTTCTTCTGGTTCATATGTTGTCTATTTTCTTTTCTCCAAAAATCTTCCTCAGTATTTTTCTTTCCCAAATCTCTAGCCTCGAACTTTCCGTTGTATTGAACGTCCACGTTTCACATGCATACAGCACTATTGGTCCTATCATTGTTTGGTACATTCTAATTTTTAAACTTCTAGAGATGTTTTTACTCTTAATAATTTTCTGTAGTGCGCTAAAACGTCTATTTCCTGTCATTATTCTTGCCACAATTTCCTGAACTTAGAACTTGGTAAAGGTATTTTTTATTAAATAAAATACCATTCTAACGGACAAACGTACGAAGTAGGGAATGCAATCCCGCACCAAAAAATTGCGGGACTGTAAACAATAGTCATACATTTGGTCCTAAATGGTACAAAAGGCATTGTACATTTTGCATAGGTCCACAATATATTGATATAGCGTGTATCTTAAACTAGCTGTACAGAATTTTGGACCGATGTATACAGGGTGTTCAAAAAATATATTTAATATTAAATAAACTTCAATTTTATTATAATTTATCTACTTATTTTATAAATAAAAATATTATTCTGATGTTGAAGTTTTTTTAACTTGTGTTAGTTATCTGCTTTTAGATACACTCTATATCAATAATTTTTTGGCATATGCAGAATGTAGAAAGTTTTTTGTACCATTTAGGGCCATACGTATGACTAAAAATGCATATTTTTCGGAAAAAAAACGTCGTATTTTCCTTAAAACCAAAAAAACATTTAAAAAACGATCAAATTGTTTTTTCTAATTTCAATACAGATGAGTCGTACTTGGTAAAAATTTCGATTTTTTAAAAATTGTAAATTTGCGGTAAAAAAGATACTTGACCAAATTTTCACACTCTTATAAAACACCCTGTATACGAGAATTCGCTAAATATATTTTCGAAAACCACATAGCATCTTAATCACAATAGATGCATCTAAAACCTGGTCCAAACCGCATCTCAAAATCTTTTTTAGTTCAAGAGATATTCAACTTTAAATTTACCCTAAAATTTTGCTTGTCCCGATGATTATGTCCGGCAATTTATTTGACGAATGTGTCCACAAGCACTAGTTAAACGCTTTTCTTCACTTACGCACATAGGCCAGAAAGAAATCTAATAACTAACCTGTTTGTTTCATTTATTTTTAATGGTCAAGCCGTAAGGGGAATCCCCCGGGTTCCGAGCGTCGACGCATCGGCCCGGAACGAAGCGGTTTGATCTTAATCGAGATCGATTCGGTTACCCAGTAATAATGTGTCGATCCCGCGGATCTCGCACGGTAAATCTCGCAACTTTGATCCCGCGGAACCTCAGAGGGATACCGCATTTGCGAGATCCAGCATTTGCAGGATTGCATTCCCTAGTACGAAGTCATCAATGAGTTGCCTGATTCTTTCCTCTTTTTGCTTGAATTGCCTGCTGTTTTTCCTTTATAGTATAACTTTGACGCATATATCTTCTGCCTAGGTTGCTTTTTTTTCAGTTTAGTGGCTTCTAAAGATGCTTACACTCACTCTAAACCAAATGCACCAAATATTTAAATATGGCAACCAAAAAAATGGACTTACCTGATTTTTTCCCCTACCCTTCATATGACATATTACGGAAAGAATTCCTCGAAGAAAAAACCTTTCTTAAAATTATGGCCTTAATTAATCGCTATAATAATATGATAGAGAACGACTTTTATATGGTATTTAGGTAATGACATGATAAAGGAAAAGTAATATTTGTTGCATGATAGAACATATGTGTTTCAATGGTATCTGCTTATAAACGTTTATCCTGTTCATTTAAAATCAATCTAATATTTTTAACTGTAGGAAGTCCCATGAATAAGGAAAAATTGGCCAAACATCGGAATTTAAACGGAGAGCATTTCCAGGAAACCCATTTTGGCAGAGTAAGGATTTTTTGTCTTTCTAAATTTTTTTAGATGTTTTTTTTTAATAGAAATAGTATTGTTTATTATATTTAATTATTCCTTAAATCATATCACGCTTTTGATCTGGCTTGTTGCTTGCATCAACTTTATTATTTATTAATTGTATTAACTAATTAATTAATGGTTTGTGATAATCTTTGTTTCCTTTTAACTGCTTGATTATTATGAATATTTAATTATCGTTCCCTTTAGTTACTGATATAGTTTTTCATAAATATTTAAATTACCTTTAAATGATTTGTCCAGAAAACATATTTTTTGTAATATAGAACTAATTTAAAAAAAAATATTTATATAGTACCTTGTTAAAATTGCAAAGTCTATTTTAGACAGAAAGTGTAAATATTAGATGCAAAAAAATAGATATTCACTTTGTTAGAAATATGAGGGTTTTGTATCGTTTTGTATCCACTTATTTTTTTCGAATACTCTTTACACAAGTTTGATATTTTGGCTTGTGGATGTCAAAAAAATTGCCTTTAGTACAATGATTATTTGGATATATAAATTATGGTATACAAAATGTTCAAATAGCTAGAATTTAATAATAGTAAAGAAAATATCTGTTAATATCACTGAATAAAACGACTAAGGAAGGAGTTTAACACCATTTTTAAATTCATACATTAAACACGGAAGGTACGCTATTATAACCATTTTGAAACATTTTTATTGTCAGTATTCTTTGGCGGTATATTAATGAAAAAAAATTATGTGTGCGCTATGTGCGCATATTTGAAGTGAACTTTTTACTTCCATCTGTTTGTCTAAGGACTCCGTTCGGGTATCTCTATCCACGTGCCGAGTTTGGTTCCAGTCCACCCATACTTAAGAAAAATCCTTATGATTTCGTCATTTAGAGGCATCGGTTCGAAACGTCGACGGCGTCATCCTGTAGCCCGTCCCCAATTATACCGAAATCGATCCGCATTATTTTCTTCCAGTGTTAAATCCTTAGTCCCACCCTGGTAAAGATGTAAATGAAACGTCGTACAGAACTTTGCAGGGTGGGATCCTGTGCACCGTGGCTCACATAGCCTACCCACCAAATTTGGTCGTGATCGGACGACATCAACTTTTGGCGTTTCTTACGTTAAAACTTTCACAGTGACACGTGTCGTACACGGTCAAGTTGGTCTTGGTTCAATCCTATCGATATCGACCAAATTTCATTTAAATCGAACAATTCTTTCGCCATTGATGGTAGGGTTTCATAGTCTACGAAACGTTGTCAAAAGAGTTTCTCCAAGGGTTGTCTCTGCCATAACCAAAAATTAATGTTGATACTGTTGACAGGAATGACAGGTCTAAATGTCAAAACTGTCAAATTTCGTAACGAACTTTTGGATGTATGTAACAGGCTTTTTTTATTTCACAGGATAACTTCAAACTTCGGATGTCGTACCATCGGATTTCGGATGCATGAGACTCCGGCTTTAAGCTTGATTTTCATGCATCCGTTATCCGACCATACGATGATACGATATTAATTTTATTATACGATTGGTTAACCGTTTCTAACCAATCGAAGTCTTTAAATTCAACCAATAAAATTAATATCGTATCGTCGGACAACGGATGCATGAAAATGAAGCTTTACGACGCTCCAAAGACCCATCTCAACTTCCTCATTGGCTTACCATTTTTTCGATTGTTATCACTTTTCGTGATGCTAGCTCGTAACAAAGTTTCACTTCAAAAATTTTTATTATCCTATTTATTTTCTTTAATATGTTTATAATCAATTATTGTTATTAATCATTAATGTTATCTCAACATAAAACAAAACCAGCAAATTATTGAGTGTACTCATAGTATATTATTTTATATTCTATGATGTTTAAAAACGCCAGTAATATAAATGGGAATTTCAAACTTGCGGTCCCGCAAATTTTGTTGATATACTCCCTTCTTAGTTTTTTTTGCACAGGCTAAATCAGGCGTCTAAATGCAAAACCCGACAAGTCCATTGAAACAAATTTTACAGAAAACGCAAAAAATTATTTAAAATATTATGAATATTAAAAAGAATAATAAATCTAAAGCATTGAATTTATCTGGCGCATTATTTCTTAAAAATATCATGCATAAAGATCTAATTCAGGGAGATTTTTTGTAAATTGGGATTTTAATTTGGACAGCTGCGACAATGTCGGGTTTTTGACTATAAACGATGTTGAATGTAAAAATCAAAATCAAAATAAAATGGATTGTGTTATTTCATTGAAACTTTATTGGAAGATAAACAAATGTAGGCAAGAAATAATAATATAACTAGCTTTTAACTAGGATTAGACATGAACATTTTAATTTTTAGCAGAACAAAACTTCTTCACGTAGTTAATCAGATCACATTGTCACATGACCTGACTAACTCATTCCTATTGGGTGACGAGCGCAGCCAACGAGAAATAGCGGCCTGGGCGCGTAATTATCACGTGACCGTAGGAGTTCACGAAAAGTTAGGTTATCAGGTGTTGAATGTTTGTTTACTTCGTTCCTAAAACGTTTTCTCTTGCGTTGCTCCTTTTTAACTAATTTAAATTTATTTAATTTTAATTAACAAAGTTAATAAAATAGGGTAGTAACCTCGGTAGTGACCAACAAGTAGTGTGAAGCTCGGTGTTAAGTAAAAAGACTAATTCTTAGCTGGACAAACATGCCGCGAACCTGTAGTGTTTTATATTTGATGTTGTACATATTTTAAAATGTATGAGGAATAACTGGATAAGCAATAGGGTAAGAAGTTGTGTATTTAAGTATCCTGAATTTGAGGGGAATAACTTGGAAAGAGACGTTCAAAAAATTAATTTTTTTAAAGCAAATTTTAAACTTTTAGAACAACTTTATGAAAAAGAAAAAAACTCTTTAATTAAGTATGGACATCTTTTGCACTATAAAGCTTTGTATCCAACTAACATTCAAAAACAAAACGTAAAAATAGCTTTAAGAATATTTAATGAAAAAAACATTGCTGCTCTGCGATTAGGATTAGAAAACTGCAAATGTTACCCCCTCGATTACATTTTGCTGAGCAAATTTCAAAATGATGTTCTTGAGGGCAGGTTTGAAAATTATAGACAATTAAGTGGGTAAAATTATTATATAAGCTATGTTCAAGTTTTAGAAAGTGAAAGGAGGTTACGTTTTAAAAGCACATTGTTGCTTTTTCAAAAAAATAAAGATTTACTGTCAAACATATCTTTAAAAAGTATATTAACTTCGATTTCCCTTTCAAACCAACTTGATTGTAACGATGCAGATTTAAACAGTTTTGTAGAATTATTAAACAACTTTAAAGACTTTTCTCTAGAAAGAATTCCAGAAGAAATACTTCCAATACTAACATATATTGCTGGGCTGCGTTCAGGTATTGCGGACGACAGTCTGTTTGGACGTGACGTAACAACCTAGAGTTGTTTGTTCTTATTCCACTACATTAAAATTATATTAAGATGTCTCTCTCTATAAGAATATCCTTTATTTTAGAACGTTAACGGACGTAAATTTTATATCCGGAGTGCATCTACCCTGAATATCTGAACGCAGCCCTGGATATGCTTCACGAAAGGAATTGCGACTTAAAAATTGTGATATATGTTCGGATTGGCTTAATATTACAGGCAAAATTGTTGCTGTAGATTTAGAATCTTTACCTTTTGATCTAATCATGGAACAAGACAGGGGAAAACTTACATTACCAAGCGAACATGCAATCTTTGTAGTATCTTTATGCTGGGCACTTTTTCAAAAAATTATAGATGAACACTTTGTAAAATTTATTGAATGTAAAAACCATCTCTCACTTATACACAAAATTAGTTGTTTCTTTTTACAAAGTTATTGTGAAACTTATGACATAGAAAATTTTTCATTAGAAAACCCTACGGAATGTTCGTGTGGGGAAAGGTTATATTTAAAACTACAAAAAATCACTTTAAGAGCTTGCAAAGTGTGTTTAAATAATTTTATTAAAAAACAAAATGTTCCGGTAATAATAATAAATCACTAAACAAAGATGATGACACCCAAAGAAAAGTAAAAAAACTAAGATCTCAATAAAGTAACTAGTTTAAGGGCTTTTTCTTATTTTGTAAAATAAATTTTAAATTAAACGATTAATTAGATATTTTAATTTTTGATTTATTTTTTTAATAAAGCAATCCAATAACCAATCCATTTCATTTAAAAGAGGTTAAAATAACAATAATTTAGGAACTCCTATGATCACGTGACCACCGATATACGCTATACGCGCCCAGGCCGCTATTTCTCGTTGGCTGCGGTGACGAGGTACATGTCGGTGTTTGAATTTAAATCCTGGTAGGATTTAAATTGATTGATACTAAATATCTTATAGATAATGCCGATATTTGCAAGAAAATATTATGAAATTTGATAGCTCTTTGGATAACGAATAAAATGGTGCATAGAACTCAATTTTTGAAAATGTGTGACTTGTCGGGTTTTGCATTTAGACGCCTGAAATATACTTTGCATGAGCATGCCATTTGCTTTTTAATATGTGAAGATTTTTATCATTGATATTGCTGATAATTTGACTCATGCTTTTTTGCTGACTTAATATATGTAATTTGTTGCAGGCCTGATGACCAAAAAAAGAACTCGTCAAATATCACAGCCTTCCAGTTCTCTGGAAGGATCTGGAGAGCCAAACGTTACGTCGCCTCTGTTACCCTCTACATCGAGACAGGGTTATAACTCTCTGAGACCAGATTACACTTAATAATCTGCGGCACTTATTTAGTTTAATTCGTTCTGTACATTATTTTTAATATTCAGACTATATCTTAGCTATTTATTTTATTAGTTGGTGTCAAACTTCCGTTTTTTGAGGACTTAATTTTTACGTTAGTATAATTGGAGAGGAAAGGTTGAGCTAGGAAACAGAAAATTTAGTATGTAAATATTTAATAGAAAATTAAGCAAAATACGATGTTGCCAGTGTGAAGAGACAGTTTTATATGTTAAAAATGTAAGAGTGTTAAATATTTAGATGTATGCCTTTTTTGTATTTTGTTATAATTATTAACAATTCGTTCTAAAATTTTACACTTTACGCTGAAATGATATTGGTCAGCTAACTGGTCTTATGAGAGTGTATTGTGATAAGATATTTGTTAAGGTTTAATACATTTGGCGACTTTGTTTTTTTATTGTAGAAAAATTATAATTTAGCAGGTCTAATTTTAGTTTTGTTATTTCATTTGTAAGAATCTGTGACCAAAGTATTTAAGATTTTAATATCTTACAAAATACAATTTTTCCTATATCATTGGGTATAAAAATAAATTTAATTTCTTTTTTTTTTAGATTATATCTTGTTAAAAAAAATTCTATTTTTTTGTATTTAATTCTTGATGGTTTTGTAGATAATGCTTTTGTACTAACATTGCATTTTCTGTAAATACATTGCAGGTATTTACAAAAAGTACTAAACAAAATAAAAAAAACTAAGAAAAATGGAAGACTGTTATATATCACAAATATCTAAACTATTATTGATTTTTTAAATTATATTAGAAAATGTTTATTGTATACATACGTATATTCTAAATTTTGTTAGGTGTATTTTTAGTAGCCATTGTGAGCCTAATTATATCTATTTTTAGTTAGAAACGAGCATGGTTTTTGCGTCCATTATTTCTTTTTGCTCATATGTGCAGGGTGTTGTGTGGTTTAAATTATTTTGATATACTTTGGTTTATTACAGTATTAACATTCCATAAAGTTCTAAATTCTATTTTTTGTATTATTCATTTTTTGTTTAGTTTTAATACGTGTACATAAATAACCACGTGTCATGTGTATCTATCAAAAATACATGTGTATTTTTTACAAACTTGTTTTTTTTTGTATCTCCTATTTTGAAAATACGACCGAAAAGTAAAACGGCGCCAGAGTTGGCTTGGAAATTGTAAAACTATATGGAGAATAAATTAATAAATTTAGTAATTTCCAAGCCAACTTGACGCCATTTTTTTTTGTTTGTTTTTTATATAAGGGGAGAATTCCTGGCAGTGACAGTTGTGTCTGTCGTTTTAATTTATAGGCAAAATTATATTTAGAAATCGACCCACATTTTTCTTAAACCCTTAGTCCCACCCTGATGAAGGTGTAAACGAAACGTCGGATGTCGTATCCAACATTGGCAGGGTGGGACCCTGTGTACCGTCGCTCACATAGCTTACCCACCAAATTTGGTCGCGATCGGACACACCGGACATCAACTTTTGACGTTTCTTACGTCAAAACTAACTCTTACCGTGACACGTGTCGTACACGGTAAAGTTGGCCTTGGTCCAATCTGTCGACATTCCAAATTTTATTTAAATCGGTCGATTTTTTGATCTGATTTATTGTGCGCGTTCAGGGAACCCAGCGGCTGTATTTTTGAGTAAATTCTGATATTTGAAAAATTCAAAAATGTTTTGCATGTTTTATATATGTACGCAACCAATAATATAGTATCTTAGTATACTCTTAAGCTATGGTAAAAGTTAGGATCTTTTCTGTGGCAATAGCCTCAATTTCTAACCTCAAATTGCTTGATAGTCGTATTGTTTTGATTTGAATATTTACCATAGAAAGTATAATATACTTATGTTGCTGCTTTCTTTTTAATAATATTTGTGAAATTATAGCAGAATAAAACTTTACCTCTACCATGACTACGCCTCCAGCGGCATTAGTTAACAGGAATAAGAAACATTTTTTAGGGATTCCGGCCCCACTTGGATATGTAGCTGGAGTTGGAAGAGGGTAAGGTTTTCTATGTAGATTATCAATTTTAAATACGTGATATAATTTTTTTAGCGCTACTGGTTTTACCACCCGATCTGACATTGGTCCTGCAAGAGATGCAAATGATGTTTCGTAAGTTGTTGTAATATTTTTTTTCTATAATATTAACTGTGTTTGATTTTAGGGATGATAGACATGCTCCTCCAGCGGCGAAGAGGACTAAGAAGCAAGAGGAGGAGGAGAAGGAGGTAAGTTTTATTATAATCCACTTATTACTGACAAATATTTACTGATATATTCAAACATTGCCCATATAGTATGTGATCAATGAGCTTCGGAATTCTAAATCATTTTGAGGGTCGAAATTTTGTAAAGTTATGTGACATTTTTTTTAAAAATTGTTTACTCTATTTTTGTATCAGACTACAGATCTATGTCATTCTATACGAATAAAAGTTATAAGTATTTAAAATAGCAAAGATACTTTTTATGTACTAGTGTATTGTAAATTTTATTTGATGGCTTCAGCTAGCAGTTAAAAAATTCAAATATTTTACTTTAGGAAGAAGAAGATTTAAATGACTCCAATTATGATGAGTTCAGTGGTTATGGAGGGTCCCTATTTTCTAAAGACCCATATGATAAAGATGATGCAGAAGCTGATGCTATCTATGAAGCCATTGATAAAAGAATGGATGAGAAGAGAAAAGAGTACAGGGAGAAACGCTTAAGGGAGGAATTAGAAAGGTACCGACAGGAACGGCCTAAAATACAACAACAATTCTCTGATCTAAAAAGAGAGTTAGTAAAGGTGCGATAATGATTGATTTATATCTTACACATTTGTTCATATAATTTTATAAATATTTTAGGTTAGTGACGATGAGTGGCGTAATGTCCCAGAGGTGGGAGATGCTAGGAATAAAAAACAAAGAAATCCAAGGGCCGAAAAGTTTACTCCTCTACCAGATAGTGTTTTAGCAAGAAATTTGGGTGGCGAGTCTAGTAACGCTATTGATCCCAATTCAGGTCTAGCTAGTATGGTACCAGGAGTAACAACACCTGGAATGTTAACACCAACTGGAGATATGGATTTAAGAAAAATTGGACAAGCCAGAAATACTTTAATGAATGTCAAACTATCCCAGGTATCAGATTCTGTAACTGGGCAAACTGTTGTCGATCCTAAGGGATATCTAACTGATTTACAATCTATGATACCCACATATGGAGGTGATATAAATGATATAAAGAAAGCCCGTCTTTTACTAAAGTCTGTTAGAGAAACAAATCCCAATCATCCTCCAGCATGGATTGCAAGTGCACGTCTGGAAGAGGTTACAGGAAAAGTTCAAGCTGCGAGAAATTTGATTATGAAAGGTAGTATAAATAAAATAATATATAAATCTAGAAGACAAATAATGACATTGTTAGGGTTAGGTTCGGCTATAGGCTTCATGCATACCAATTGATTTAAAAAAATTCCGACCGCGGCGCTGTATACGGCAGAAATCAGAAATTTTCGCGTTTTATTTCACGCCGTCCCGGTTACAGTTCATATTGATCGCATTAAAATATTATTGAAATCGTGGCTTTGTCATAATATTTAAAGTATTTTAGTTTTTGCTAGTGCATTTATTGAGACTATAAAACACTCAGGTACGAGGTTTGTGTGATGTAACGCTATTTCGGTTAGTAAAAAATAAGTGAAAAAGAATTCGAACTAGGCGTCGTGTTGTCTTGTGACAATTTCAAATGTTAATAAAATTGCCGAAAAATTTTTAAAGATATTTCCCGGATACTTAACTTTCCCGGATATTCAACTCTTCCAAAACAACATTTTATAGCTTCATAGTTTCTCACACCGATTTGATCAAAAGCAAAAATGGATTCAAGCAGTAGGTTATAGACATAAATATACTATGAGAGGATAAAATATAATTTGCAATATTAATGGAAACTTTTTTAATCAACTAGTGATTTAATGTTTGATGAACATCTAAAATTATAATTATGTATTTTTAAAAAATTTCGTTATAGCCGAAATAGCCCCAATTATGACCCTACTAGCAAAACCGGTGATTAAAAATATGCTCGCTACCATAGTTGGACTAATCAACCCGTGTATTTGTATATACTAATTGTTTATGATATTCTCCGATGGTGGCAGCAACGGCGGAGAATGCACCAAGCCTACTGAAAACCTTTTAATTTCATAATGCATTTTTCACTTACCCAATTAATTTGATGCTTACACGATTTATTGTGCCGACGCCGCTGAAAATGAATATTATCGAACAGAAAATTTTTAAATAATTTCCAATTTTGAATATAAAAGCCATTTCGAGCGAATAACCGTTGGTTATGGTTGACAGATAAACAACCAATTGCTAGGCAACTGTATCTGTCCACCATAACCAACGGTTATTCATCGGTTATTCGCTTGAAATCGGCATGAAATTATTTATCAAGACATATATTGATAAATCTTCTATTTATTTTAGAAATTACCATAAGTTATTCTATTTTAATATAGGAGAATAGCATTCAGAATTTTATTTTAATATAATTAGTTTCGAAAAGGACCCTATATTATAGATTGCTTCTTATTAAATTAACAAATAATTTGGATAATGCTAATCGAAAAGGACCCAAGCGCCAAGCTGTGATTTTGAGATATTGCCTTCTAACGTATGAGCGAGCTCTATCTCTCTTTGTTGAGCTATCAAGAAAAATGTATCCACAATTTATGACAAAATTGATTTAAGATGAGTGCAAGAACAAATTGACAAAATATAGCTTCAAACTTTACACATTTTAATAAACATTTGGCGCATAATTCTTTTCTAAGAAATACCGGAGTACTGTTATTAATTTTAAAAAAGAACCAAGTTCTTGGTTACTTCTAACCAAAAAGAAAATCTACAACATGGTTTACGGTGTTTTCTATTGAAGATTTGTTTCTAAGTTTGTTCTGTAGAATAGAAGTCTCCTTTATTCATTGTTTCGAAAATTATATTTTCCCAAGCAGCCAACACAATACTTTTAGATCTTTCACTAATTCCTATGTTTACCCTTGTTTTAGACTAATACCTTTCTTTTTTATAATAGTTTTGTAGTTTTAATATGAAAAGCACGCGGCTAACCAAACATTTAAAGAGAATCAACAGAAAACGGACATACATATAAAAGGAATTATCGCTTGGATCCTTTTAGGCAAATTCAAAAGATTCCTACACAGTGGTGGTGCTTAGGATCCTGTTCAATAGATGTCACTGAAACACCTAATTGTAGCGTGGATCTTTTTCCACATATACATTGAACACTGCTCTGTCAGATGATGCCTTTTACTCAGTTTTCGTAATTTGGCTCTTGGTTCCTTTTCGTTTAACATCATCCATTTGTAACTTTATCATTTTGGAAGAACTCTAAATGTGCAGAAGATTTGGTCTTAAAATAGCCATTTCAAAAACTTAGTAAAAGTATGCAGCAAATGGTATTTTTTATTATTAGAGATAAATGAAAATTATTTATGCCTTGATAATTGCACAACTTTGTTACATATGACATTTCATGTTAATATGGTAGTAAAGTACCCTTACTTCTTCGAAATATTGGGCCACCCTATTGTATTTAATTTAAATATATTTCAGGTTGTGAAGTGAATCCTCAGAGTGAAGATTTATGGTTAGAAGCAGCTCGATTAAATCCCTCTGATACTTCAAAGGCCGTTATAGCACAAGCAGCTAGACACATACCAACATCAGTAAGCAATACTTTACAATAGCTAAAATTAAGTATTTAAACAGTCTTTATTATAGGTTAGAATTTGGATTAAAGCTGCCGATTTAGAGGACGAGACTAAAGCTAAAAGGCGTGTATTTCGCAAAGCTTTGGAACATATTCCCAACTCAGTAAGATTATGGAAAGCGGCAGTCGAGTTAGAGAACCCTGAAGATGCCCGAATATTACTTTCTAGGTAATAGATAATCTTATATTTTTCCCAAAATCCGTTTAAAGTTTTTTAGATCTATTTTAGATCTAATATTTTGAGTAGTAGTATATTTCAATTTTTTCCACTTCTTGATATTACCAGTGATTATTTGGTTGCTGGTTTGATGATGAAAAAGATTACAATTGAAGTTCTCATCTAAACTAGTTAAATATTCTTGACTCAAAACTAGGGTTTCCAAACCGGGATCCCGAAATCCCGGTGTATGTTTATTCCCGAAATCCCGATATTAAATCCCGGCATCCCGACAAATTTAAATGCCCAATCTAAAATGATTCCACTTTATACACTTTAGTCTTTCGAAGATCATATATATTATTTATACTAAGCAGAGAGTCAATATATCTAAAAGTTATATTTCCGTGTCTCCTATATTTTATAATTTTTGCAACAAGAATTGTTTTTTTTACTTAATATGAATGTTACTTTGTTTTATCTATTTTAATGCACAATAGGTCTCTTGTCTCATTTTTTTTTTTGATAAATTATGTAGCTGCATTTTTATTAAGTATTTTTTAGTTTAAATTTCTAATTCTGTTAGTCAATCCCGGGATCCAGGGGTTATAGGCTCCTATTCCAGGATTTCAAAACGGGATCACGTTCCCGAAAATTGGAAACCCTACTCAAAACGTTCAGATTTAAATCTAAATTATATCCTAAACAACTTCTAATGAAGGAGTGTGTTTGAAAAACCCTGTAGAATTTTCTCTTACAATGTTTTTCATATATAGAGCCGTTGAATGTTGTCCAACAGCAGTGGAACTTTGGCTAGCTCTTGCACGTTTAGAGACCTACGAAAATGCTAGAAAAGTATTAAACAAAGCCAGAGAAAATATTCCAACAGATAAACAGATTTGGACTACGGCTGCTAAATTAGAAGAAGCAAATGGCAATCACCATATGGTAGAGAAGATTATTGAGAGAGCCATTTCATCATTAAGGTTCGTATAGAAAATTAAAATTAATATCAAATAATCATGTATTGATTTTTAGTTCTAATGGCGTGGAAATAAATCGTGAACAGTGGCTTAAGGAAGGGATTGAAAGTGAGAAGGGAGGTCATATACATTGCTGTCGAGCTATAACCAAAGTAATAATCGGCTATGGAGTTGAACCTGAAGACCAAAAACATACCTGGATGGAAGACGCAGAGAATGTAAGCTAATAAATACATTATGAGTTAACAATTAATTGCATAAAGCTATAATTATTCTAAGTTATTGGTTAATCTCATTATTAGGAACTTCTTTAAAGACCCGTTTTCAGAACTAAGTTCTGTCGCTGGCGACACTGGTTGACACTTCAAAGAAGCAATGAGAGCTGTACTAAATTTAAAATTGACAGCTGTTTGAATTTAGTACAAATCTCATTGATTCTTTTGACGTGACGACAGTACGAAGTTGTGAGAACGGTTGATGCCTTTTACTCAGTTTTCGTAATTTGGCGCTTGGTTCCTTTTCGTTTAACATCATCCATTTGTAACTTTATCATTTTGGAAGAACTCTAAATGTGCAGAAGATTTGGTCTTAAAATAGCCATTTCAAAAACTTAGACAGCTGTTTTTGGATGTCGTGTGTCAAACTCATGTATTCTCTCGCCAGACGGACTATACATTTACAGTGCTATCTGCTTTCATTTCAAAAGTCATTGGCGTTTTATTGTGTTAAAATATGAGGGTATACTTTCTTAATAATTTACTAGTTTTGTTTTACATTGAGCCAATAAAGATTATTATACTCAGATGTAAAAAAAACGCAACGGATTTTTTTTTTATCAAGTTTAAGTGCTACATTTTTTACTTTTAGCCATATTTTCACGAATTTTTTAGTAAACCGTATATAAATCTATCAACTTTAATTCATAAACTCAGTTTTTTTATAAACTTTAGTATTTGGCTGATTATACAGGGTTAATTGAAGTGTTGTTTTTTACCCTAACTTTAAAAACCCTGTGCAATAATTTCGTGCGTAACTTTTCTTAAAATATTATTATTCGATCAGAACCTTGTCTCCTGAGCATTTTGTTTTTTTGACTCATGTCAACACATGCCTTGGTTAATTTCTTCAAATTTGCTCACGAAATGGGTATTTTCGCACGAGACTGTTTTAAAGATAGGATAAAACACAACTCTTCGATTAACTCTCTATTATAAGTCAAAAACTAAAGTTTATAATAAACTGAGTTTACGAATTAAACTTGATATATTTATATACAGTCAGTAGCGTGGCGTGGGTAAAAAAGCGGGGTGGGCGAGCTATGTTGAGGGCGCCGGGTACATGCAGAGTAATTCAAATTGCCGAATTTAAGGTGTTCAGATTATGGTTCATTTTACACGATTGGGGCGCTTGGATTATAGGATTATACAGTACTTCGGATTATAGGGGTTGTATTGGGATGTATTTATTCATACATTATTACATTACTGTTCTACTAGGGAAAATACGAGCAAAAAATGAAACTATCTACTTAATTAAATGTTTAAGCGTCTTGTTTTTACAGACTTAAGTTTGTTTAATAACTTATCATAATCGATTAAAGGCGCGAAAGTCGACTTGACAAAGCAACGTTGCCAACCGCTCTTACAAGAAGTAGTGTTGGTCAGGAAAATGTCGAAAATGCAAACAAATAAAAAGACTAGACCATAACGTGATCGTAGAATGAGAATGAGAATAGTTAGATGGGTACGTACAATTTTGCGATTTCACTAGGGCGCGTCACTCAGTCAGAGCCTAGGGCGGAGGGGGCAATCAACCCCCCCCCCCCCCACCTGCCCCCTTATACGGCACACCACTGTATACAGTTTTGCCAAAAAAATCATGTATATAATGCTCAAAGTAAAAAAAAACATGACAATTTAAACTTGACCCAAAATTTTTCGGTTGCGTTTTTTTTTGGATGCTGAGTGTAGTTATTAATATTCTTAAAATATATATTTTAATAAAAATAGATTAGTTAATATAGCTATTTATTAGCAAGAATACATTTACGCTAATGGAACCACTAAGTAAAAATTTAAAAATTGATCTGTCCTAGATCCTAGTTATTTAGGTCAAGTAGTAAATAAATGGGAAAATGGCAAGAATAAAAACATAATTAGTTAACTTTAAACGAATTGCATAATTAATTGGTTTATTACTTGTAACATTACTTATTAGTAAAAATTAGTTCGATTATTTTTCACTTTTTTTGTCTGGGAACGATCGCACGGTGCACAAGTAACTATTTTTGAAGCCCCTTTCTAAGATTTGCTATAATCTCGCTGTAATTCAAGTTCTGAACACAATACTTTTCTAAGTTGATGCAGTTTTCATAAAACCAATTATAAAATATACAAGAAATACCATAATAAACTCAGAAAAGCACATAAATTCATTTGATATTCAAATATTTCAAGCGATACCTCAAACAAAACTGACAAGAGAAAGTAATTTCAATGACGTCGCTTTCATCTAAAAATGTACGTCCATAGTGCACCGGCTTCCCGCTTTATCGCGGCAGACTAGATAAACAACCGTATGCGCGGGGCTGTAGTGCGCCAGTCAGCCTACTTCAACAGGCTTAATTTGCTTTTATCCACGTTTACTGGAATGAATTATTGTTTCTTTTTGTTCCTTACCTCTTCATCTGCTCCACAAAGTCGCTCAAGCTACCCCTTTTGAGACCACTCTCGCTTTCCTAAACTTAATCTACATCCCTCGACTCTTTTCTAAACTTTTAGTAAAAGTTATGCTTTAGCATAATTCAAGAAATTTATAAAATTATTAAAAATTAATCGATTTTAATCATCGCCATCTTGTGTACAACATTTTTAAAGTTGTACCGTTGTTTTTTAAACGGTTTTTATTGTTTTGTGAAAATATACTTTTCACAAAAGGTTTAAAATGTAGTTGAACGTTTATTTCTCTATGCGGAAATATTCGTAATTTTACTGAGGGTAAGCTGTGAGTTGTGGATATAAAGTATAATATTCACGAAATTCTTAATGAGACCTACTAATTTCATGAATGTGAGTATTTATTTCTTGTTTCAGTTTAGTATAAATAGGATAGCTAATTACAGTTGAGGGTTGGAACCTTTTGTGTTACACAGCAAAATAAAACACTAAATCACCACAATACACCAAAACACTTTTACTTTTACACTGGACTCGCGTTTCGCTAACCATATTAGCATCATCAGCAGATGATTATAAACTGAAACAGTTTATTAACATTTAAAAAGTCCTAACTGAAACAGTTTATAATCATCTGCTGATGATGCTAACATGGTTAGCGAAACGCGAGTCCAGTGTAAAAGTAAAAGTGTTTTGGTGTATTGTGGTGATTTAGTGTTTTATTTTGCAGGATAGCTAATAATAAAATACATAATATACCCTCAAGAAATAGCTCTATAGTGTGAAATGAGACATTCCCATCTTCTGCAAGCGGTTGAATTATTGTTTCTTTCTGCTTCAATTGCGCAGGTTCACTATGAGACCTGCCTCGAGATAAGCCGGTGCACTATGGGCGTACCTTAGTGCATGAATATAAAAACAGTATTAGACTCCTTCCATAGTATGTTTATTCATTGGTTGTACAGGAATAAATCAGAACTCTTGAATTGTAGCTTCATGTAGTGGTTGACTTATGACTGTTAACTTAATAACTTAAATAATTAGGTAAAATATGCTAAAATAAAAATGTTATAGTGTACAAATCAAGGAGCGTACGAGTGCGCGCGTGCTGTTTACAACATAGCTCTTGCTACATTTCCTGGTAAAAAATCAATTTGGTTACGAGCTGCGTATCTGGAAAAAAATCACGGAACGAGAGAAAGCTTGGAGTCATTGTTGCAAAGGGCTGTAGCACATTGTCCTAAGAGTGAAGTAAGTATTACTTTTCTTTAGTGTTTTGTTTTCAACTTGCCATGTTACTAGACTTTGCATCACGATTTTTTCGTGGACCAAATTTTTAGACACCGGTTCTTAAATTTTGATTAGTTAATAGTTAGTATCATTTTTTGATAAACATTTAAAAATTCCTAACGAACTAGATTTTTTAAGTGTAAAAAATATTTTATGGAAAAACCACTGTTTCGAATTAGTACTGTCACACCCCATTTTGTGGGTTATGACTAGGGGCATAGCAAATAATAAATACTTCAATTTAACTTAATAATCAATTTAATTAATCTACGAATAATAAAATAATTATAAAACTAAATGTGTACTTACATATTATATTTATGGACGAACATCATCACTGGCTCGGGGGTAGTGTCAGGGTAGTGTAACGCCAATGCCGGAATCTCGACCGCGACCTTATCGAACTTACTATCGACTATCGGCTGTCCCCCCCCCAACAGGTGACATTTTTGTATTTATTGGTTCGTTACGTCGAATCATCGAATCAGCATTATTGGTCTATCGGTGCGATGACCGGTGCGATGACCGCGTTAGTGCTGATTTGATGATTTTATAAATTCGTAGTATTGAAAGGAAATATTTTCGCAATTGCCAATTATGCTTATAACTTTGATTTTTAAAATTTTACTTTTGTTGCGTAAATGCCAATGAACTTTAATTATTTGATACTTCCTTTCAATCGAATTATTAATTTACGAAATATATTAATATTAAATATGTTATTTTATATATCGAATAATTCCATCCTTGACAGTACGAAAGAAAGAAAGAAAGCTCTTTTAAAAATGCTGTTTCTGTTAATGATTATTGTAAAAATCTAATTTATTTTCGTATATTTGGTCTTTTTATGGGTATTATTTTTTATTTTTTACATCAAAGCGTAAAGAATGTCAAAAATGGACAGACTGATTACTATTTCTACTTTTCTCCATTGTAATCACGCTTATAATTTTATTTTAAATTAAATGTATTTAAATTATATTTACAGAATCTTTACCAAATATATTATAAGAGTATATTGCTAGTACCGCATTTACACAATGAGTGGAAAGTGAAGCCAAAGAAAAAAAAAATAGGAATAATTCAAATATTATAATCAAACTTGCATAAGTCTTTCCTTTTTAACAGAATTTTCGTGCGCGGGGACCAAATAAAACGATTTGTTGTTATTTTAGATATTCATTATATCTATCCGTTTCTTGTTCTTGTTTAAATATGTCAGAGATTAAATTTAAATTTATAAGTAAAGGCGCGTATAGTCAGACGCTAAATTGATTAATGTGGTAGATAGAAATTTAGAAAACTACTATTGGTTAGTATGAAATAAATCAACTAATCGAGAAGCACTTCTCACGCTTGCGTAGTTCAAAGCTGTTGAACGAAAAGGACCGACTTTGTGGATGTTGTATAGCTCTATCTCAAAAATTTGGCTTCAATTTCTATTCCTGACTAGCGATATAGTATAATATATATGATTTTTACATTTAATTTACTAGGTATTGTGGTTGATGGGTGCAAAAAGCAAATGGCTGGCAGGTGACGTTCCGGCAGCTCGAGGCATATTATCTCTTGCTTTTCAAGCTAATCCTAATAGTGAAGAGATTTGGTTAGCTGCTGTTAAATTGGAATCAGAAAATAAGGAATATGAAAGAGCTAGAAGGCTCCTAGCTAAAGCCAGAGGTATGTGCAAGTTAAACTATACCGATCAGTCAGTTTCAACATTTATGCTTAATAGGTTCTGCTCCCACTCCACGAGTAATGATGAAAAGTGCCAAGCTAGAATGGTCTTTAAACGATTTAGATGCAGCTCTCACTTTATTAGATGAAGCCATTAAAGTTTTTCCTGATTACTCTAAGCTTTGGATGATGTACGGTCAAATTTATGAACAAAGAAATGATCTCAACAAAGCATTTGATGCATATAACTCTGGTGTAAGATATTACAGATAAATTTAAAAATAGTTTGTTAAGAGAGTTTACAAGATATGCCTAAAAGTTTGCAAAATTGAGATTTTTGATTATTGAGTAATTACTCATAATTTAATAATGTTGAATAATTTTTTTGCCAATTGGCAAAAAATTATGCAACATTATTTCAGCATGTCAAATAACATAACCATAGATAAACGAAACAAGTTTAGATTGGGAAGTTTACAGTTGAGGGTTTGGTCCCATAGGGACAATGAGCCCATAAGGACAATGTAAATACTATTTGGCGCTATTTTTGCAACGGTCGCGACCCAAAGCTTTTGATAATTTCGGGTCGATTCGGCTTTTTCCGGAAATATGTCGCCAAATATTATTTATTCAAATTTATTATTATATTCTTTTAATATCTACATATGTATATAAAATGCTAATGTTTATCTGTGTCGTCTCTACAGAAGTAACGACTTGCTCTAGAAAGTTGCTTTTTTTACTAAAAGATAGCTAATTTGCTCTTCTAAAAACTGTCGTCGCCGGATTTTTTGTTTTTCATTTGATTAAAAAAACAGTATTTTTTTTCCTGATGTGGCGGATGGGCCAGGCTTCAACTAGTTATAAATAAAATGCAGTGTGTTGAATACAAGAAACTTTATTTTATATAAGGACATGTATGAAATACCTATGAAACATTTGAAACCGACGTTATGCCACGATCCACGATGGTTTTTGTAGTTCACAGTTCACAACACAGCTTTTTAAATTTTTAATGCCACTTTATCACAATTATCACAGTAAATGAAATTTAAATTAAGCTCACAAGATAGCAATAATTACTTTGAGAATGGACGCTTTAAACACTTTTCAGCATTTTTTCAACGAGGGCGGTTTAAATTTTGAAAGATTTTATAATTTCTGAAGATTCTGACTTTGACAAGAGAAAATAATTACTGTTGGTTGTATTCTAATTGTTTGCAATTTCTTAGCAACCGCTATAGCAGCGCCAGATCGCGTACAACGGTCGCGACCCAAAACATTTATATATTTTGACAGGCATTCCAATATAAATTTATTTCCTTTATCTATGAACATAACTAATTATTTTGGCATGTCATGCGACAACTGTCATAGCGGGAAATTACAAAAAATATCTTCAGATATGCGAAAAATAGTGGCAAAATATAGAAAAAAAGTCAAAAGGTTGGTCAGAATTTAATTTTACTGGTATGTACCAAAACTTGTAAATGGAGAGTCAAAAAAAGAACGGGGGCTTTGAAGAAGTATTTAATTAAAAAATATAGTTTTCCAAGAAAAAATTATTTATTTTTTTGTTAGAATGGCACAATATAAAGTAAGTTGAACGAAAATAATTTAGAGTGCAGTAATTTGATTTTAATCATGCAATAAATTGTAAAAAATAGAAATAAATTGATTTTCTATCTACTTTGAGGCGTAGCTTATAGAAAACATATTTTTGAAATTGACACATTTTTAAAATAATTTTTTAAAAAATTTTGAAATTGACACATTAACAATAACTTTATACACTTCCTTAATGATTGGTACTCACTTGGAGACGAAAAAAGTGTATGTTGTGTTTGAATGCTGTAACTTTTTTCTCTATATAAGCCATTCGAACACTTATGCTATCTTAAAAATGATCAATTTAAAATTTTTACGATTATTTACGGGACACTAAAAAAAAATTGCATTTCAAATTATTCTTGTTGGATTTATTTAGATTCTATCCGTTATACAGATTATCGCCTATCCCTGCAATGTGTTGGAATTGAAGTCGAGTTAGAGACAACTAGATAACCGGTCCATGTATATTTCACATAAGTTCGTCTGTTAGGCAGATACTGGCGTAACAGCGCAACTCCAAAATTCCGAATATCGATTAGCCCTTACTCTGAGGATTAGCCAATTGTCAAATGGGAACGCAAACGAAAGCCGTACGAAGTTGGACGGAGCCGTACGAATGAACAGCTGCTGCTAGCGTCTAGTCTCTTATTGGTCTGGTTATCCGATCGATAATTCAAAATCCAGGCTTGCGCACTACGCTTGAACACAGCTAACTGAGCGACTTATACAAATTCCTTCAGAAGATTTATACCCCGCTGGCAAGCGAACCTTTGGGTCGGCGTTTACATGTATAGGAGTGATTCGTTATGGCAATCTAGTAAGGCGCAAAACATAGTGGAGCAACGAGGAGAGCGGCGAGCAAGCAGCGCGACGTCGCGTCCAAGACAAACCTGTGAAGACAAGTACGCGTGAACATAGTAAAGCGATCTGCTCGCAGCACTACTATGTATTAGCACTGCTTGCTCGCCGCTCTCCTCGTCGCGCCACTATGTTTTCAGCCTAAGTCGGAGTGAGCAAAAATACGAAGTACATAACTACTTAATCTAACGCTAGACTCCATGCGCTTGGGAAAATATTCGCCTTCTGTCTTTATTCAGTACATCTTATTTTACTAAGCGTATTGACCGTACTCTTCGTACATATGAAAACCGGCACCCAAGACCAGAAATGCCGACCCTTAGTATACTCATTTCACCGGCTTGGCTTCATAGAATGAAGTTTGGAGTCGATTTTCTTTAGTTAATATATATATATGATTCTATCAGATTTTACTTTATTTAAGCGTTTTTGTAAATTGCAGTAGTTTGAGGTTATGTTTGAAAACTTATAATTTACTTACTTTCCTCAATTGCACTACGTTTAGTCTTTCACTTATTTTCATTCAAATAATATTCATCAAGTTTCTTGTAAAATAAGTTTAAATGTTGTGACATGTCTATTTCTACATAAAATGCATTGAATAGATGTTGAAAAATAAATTCATTCATTGACTAAAAATGGCAAACAGGGTAACTGAAAATGATTTAATGAATTACAGAGTTTTACTGAAATAATTCCGTAATTACGGGAATGTCTGAGATCTACAATCAGACAATGTACCAAATGAAGAAATGTGACTGACATATAGACGTAAAATCAAATTCTGAACAATTCTCTTCGACTATTTCCGATGTTGTGTCACTTAATCCACTTTTTATATACCGGGTGCGTCTCAAAAGTGGCTCACCTCTATAACTTTTTTATTTTTTCAGATAAAAAAACGAGATTTGGTATGTTAGTATATGATATAAATTAGGATTGTTTGACGTATTCAATTGTTTTTGGTCACTTCCTGTTTCGCCGGAACAACTTTTAATCTTTAAACGGCACCCTCGCTTTTTTTTACTTTATTCGATAGAAAATGACATTCTGAAGAGAACGACATGTCATATATCAACTTTTGACACTCTCGCTTAATAAAAAATCGTATTTTAAAATTCAATCTAGAGTGCCATGGCTATGTTAAAAACACTAATTTTTAATCAAGGAGCCTTGGAAAAATATATTTGATCGTCTAATGTTTTTAGGGTCTTGTCCTGGCCGGTTAAAAAAAGCCCAAGTCGTATTTTTAATTAAATCTCAATTTTTTCAAATGGAACGAGGGTGGCTCATTAGCATATTTGGAAAACCATTTTTTTACGAATAATTTGATACATACACATTTGGTACTTTGAGTCAAATTTTCGTTACGAACCGCAAGATATAATTTCAAATAAACCATATGCAAAAATGTCAAAAGTTGACATATGATATGTCATTCAAATCAGAGTGTTTATTTTCTATTGAATAAAGCAAAAAAAATACCGACGGTGCCATTTAAAAATCAAAAGCAGTAGTCATTCTATTCAGAGTGTCGTTTTCTATCCAGTAAAGTAAAAATATACCGAGGGTGCCGTTTAAAAATCAACAGGAATAACAGGAAGTGATCGAAAACAATTGAATACGTCAATCAATCTAATTTATGCCATATACCAACATACGAAATATTGTTTTTTTTTAATGAAAAAATAAAAAACTTATAGGGGTGGGCCACTTTTGAGACGTAACCGGTATACCTAAAAGGATTTTTGTAATTTGCAATCATGACAGTTGCTGCATTACCATTTGTTGCGAATTTTATGGCACACCCTGTATTTACTTTTATATACACTTTTTTAGATTAAGAAGTCTCCCGATTCCATACCTTTGTGGATACTTTTATCGCGACTAGAAGAAAAGAAAGGCTTGCTGACAAAAGCTAGATCAGTTTTAGAGAAAGCTAGACTGAAAAATCCGAAAAACGATCAGTTGTGGTTAGAAGCTATCAGGGTGGAATTAAGAGCTGGAATGAAAGAAATTGCAAATTCAATGATGGCAAAGGCATTACAGGAATGTCCAAATTCTGGAATATTGTGGGCAGAGAGTATATTTTTGGAGCCTAGACCGCAAAGAAAAACTAAATCAGTATGATACATGTTTTTCATGACAATTTATTTTTAATTAATTTCTTTATAGGTTGATGCCTTGAAAAAATGCGAACACGATCCTAACGTGTTGTTAGCAGTGAGTCGATTATTTTGGTCTGAAAGGAAGGCAAATAAATGCAGAGAATGGTTTCAAAGGGTTCTTAAAATTGATCCAGATTTAGGAGATGCCTGGGCAAATTGGTAAGTTATTGAAATTACGTTTTTAGTGGTATGATGGCAACTTATCTGACCATTTGATAATATAGTATTCGACGGACGACGTATTACGGATGCATGTAAACCCACACTTATAGCTTATTTGTTAAGGCGGGTTCTGACGACTCGTGTACTTGGCAAGTACGCCAATATTTGCGTACTTGGCAAGTATGCTATCTTTGTAAACAACATTCTTTTGCAACAAGCCCGGCGCTGCGACACGTATATGCTAATAACAAATGTTTATACAAGTACACGAGTCGTGAGAGCCCGCCTTAATAATTGATGTCCATTGCAAGTTACTGACATACTAGACATAGAATAGAAATTCAACAGAAAATAATGGGAAAATTCCATTGAAATCTAGAAATACCGTATGATCGAATAAAAACGGCGTCAGCGATGCCTATGAAATGAAGATCGCTGTCATTTTATTTGTAATTTTAAATGGGAAATGTCATCAATCGTCATTGGTGACCATCATTCACCAACTGGACGACGTTTTTTTTCGATCATACGGTATATTTAGATATTTAAACAAATTTGTTTTTAAACTCGATATTTCGTTAATTTTTAATAACTTCTTCAGGAGTAAAACATTTAGTCATTGAATATAATCCTATTATAACACGAACATTTTACAGCTTGCACAAGACAAAACATTTCAATCTAAAATATATGTCAACAATTAAAACCAAGTACAGTGGACAGAAACAGTATCAGTACCGTATTTCTGTCCACTGTACTTGGTTTGTTAATTGTTGACATATATTTTAGATTGAAATGTTTTGTCTTGTGCAAGTTACTCCTGAAGAAGTTAATAAAAATTAACGAAATATCGAGTTTAAAAACAAATTAGTTTAAATTGAATCTACAGACCGCTACCCGATATTGTTCCACATTAAATTTAGAAGTACGGTCGAGATTACCACTATCACATATATTTAGATACCAAATACTTGAATCGAAGTGTTACAACAACTGTCAAATTAATAATTGGTCTCAATTATTCCAGATCATTTGATTAATCTGTCATCCATACCACAAGATTGGCTGTCTCTCACTTAATCCATATACTTCTTTTTGTTTCATAGCCTATTTATAATGGGCTCTTTCACTATATTTTGGAATTCGCATAATTGAATAAAGCAATTTATTCTAGAATTTTCTGCTATCTCACTTTCGAAGAACCTGAAGTCGTTCTTAAGAAAATAAATAAAAACAAAAAAGGCCAGAATAAAAATCCGCACTTTATTTTTAATACGTCACACCTGGCATGTTGAAAAGCGGCAACAAAGGAGTAAACAAAAAATTTAACTTCAAATTTATTATTCAACATGCACGTCAAATCAAATCGCAATGTTGCCAGTTCTTGGCTGGTGCACAAGCACGGTTCTGCAATGTGATTGGGCGTATTTTTCATACATCATCAATTGGCACTTTAAAATTATTCCAAATTAAAGCAATTTTGAGGGCCTATAAAAAAATTATTCAATGTCATGGAACTATTTTTTTTTTGGATAAATATACTGAATATAGTCTTCTATTTCAGATTTTATCCTTGAATTGGGTATTTTATTTTTTGTGAAAGTTTGGTTTATTTTTTCTCTTAATATGTCCCGTTACAGGAAAGATAGAAAGGTGCGGTGTGCGCTGACTTTTTGGAAATTTTGTGCTCTAAAGTTTATTCAACATCAAGATGCACCAAATACAAACAAATGCATGAGCCATGCACGTTAACAGTAACTCTACAGTAATATTACATTGTGTTATAGTAATAATACTAATTTGTATATTAATATTATATTACTGTAGTATTACTATTTATGTGTATACCTCATGTATTTAGTTTAGAGGTGGGAATTCTAGTTCCTCCAGAGGAATAGTTCCTTGAACCAGGTCCTTAGTTCATAATAGTTCCCGACTAACATTGACATCCCCGTTGCTTGCTAATGGATTTCGTTTTCAATCAGAACTATTCACAGTTTACTATTCAAGATTATACAGATCATTATAATTTTTATAATGTGCGAAATATAAGAAGACGTGTAATTGCATATGTTAAAAACATATAGGTAAGTTTTATAGCAGATAAAAAAATTAAAGAAACTCAAATCAGAGTTTAAAAACTATATCACAAATCAATTAGAGAAAATAACACGAAAAATTTACGAAAAAATGTATTTTTCCTCACTTCAAGCTTTTTGTTTTTGTCTAAAAATTCAGAATATCTACTTCGTTTTATAAGATATTTCTTAATTTTAGAGACCTAATGTGAAACATTCCCATAAAATATTTAAAAAACAAAGTAAAAATCAAAAACAGTATCCACAATTTTCGGTGGTAATTACGCCGCGCCGGCTGTGGCAATAGACAAGGCCAAATCCATCGTCGTCGCCTTGTATTATATCTCGGATCTGCCGACTGAATAGATTCCCGTGAACTAGTCTTTTAATAGTTCCTCTATGTCCGGATCCGATAGCATACGGCTGGCACTCCCCACGCCTGCCTAGCATCGATCGCGCTGGCCCGATCCGTTCGTACGTAAACTAGTCTTTTATTTAGTTTAGTTCCTCTAGGTCCGGATCCGATAACGTATGGCTGGCACTCCCCACCTCTGCCTACCATCGAGCTACGCGCGCTAGCTGATCCGTCGCATAGTATTATTCTTTATCGGTCACAGTCTCGATCCCGGAACAGGTCCTGAGGAACCAGTTCTTTGAGAAACCAGGAACTAGTTCCTTTCATTCCGGGGTCGGAATAGTTCATTGGAACTAGTTCGTTCACGAACTATAGTCTGTCCAACGAGAAGATCCTTGACAGTGATAGATGTGTCTGTCATTTTAATTTCAAAGTAGTTTATTTTATTTTACAAAGAAATAAGTTGGTACAACTGGAACGCATAGCAGGAAATTATTATATTTAAAATTTGACTGACAAGTGATTACTTCAAAATATTGTGAAAAAAACTGCATAAAACTGAAAAAATGTAATCGAGTTATTTAATTTAATAAAAAACGGTATGTGTTAAAGAAGACTTTTTTTATTAATAACACTTACCAAATTTTATAGGTACCTTAAAGGTTGATTAATTAACTTTAATCTTAATTTTTTAAACCAGTACCTTTGGCATTATTTTTCTTGTGCAGTACTAAAATCCATTATTTACGTATCGTGTGATGTCGATATTTTACAGCTACTCCAGTTTTTAGTATGTGTTTAGTATGGTCCTTCTACCATATTCGAGATGCACTTATCTACGACGAGATGGTATACGAACTTTAATGATGGTAACTTTATTGGTGTATAAGACTTTTTGCCTGGGCAGCGAGTATTAACCATAAACTGTGCTCTGGGTCTACAGTTAATTTTCACTCGATTTTTCCTCCACTTGACTTCAAAAGACACAAAACACACGTAATAACACGAATCAAAATGCATCATCTTCCAAAACGCAGGGTATTTGACAAAACTGACAAAAGTTGACACAAAATTATAACCTCTAATTTAGCAAGACTTTGACAAGCGTCAAAAATCTAAAGGCGAGTTCATACGCATCGGCGTCCGTTTGTCGTTCATCGTTCCGTCAAACCAATAAAATTGAAACACGATCTGTCATTTTTGAAATATACCAATAAAACTGGTTAAAAACAACAAGAGACGACGCATGACGGATTTATATTTAAACCCATCCATAGTTAACTTAAAAATTATTAAAAAAATAAATAGATTAATATGGGACATCATCTGCTCTTCTTCTGTCATCGTCTGTCGAAATCTTACCTGAGAAAAAAAACAGAGTATACACACCTCTAATTTAGTTGCGTTTGGTGCATCTTGGAGTTGAACAAACTGTAGTTATGTGTACAAAAAGAAACATAGGTTGCCATTTAATTGTTTATGCAAACGCGCAATATCTGTTATGTCAAACAGTGCCCTCTAGATATCGTGGTAAAATTATTTACTATGGAGACAAAGTATACCGGGTGCGTCTCGAAAGTGGCTCACCGCGGCTATAATTTTTTTATTTTTTCAGATAAAAAAAACGAGAGTTGGTACGTTAGTATATGACATAAATTAGGATTGATTGACGTATTCAATTGTTTTCGATCACTTCCTGTTTCACCGGAAATGACTACAACTTTTGATTTTTAAACGGCACCCTCGTTATATTTTTATTTTACTGGATCGAAAATGACACTCTGAATAGACTGACATCATTTTGACATTTTTGTTAAAAAAATCGTATTTAAGATTTCAATCTACAATGCCATGGCTGTGTTAAAAATACTAATTTTTAATCAAGGATTCTTGGAAAAATAGATTTTATCTTATAATGTTTTTCGTGTCTTGTTCTGGCCGGTTAAAGATGTCCAAATCGTATTTTTAATCATATCTCAATTTTTCAAATGGAACAAGGGGAACATTAGCATATTTGGAAAAGGCATTTTTTGCAAATAATTTGGTACCACACATTTGGTATTTTAGAGTCAAATTGTCGTTATGAACCGCATGTTACAATTTTAAATAAACCATATGCGAAAATGTCAGAAGTTGACATATCATATGTCATTCTATTCAGAGTGCTATTTTCTATGGAATAAATTAAAAAAAAATACCGAGGGTGTCATTTAAAAATTAAAAGTTGTAGTAATTTCTTTATAAAAATAAAAGTTATAGTGGGTGAACCACTTTAGAGACGCACAGCATACACAATAATAATTGATTGTGTATACTGCAGATTATTAAATAAAAGTTCTATTTAATAATAAAAAAAACGCAGATTTGTGCATTTATGTTTAGATTAGATGTGTTTATGCTATAAAAAGTTACGCCAGTAATGCGACTACGAAACTACGAACTATACCTGATTTTGGTTCATTTATCATTTCCATTCTAATTAAAAACGCAGATTTAATTTCAAATTTGTCAAAGAATACTTAAAAAATTCAAAATATGTGGCCTATGAATCTTTCAGCCACATATTTTATATATTAATTTTGATAGTCATACTGATCACCAGCTTTCTTTGTAGATCCTAATGGATTTTCCATTAATTCTATGATAAATTTCTTTAGCGGTTATGAGTTATGATGCATTTAGTAATATAGGCATTTTTTTTGTTTAGGTTACGCTTTGAACAATTACATGGTACTAAAGAAAAGAGGGAGGAAATTATACAAAGATGTTTAGCAGCTGAACCACATCATGGAGAACTATGGTGTTCAGTATCAAAGAATATTAAAAACGTTGGTTGGAATACAGAGCAGATATTGATTGCAGTAGCTAAAGAAGTACCAATCCCAATTTAATTTCAATAAAACAATGGACTATAAAAAAATGACTTTATATATTCTTATTTTTACTATAGGATAACTTAAGAAATTATACTATTTTGTTAGAAAAGTTGAGCTTATGTAATAAAGCAGTTAAATGTTATGTAGAAACTATAATTGATAAATTGATTAAAGGTATTTGATAACATATTACTAAAAACCTATTTTGTCAATAGTTGCTATGGGGACACACCCATGTAATAAATATTAAAATAAACCATAACAAAAAAGTAGCACTTTCTAATCGTCACATTCTTCAATTTGTAGACTATTAATGATTTATATAACAATCACAATTCTATTTTTAACAATTTAGGCTCAAATAAACAATCCTCTCTTGTGTTACCCCTTATTAAACCAGACAGCATTTTCTTAAACCTCTTCACAATTGAAATAATAGATTTGAAGGCATCAATTGTCACCTCTGTTATGCCTTCTTTGCAAAGCAGCAGCTAAATCCTGTCTTAAAGCATCCTGTTGTCTGCTCTCAGTTAAGGGCTGAACCTAGATTTATTTATTTATTAGTGTAGGTATCTGTTTCAATGAGGAATTATTATACTTACTGATCTTAAGCTGTTTACTATGTCTTTAGTCTTGCTAAAATAGATCTCATTTAGTGTATTTCGAATTTTATTTTCCATGTCTTCGACCATTTTTCCTATATTAGCAATATGAGGATTATTTTCATTAACTGCAGCATCTTGCTCTGTCTAAAACAGTATTAGAAAATTCAGAATAGAATTTAAGGAAGATTGATTTTCCAACCTATTTTCTTAGTTCTCGGGGAACATTGTTAAAAATAAATTCTCAAGCATTTTCCAACAGGAAATATAATGCTTTTAAACATTTATAGCCATACCTGTCTAGTTAAACTTCCTCCTAGATTCATAGTACCAGATCCTGGTTTATTAGTTTGTAGCCATAACATAGCCGTAGATGTCATTTTATAATGAGAAGTACGACCAGAACTTTTTTCCTGAACCTCAACAACATGCAAAGAGTCCCAACATCCCTTAATTTTTTTACTGCCATCTCCAGTCTTCTTGATTAGAATAACACCTAAATCAATTCATGAGATGAGTACTTTTTTATAATTATTGACAAGTTTATTACCGGCAAATCCATGATCTAAATCCCAAAAATAAACTGAACTTACACCACCCTCAAAATACATTTCTCTATATAAATCAAAGGCATTATTGGCATCGAGTTCCAGTTTTCTTAATCTTTCAGAAGGCATTTGACCATCATCCAGTGGTGGATAATATGTATTGGACCATGGAGATCTAGAAAATAGTTGTTTGAATCTATGTGTATCATAAAAGACACTTTTTACTGTAACTGTATACAATATGTAACTGTAACTATATAAAATATGTTATGTGTAGTATACTAATCAATTTTGAAATTCATTTAGAATTAACTAATTATGTTTTCATGCATATTTGCTTTTATTTACTAAAAATAATTGGGATTCTACAATTTGATGTTTCAATAGCTTATCTGGTTATTAAATAATTATTACAACTTATCTATATCTAATAGAAATCTTTCTAAAATATTTACCTATTGACAACATAAATCTTTGAATAAGAAGACTAAGGAAGGAGCATAATGCTATCCATGTATTCATGCATGGTGGGCGGAAAAAGCGCCATAAAAGCACTCTAGGGTGGGGATCCTTGACAGTTCTGTTTGAGGATTCATTTGACACATTTGAATTTGATTTGAAATTTTGTGGATTTGTCAGTCTTTACGGAGCTTATTTTATGTTATTTATTATTTATTCTACTACTGATAGTTGTATAAAGGTAGTAAATCTAGATGGAAATTGTGGCAGCACTTAAATTAACACTGACACTATCGCGATTTATCGAAAGACTCTAAAATAGTTGGTTGTGTAGCGTGCGGTAGATCTCGGCAAAAATTGAGTGAAATAATGGAACAACTTTTCGCTAGTAAGTGACTATATAATATACATACGTGTAGTAAACCAATCATCTATGAAATTCACTTAAATGAACTAAATTATATATTTTTCTTGCATTTTAGCTTTTATTTATTACTTTTCAAAGATTAGATGTCAAAGAATTTAGATACGTTAATTTGACTTACCTGCTTCAGTAGCGTATCGGATGTTTGTGGTAATAAATACTTATTATAACTTATCTATTTTTATTAGAATTTTATATTTTTATAACAATTTTAATAACTACCAACATTAATTCACAACGTAAAATAAAACAACAAATTATTGAGTCTACTCCACGTCTACCCTACATCATAGTTTTACATTTTTTAAATAAAATTAGAACGACACTGATAAACCGGAATTTAAGTCGGCCATATTTGAGGCCCATCGCGGTGTACCTAAGATTTTTGATATGCTCCTTCCTTAGTCTTCTTATTCAAAGACATAAATCAAAAATAATAAATTATTGAATCTACCCTACATTTTAAATAAAATTAGAATGGCACTGATAAACTGAATTATTATAAACGGAATTTAAGTTTGCCATATTAATCTCCCATTGGGCTCCACTTAAGTTTGTTGATATGCTTCTTCCTTAATCTTTTTATTCAAAGGTGAACTAATCTGAGAACAATCAAAACAAATATATTACACACCTGTATGAATCACCATCTCTGTTGTAGTCACACAATAAATAATCTTTTCCGTTTTGGTTATCTTTAGCAATTTTTAAAGGCTGATCAACAGATGATAACAAATCCTCACACAAGCTGGGAACTAAATCTATAAGATCACTTAGATTTTTCTCTATTTGTTGGGGTGGCAATCTCCTCATAAGGTCTAATGCACAGTCAAATTTGTCTCCCTATAACATTCAAATATTCATTAATAGAGATAAGCATGTAATAATATACTGAATTTTTATTAGTTCTCATTAAAATATAATAGTTAAAATGGGTGTGACACAATATTTTTAAAGATAAATCAAATGAGTTATTGATAGAAAAAATAGAAATTAATAAATTATTAGTGGGTAATATACTTGCCATTTTAGTTTCTTTTCTCTATATATAAGTTTTAATAAATTATAATTATTTATATTTATTATATCCTATAATAATAATTCTAGCGGTTGACGTTGATGTGTATTTATATTTCAGCCACAGAACATAGAATTGTGTTTGTCCTTGTTTGTCAAATATGAAGTTACTGACGTGACAGTTTTCAATAAGCAACTCTTGTTCTGTAGCTCACAGAATGCTGTAGCCAGAGGTGTTAATCTAAGGCCAGAGGCTGTAGGCAGGGTTCGGAAGTAGTTAATTAACGTAATTTACCTGATTAACTACGTGTAGTTTTTCTTCAAAAACTACGTCTTTTTCCGTTCATTAACTACATGAAAACTACGTTAATAAACTATGTATTGATATTATGAATAATTTTCCTTTGTATGAGGTGTAATAGAGATAATATGATGTAAATATTATATTTAAAACCATATTTCTCCTGTTTTCTTAAATACATTATGTGTTTTTAAAGCTTCAACTTATTATAACCTCACCTCAAACCTTTGACATTTGAAAGTTACATACATAATTTACATAAACTACATTAACTACATGTAATGTAGTTTATGTAGTTTTTCAAAGTAACATGTAGTTTTCTGAACCCTGGCTGTAGGCTGTAGCTTTCATATGTATATGACAGCCTTATGACAGTTAACAAAATCCATATAGGTATTAAAGTGTATTATGAATTGAACTAATTATGATAGAAATCACAGACCTGCTTCAGATGAATCCTGTTTCGGTATCATTTCGGTATTGATTAACACTCTGTTAACAGGCCGGATAGTCCGTCAAAGCCTTCGTGGCCTTGTCATGATAGTGTGTAGATAGTGTTAGTGGTCGAGAACTATCGATAATTATCGATAGTCGGTCCTTTGACCATCGATCATTATCGATAGTGTTCGATAGTCATAATAATTGGTGAGTTTACCAGTTTTTAGGTTATTTTTTAAATAAATTATGTTTTGTGGGAGATCATTGACCTAAAAAACTAACCCAGACTCTTTAAATAACATTTTTATATTAAATCACCGCCTGCAAATGGAATGGACACATCACACATCACATACGTTTTTTTTATATTTTGATTTATGTTTATTATTGTTTATCACATATATATTAAATTGCAAAATGCAAAGCAAAAATGCCAGATTAGGTTCAAAATTCCGTTGGCCGTAAGCTTGAAGTTGACGTTTGACGTTAAAGTTGACACTTGACAGTTAACGTTGACAGTGTTGACACGACATTTGATAATTTGGACAATAATGACATATTGCGGATTGACTAACTGCTCCGAAAACTCGTTTAAAAGAAGATTCTTATTTATTTTCAGCCTATGTTAAAGAACCGATTGGTTGTGATAAAAAAAATTAAACCTGAATGTCTTTTCTTTATTGAAACTGGTAAATAGTAATAAAGACATAATTATCGAAAACTATCGATGGTCAGAAATATAATATCGATAGTTTTCGATAGTATAAACTATCGATAAATATCGATAGGCTATCGATAGTTCTCGATCACTAGATAGTGTGTATTATTAGTTGCCTATGGTAAACTTATAAAAATAACAGCTGAGAAATTTTGAGTTAATTATTTTGTCAATTTTAAATGTGAAAAAGGTGTCTTTAAAGTTTTTAGAGCTATAGAGTGTATAAATACGTTCATTTTGTGTTGTGGATTGTGACAAAGTGCATACTAAGTGCCCACGATTTTGTTTATTAATTATTTTAAAGCAAAATATGGAAGTACTCTAAAAAGAAAGTTGCAAAAGGTGATGCTAGGAACTGCTGTTCTTAAAAATGCATTATCCGAGTATTTAATACGATTTATACAGTTAATTTTCTATACTGCATACATGTAAGGTGTTTAAATAAATAAACTAAATAATGAACGTTTTGCATTCGGTAACCAATAATGCACGTGTGTGTATTATTGGTTGCCGGATAAGGACTAATAACCATAACAAGGGCTACAATGACGTCACAAAGCGAGTAGTTTTCGCATGCACCTGGCGGCATGCCTGGCGGACACTTTTGGCTGAATGAGCAGTCCTATTAGGTTAACTGTTCTTGGGATAGTCCTAGTAGCTTAAGCCTTTAAAAAAAATATGGTTGGCAACATTGCCAGTCATACCGGTCAAATGTCAGTAAAGGAAAAAAGAGAACCCAGAGATATAGAGGGAGAAATGATGAGGAGTCAGGGTTCGAAAAACTACATGTTACTTTTAAAAACTACATAAACTACATTAATGTAGTTTATGTAGAGGGTGTAGTTTATGTAACCTATATACAGTACATCTGCTGGATATGTGTCTATGAAAGGAATGCGGACAAAAAACATTTAAATAAACAGCAATATATTTTATACGTCGATATGACGAGTGCGTCAACGCAAATCGCTCCGCCCACTCATTTTATTGGCTACTTGCAAATTTGTTGAATTTTTATTGATGGGACGCGTCGTCTATTTTTTTACGAAAAACATCGAGAGAATATCGTTTCCCCTCTCACGGATACCCCGTAGCTACAGAACGGACAGACGTACTGTATGTAACTTTCAAATATCAAAGGTTTGAGGTGAGTTTATAATATATAATAAGTTGAAGCTTTAAAAACACATAATGTATTTAAGAAAACAGAAGAAATATGGCTTTAAATATAATATTTACATCATAATAATATTATCTCTATCACTACACCTCATACAAAGGAAAATTATTCATAATATCAATACATAGTTTATTAACGTAGTTTTCATGTAGTTAATGAATGGGAAAAGACGTAGATTTTGAGGATAAACTACACGTAGTTAATCAGGTAAATTACGTCTTAATTAACTACTTCCGAACCTTGTGTATAACTCGGTTATTTACGGGATTCGCCGATGGTGGCAGCACTAGCGGAGAACGCACATAGAACGCACCAAGCCTATAGAACTTGCAAGAACATGAAAACTATTATACCATGATTAGAATTTTGAGCGCACACTCACGCTCATTTTATTTCTATACCGCTGAGAGAACCTTTTATACAATAAAGTTACAAAATTAACGATCTTGACCAATCAGATTGTGGCGATTGTGGTATGGGTTTTCATTCGGGGTATTAATTGCTTTTATTAATAAAAACAATGATATATTACGTTCGCAAATTTTTAAAACAGCTCAAAAAATTCACCTAAACAAAACCTCTAAAGCTCTAACCATTATTACGATTTTCGTGGGTTTCGTGTGGAAATTGTAAAGGCACATTAAATTAACAAAATTTATTTACAAAAGGAAACACTACACTATTTAATAACAATTAATAAACTAGAACTAGTATCTATCTGTACAATTATTTATGCCAGATGAATTTAAATCTTCCAGCCCGCGTAACAACATTCGCGATGCTCTTATAACTCTGTCGCATTTCACAGCGATTGTAGTATTTACCTATTGAGAGGAGGCGCTTGCTCGTTAGAGAAAAGTATAATCTCTTTGAAGAAGTGTAATATTTCTTTGAAGGTAAATCCTTAAAAAGTAAAATATTTTTTTGAAGACAAATCCTTGTACTTCTATTATACAGGGTGGTCCGAATTGTACTCGTGAAAGTATATTCTGCAGATAAAAATAAGTTCATATAAATTTATATCTTAACCTTATATAAAAACTTATCTTAAACCAATGACTAAAGAATATAAGGATATGTAAAGCCCATATACGGGCTGCAGCAGAATTTGTGACCTTAGACACCATTCTTTTGATGGTAAACAAAGTCATCATTTCACCAGCGACAATTTTTGCGATTTTTAATAGTTTGTGTGTAGTGAACTTTGTATAAACTTTATTACAATGGTGATTAGTTGCTCAGCTTTCAAGTGTAAAAGCAGCAGCGATAAGAAAGAGCCTGGAGTTACGTTGCATAGGTAAATAAACAGTCCGCTCCACCTTCTTAGCATTTTCTTAGTTTTCTTATCGAATTCGATAATTATTTTTCTGATATTATATGTAGTTGATTTGTCCCATACGTCGATACTAGTTTTGTACCTTTTGTTAACATTTTAATACGTTTTTTTCGTAATTAATTAGTATGATACCACAGAATGATACCAACGTATACACCATATGCGTAGTCAAAACATTTATCAAAAAATATAAATATCTCTTCAAAGAGCTAGGTTAAGAAAAATATGTGCCACGGTACTGTTTGGTGACATCGTCACAATTTGCTCTTGGGTGTTATTTGTCCTTGGATTCTTTAATCATTGTCTTAAACCTTTGAATAAGTCTTACGGTTCATATAAATTTATATCTTAAAATTATTTGTTTCAGAGATACAGGGTGTAGAAGTTTTATTTTTATTTCGATTTTTTCCAAATAATTTCTAAACTATAGTCAATATTTGCATGGAAATTGCTGTCAAGGTGTTTTTTTAGTATGAGAAATTCGATTTCGATGTCAGTATGACTACTTGTAGGGGGCGCCACCTGCATATTTTTAGCTGTTTTGAAGGGTAATAACTTTTCGTCTGCACCTGTATTACACTGAGTAAAAAAATATATGTACATTTCTCTATTTTTTTACGTAGAATGTAAGATGAGTGAGAGGGGGGGGGTAATCACTGCGACCTTAAAGATCTATTTGTGTCCCTATTTGTGTCCCCCTTCCATGACTATTTCCATTTCAAATATCTTGAAAACGGTTGTTCGGAGCGATTTTTACCACGTTTCTTACATAAAAAAAACGGAAATATATATTTTTACTCAGTAGTTTTATACAGGTACGGACGAAAAGTTATTACTCTTCAAATCAGTTAAAACCATGTAGGTGGCGTCCCCTTATAAGTAGGAGCCATATTTACATCGAAATCAAATTTACCATGCTAAAGGAACATTCAGGCTGGGAGCGTCGAGCGTCGCGTCGCGTTTGCGTCGCGTCCTCTTCGTCACGAAATGGAATCAATTCCTTTAACTTAAATTAGACCGTTCAGGCAGAGAGCGTCGCGTTCGACGTTGCGCGAGCGTCGAGTTCAATCTGAATTGTTTTTCGGCGAGATTTCTAGCGTTCAGTCATTCAGTGGTTGTCATAGCGTCTGAGCAGCACACAGAGGTGCTAATTGCCGAAATACAGGCAAGACCAGCACTGTGGAATGGAAAATTACGTAAATATAAAAATAGAAATCTGCCTGATCGATTACTGAAGAAATACCTAAATTTCTAGGTATTTCTAGAAGTATTTTTTACAGTACGAGTAAATATATGAGAGCTTTCGAAATTTCTTTGTATGGGTTTTGTATACCCGCTAAAAGTATCACAATTGAAAAAGATCAATTAGAGTCGTTTTTAATTCTCCCTTGGCTGGTATTAACTAATGGATTTGTTTTTACTTATTGTAATATATTAAAATCACAGATAACACATAATCCAGATGGCTCCTTACATGTTAAAAATTGTCACCCTAATTTCACTCCAATTTGGAAAAATATTGGAGTGACGTTTGAATAATCTGAAATTTTTAGATTTCTTTTCTCACTTTTTTGGGAGGTTTTGCTTCTCTTGCACAGATGTCGCGTGGTTGCCAAACGTTATATCGAAATATATTTCAATTCATTATGAATATATATATAAAATAAAAGGTATACCAAATTAAAAATTATGTAATTTATAAACATGAAATTAATTTAACATATCTAGTTAAATTAATATATAAATATTTAACTTAATACGTTCATTATTATTTTAATTTATCGTCACACGTCATTTACCAGTTGCCTAATTACGAAAAGTTTCATATGACATTAACCTCAAAAATGATCTTTGAAAAAAAACAACAAACAGAGCAAACAGAGCAACAAATGAACAAATAACTACATAATGACTGATAATGATAAGTGATAATAATAACTTTAATGATATAAAGGCTGATGAAGGTAATTGTAAACATTATTTGGAGTTTGTTTAATAAAATATAGGATACAATATAACTAAGCAAAATCAAACAGTTTTAGACAACCAATACAAGATTTAGAACTTGACATCGTGATAAACAAATTGTACATTCAGGAACTCGTTTAAATATTATAGGTAAGTAATATTTTCACAAAACTAAACATTTTAGCATAAAATCACAGGTAATATATAGAATATTACCTGTGATAAAATGTTAATACTGATGTATATTTATTCTAATCACATTTAAATTTAAACTCAAAATTTTCATAAAAAGAAAATGATAATTTTTCGTAAATATAAAGTAAATAGTATTACATATTTCAGGTTGATTGACAAATACTCTACAGTTGATTAGAGCCCATGATGATGCGAAGATAATTAATATCACCTAACTTCAAGAAACCAGTGTAAAGAAGTTTACATTCACAACTCATCTAACCATTATAGGTAATAATTTACAAAATTAGTCATTTTTGATGATAATATTAAGGTACTTAGGTACATTTTTATCTTCTAGATCAGTAGTGTCGTCATAGTTTAAATGAACTCACAGATAGCAATGGGGCACTGCACCGAAGCAGTATTACAAAATATGTGAAATAAAACTGTAATACAAATTGCTCTATAAAATTTAATAGAAATAAATTTATTTATGAAATTAAGTTATGAAGTTTTATTTTTCCTAGGAAAAAAATAACATTTATATTTTGATCAATTTAGAACATTACAGTTAAAAAAATATGTGTTAGAATAACATATTTTTAATAAAATTGCAGCTTTTAATTTTTATACTTTTTTGCTTTTATATCAATAAGAACTAACGTAAGGAACAATTCATATTTATACTATGAAAACACATGCATATTTTTTGATGTTTTTAAAACCAGTGAATGATGTTGAAATATACTACACCTATTATTCTTATTAACTAACTTTAATTACAAACTTACACATTATTGTCATTGGAAATAAATTAATTTGGATATTCTATTTGTTTAGAAACTTTTTTACCTATTGTAGTTTTTTTAAAACCTACTTGATTTAAAACAAAAAAATGTCACCTGTTGTGACAAAATAAGGTCTTTTTTACTAGAAAACAATCTAGTGAGCTTTTCTAATAATACTTTATTTGATATACCATATGATCGAAAAAACGGCGTCAGCGATGGCTATGAAATGAAGATCGCTGTCATTTTAAATGTAAATTTATATGGGAAATGTCATCGATTGTCATTTCCCAGCCAAATGGACGCCGTTTTTTTTTCGATCATGCGGTATAATATGTATTCCCATCTGTTAATCTTTTTATTTTAAGGAAGATTTAGGAAGGGTAGCTTAAAACATGTATGTCAATCAATTATCTTTATATGTCGTTTGTAAAAATATTTTACAGTAGTAGAAAATAAAACTGTTTTTAAGGCGAACAGCTTCTTTGCTAAAATATTTTTTGGTCCCAATACATAGTGATTTACATTTTTTTTTAACTTCGAATAATGAATTTAATGGAAAAATTGCAAGTCATAAAAACGTTCTAAATATACAAATCTATCCATTTTTTCCAGATCGTTGCTCCAGTTTTTTGTCAAATTAACGAATATTAGAAATAGTTTATTTCAACCTCTTCAGCTTATTTTAAAAATGTTGACAAATAACAAAGAATACACCCCTTAAAGTTTCGCATTTGTCTTGATATACTCTGTATAAGACAACAGTAAATAACTTGTAATATAACTTCGAAATATAAATTTGAAATTAAAATAATGATTTGTTATAGTGATTTACGTTTTATTAATTTTGATTTTTTTTTCTTAAATTTAATTTAAAAGTGATTTACGTTATTTATTAATTGAAACGTTTAAAATTTGAATATACGTTCAAAATTTTTTTTTACAATAAATTTGTTTATGATAAATAATTTTATAATAAAAATATGACCGAATTTCCTGGAAAGTTTGCCAAATTTGTACATATGAAAACCTAGCTTTACCACTTATCACAGAAAATCTCTATTCCTTCCCTTATCACAGAATAATACAGGAACGAACCATATGCGACAAGGATAGAATATTTAGATATGTCGTTACTGTTTTTTGTTTTTAATGGATATTTTAAAAGCCGGGTAATATATGGTAATCTGTGATGGTAATATACTATATACCTTTGACTGTCTTTGATTACAACTGTGTGATTAGTGATAATTATTATTAAAATATCTGGTAATAAGTGTCAATTTTACAATTGTAGATTTCTCGGAAATCAGGTGTACATGTGTTTAAGTTTCATGCGTCAAGAGATCCTAATTTATGTACAAAGTGGATAGAAAATTGTGAGTTCATTCATATAGAATTTTTTTGCACATTTTGTATGTAAAAATACGGCGTTAAGTTACCTTAGAAATGGTGATCGATGGCTTTTACCATATACCGTATGATCGAAAAAAAAACGGCGTCAGCGATGGCTATGAAATGAAGATCGCTGTCATTTGATATGTAAAATTATATGGGGAATGTCATCGATCGTCATTTCCAAACCAATCGGACGCCGTTTTTTTTTCGATCGTAGGGTATAATTTAACACATTAAGAGTTGTCCATCGTTATATTTCTATATCTATGCAAAGTTTACGATGGATAAATCAAGTAATATTAAGTGGATACAAATTATAAATGAATCAGTGAATATAAACTGTTATAAATTATAAGTAGGTAATGCAGTTAGTGAATATACCGTACGATAGAAAAAAAAGGCATGGGAGTGGGCTTGGAAATGAAGATCGCTGTCGTTTAATAGGTATGTAAAATTATATGATAAATCTTATCGATTGTCACTTCCAAATCAACATGACATGCATCTGTACATCATTAATCTCACGACTAGAGTTTCCTGAAATCCCGAACTCCCAGGATCCCGGCGGCGTGTATGTTTATCTCCGAAATCCCGATATTAAATTCCGGGATCCCGAAAATCCCATAAAATTTAAATGTCCAATCTAAAATGATTCGACTTTATACACCTTTCAAAGATCAACAAAACAAAGTAAAATTCATATTTAGTAAGTAAAAAAATGCAGTTTCAGACAATAGTTTGGTTTGGTTTGGTCGAGTTTTGTTAACACTGTCTAGTCTGGGCTTTTTTATTTGATATATGTTAATCAAATAAAAGAGCCCAGACTAGATAAAATCAGGAACTAACTAATAGAATCATATCAATTCTCTCTGATGTAGGATAAGTTTCTATTTTCGGAAAATTTCTTAGATTTTTTTTTGTTTCAACTGACGAACTGACACAAAATGATAACTAGTTGCTAAAGTTGAACTAATTTGACAGCTATGTTGAAGTAACGTCAGACATATCACAGCCACCCTAGATTTTATCAAATAATAAAGATCTATTCACACTAAATCATAGAAATGAAAATATCTAGGAAAATCTTTGTTTGAGGGGTAGGCCGGCAACTTTAATAGTATTTGGAAGTGACATGAATTTCCCATTGAATATCGGAATAATATTCTGGGTGATTCAATTAAACTAAAGGAGTTATACAGGGTGGGTAATAAAGGAGTTATACAGGTTATACCAATGTTCAGCATTAATTTTGCCCCACCCTGTATAACTTTATGGGTCAGGGTTTAATTTGATTTAAAGTGCAATAGAGTAAATTCCAATTTAGGTAGTTTTTCTTGAAATTTAAAAATTGTTCTTCAAAATCTTAAGTAAGTCTAAAACCTTACATTTCAGTCATATACTTCCCTAATAAAATACACCTTTATTTTTCTCTTAGAATCTAAAAATTAATTAATAAAGGGGGTATTCCGTTACAAAAAAACACAAATTTGATGTGTAACTTTTTTTGGGGACACCCTGTAGAACGCTCTATATTTTTAAAACGTGCGCAGAATTAACTTACATATGCTCACAAAATTTCATTTTAATACGAACTGGTCGTTCTCCTTGGAGCCTCCGAGTCGTATGAGAGGCGCCACCCTGTATAATTTTTATATAGTTGCACTTTAATAAATTGTTAGTTAAAACTAACAGTCCTACGAGTGTGGAATTTTGTACAGGTGGATTTTGGACATTTATCTCCTAAGAGAGTGAAATAAGGGATGAAAATTTGTACAACATTTGTTAAAATCGGGTTTAGAAGTATGAAATTTTGTTTGTTCCTTATGTAACGTAATTTAGCAACAACAAGCAATTTTTTTCAGAACGTCCACACCTCATTTCACCCCGTTAGAGGGCGAATTTCCAAAAATTGTTCCTGAGTGCTAAATTACGTTACATAAGGAACGTCTGCGCAAAATTTCATACTTCCAAAACCGATTTTAATGAATTTTTGTACAAATTTTCATCCCTTAATTCTTATGGGGCGAATGCCTAAAATTCGCTTCTGAGTACTCACTTTCATCACTTGAGGAACCTCTGTGCAAATTTTCATACTTCTAGGACAGATTTTTTTCAGAAAGTTCACCCCTCATTTCACCCCCTTAGAGGGAAAATTTCGAAAAATTGCTTCTTAGTGCTAAATTACCTTATATAAGGAACGTCTGCGAACAATTTTATACTTCTAAAACCGATTTTAACAAATTTTTGTACATATTTTCATCCCTTATTTCTTAAGGGATGAATGCCCAAAATTCGCTTCTGAGTATAACTTTCATCACTTGATGAACCTCTGTGCAAATTTTCATACTTCTAGGACAGATTTTTTTTCAGAACGTTCACCCTTCATTTCACCCCCTTAGAGGGAAAATTTCCTAAAATTGCCTCTTAGTGCTAAATTAAGTTACATAAGGAACGTCTACGCAGAATTTCATACTTCTAAAACCGATTTTAACAAATTTTTATACCAATTTTCATCCCTTATTTCTTAGGGGATGAATGTCCAAAATTCGTTTCTGAGTACTCACTTTCGTCACTTAATTAACAATTTCCAAATTTCAAACTCCTCGGACTAATTTTAAAAAAGTATGCAAAATTTCACCCCCAGTTTCACCCCTTAGTAGAAGAATTTCCTAAAATCGCTTTGTATAATCGAACTGTTAAGTTACGCTACTTAAGGCACCTCTGTGCAAAATTTCGTAGTCCTAGGACATGCTTTTTTTTGTATACAAAAGTACCCCCCATATCACCCCCTTAACGAGCGAATTTCCAAAAATTGCCCCTTAGTGTTCAATTACGTCAGTCAAGGAGCACTCGTGAAAAATTTCATACTCTTAAACCAGATTTTAACAAATTTTTATGCAGCTTTTCATCCCTAATTTCACCCCCTTAGCGGTCGAATTTTCAAAAAATCCCTTCTTAGTGCTCATTTACATCACTTAAGGAACCTATGTGCCAAATTTTATTTATTACTATATAGATAACCTTTACCCTTATTTTCAGCTAATGAATATTAAGAGACAAATAATAAAAATAAAATCTAAATTATAAATTCATGGCTATAAATAGCATATATATGCATCTAGAAATTCTGACTTTCAAACATCCACTGCGACTAGTATTTTCATATCCAATTGTCTAGTATTAAAGTCCGAATATACATTTTCCCTGGGTTTGACCGGGAATTTGCTTATAAATGTGAACAACCGGCTACGTCGCTTCACATCGCGTGGCCGTGGTGTGGCTCCAAATTCGTTCGTTTTAAAAATATTATTAGATTTGGCTATAGGCGCCCTCTGTGTCATTAATAGGGAACTAACTGTCTCATCGAAAACATGCTGTTCCGTTCCGGCCATCTGGATTATATGTTATCTGTGTTAAAATATCAATTTTGATTAAATCTTAAAATGAAAGTTATTAGTTTGTAAAATGTGAATATTTTTGTAGATTAAAGGAATTTGGTCTGGCTAGTTTTTATCTATTTTATCTAAGGTTTTTATATGTACTATCTATTTATATATATATATATATATATATATATATATATATATATATATATATATATATATATATATATATTATATATATTTATATTAAATTATATATATTAAACCAGAATAAAGGCTTCTAATTGTCAAATCTACTTCTCATTTGGCCTTCGTTGTGTTAATGCCTATAAATATAAATTCTTAAATCTATTAATTAGTTTAACGAAATAATAATAAATTACATAAAACCTAAGTATTTTAATCTAAGTAACTATTAATAATCTAAGTAATTTGAATATAAAATATGGTGTTTCCAATAACATTAGACAAACTGCTCTCCTTGAAGCCATTTTACAAACTGAAACCCTAAAAAACAAGCTTGCATATTATGACGCTGCGCTGACGCTCCCAGCCTGAACGATCGGACGCGCCGCTGTCAGCCTGAATGTACCTTAAGAAACACCCAGATAGCAATTTTCATCCAAATATCGACGGTAGTCCAGAAATAATATGGTAAACCCGAAATAACAATAAAACTTCTACACCCTGTATCTCCGAAACGAAGCATTTTAGGACATAAATTTATACGAACTTTTTTACTTATTTTTATCTCCAGAATACGCTGGTGAAGTTTCCCGAGTACAATTCGAACCACCTTGTATACATATACATATAAAAAAAATTTAGCCTTACTTTTAGTTTTTATTTGGGTATGTGTAAATTTTCTATTTTCCTCTTTTTACTTTTTCCTTCATACTTCATTGTTTCCATTATACTACTCTTTAGTTTGAGAATCCCAGCTAAAAAGGTAATAAACTTCTCCTTACTTAGACTTTTGCTAAAATTTACTATATCGGCCATGGTCGCCTATAAAATATTTAAACTATATTAATCTCAAATTTAAATCAAAATCTTCGTCTGATTACATCTCTCATTTTTTCAAAATCAATTGGTTCATTACAATCTTGTCTATTTATATTAATTAATACTCTCTTTGGGGTACACTTGAATGTGTCGCTTTGAGAAGAAGTAACAGGAGAAATTACTGTTAATTTGGGACTTGTACGACTAGTTGAAGTTAAGTTACTTAAAGATGTTTCTAATGGCGGAGCAACTAAAATAAAAATGGTATGCTAAAAACTGCAACAAAAGCAGGTAAATATTTCTCAAATTATTAATAATGTAATCTTACCTTCCTCGACAACTTCAACATTATTTGAGATTGTATCTAATTTCTCAATCTGTGATGGAACACCTAAAATAATAAAAAAATATATAAAATACTTTTATTAAGCATATCAATATTATATTTTGACAATTAATTCGTATTCATGCATATTATGTTAAGATATTAGCTCCGAGCCGAGGATATTTCGACTAGAACAAAACACTTGTTCCATGGACAAAAAATTAAAGGAATAAGCAAGCTATATAAAAAACAGGTACCGTATGATCGAAAAAAAAGGCGTCAAGTTGGTTTGGTAAATAACATCGATGACATTCTCTACATAATTTTACATATAGCATGACAGCGATCTTCATTTCATAGCCATCGCTGAAGCTGTTTTGTTTTCGATCATATTGTATATATTATATATTATAAAAGATATTATACTGTGCTTGGTGGGCAATGACTATAGTTTGCAGGTAAAAAAAAAGGTCCAAGCCATTGCTGACGCCGTTTTTTTTTTAATTGTATGGTGCCTTGTTAATGACAAGTATTTTTTAGAGTTTTTGCTACAGTTTATGAACTAGTTAATAAACCACAATTTTACTGAGGCTTTTGTAATATGATTTCCAGTAGAAAAAAAAACATTCTAAAAACCATAATAAAGGTGCAGAGAGGCTTTCAATTTCTCAGCAAAGTAGCTGAGGTCTAAATGGAAAATTTGAAATCAAAATAGACCTATACATAGATTGATCATGGTTACTAAAAAGTAAAAACTCTCTATTAAGTGGAATTGTTTTTCTACCTACTAATTATAATCAGCTTTGCTTATTTCGGTTTGTCTAATTAACATTATTTTACCTTCTAGATATAAAGTGGGTACAGCAGTAAATTTCAAATTTGTTCTGTTTCTAACCATTGCAAACTTTGAATCCTCTGAAAAGTGAATATCACATATCCTGAAATTATGCCGTTTTCTATCGCTCACATTTATTAAATCTATTCGATTTAATGCTTGGCACCAGATTCTTCTTATCTATAAAAACAATACTTATTATATTATTTTATTTTAACAAAAAAAATATTTTTTTTAAGTAGTATAAAATAACAGAGTAGAATATTTACTAAAACAGAATAATGGAAAAACTACACTTTAGTAGAATTGTTAAAATGAAATTTTAAGACAAACTTTTAATTGAAATAGACTGAATTAAGATATACCTAATAACATAAAAATTGAGTATAGATAGATTCTTACCTCAGAGTCTTTTGGTAGGCAATGTGTTTTCACATCTTTGCTAGTATTTCTACAGCCAGGAACACCACAACAGAATACCATTTTGAACAAATATATTGGGAATTTACACTAAAGAATCACGATATACCCACAGGGGAACTGTTTACATTTTATGCGAATGCCAACATCCTATTGTTATTGTTTGGTATGTTGCCCAGTATTTCTCCGCTTTTGTTTATTTTTAATTTTGTATACGTATACTTTGGGGAAATCTTAAGAAAATAATAATATAATTAGCTTACTACTTTTCAAAATTTCGACATTTATATCCCGGATATTATAACCATAGAAATTATAACCTGTTATCACTGTTATCTGTCTATGACCGTTATTAGAGCTGTTATGAACATATTATCCCTTTCCTTGTTTATATATTAATAGATGGATTAATAGACTTGTGTCTAGCCCTAGCAGGCAACTGTTAAGCCCGACCAATCACGTTAGAGTTTTTGACAAACACAAATGAATTAACACACTCCAAATAACCACGCTAACCAACCTGATTGGTCAAGCTTAATAGTTGACTGCTAGGACTAGACACTTCTGAATTTAGAAACGAATATGACTTTTTTTCCTTTTTTCTTGTCACAGTTGAAACAAACAAGGATAAAGCTATTTTCGTAAAACATGCGTGAAACGTGCTAATAAGTAGCCCAATAGATGTGACCTCGCGCCCTTCCATTTTTGAACGATGGGCGGGTTTAACGCATGGTATGCATGGTACAAAGAATACAAGGTATCATCGATAGCGGCTCCAATTTCGTTCAGTTCGCGCTACCTCTACACTCCATAGTTCGCGCATACCACCTGTGACGTCACTATGAAAATAATGAATAAATAAAAAATAAAGAAAGTTGACAGATCTGCATTTTTTGGGGTTATGGTTAAGAATTGTTTATTTTTAAGACTTTTTAGTTCATTTAATTTAATAATTACTAAAACCAGCAGTTCCAAAAATATATTTAAAAATAATAATTACCTATTAACATGGATTTGGTCGATAATAGGTAAGAATACTAAATTTATTTCTATATTCGGTATAAAATTCTTTATTAGGTTTTTAGTTTGCGATGTTATGGTAAATAATTTTCATGTTCATTGCCTCTGAATTCACATGAGGACAGAGATGAGGTTATCTATGGAAAAGTAACCACAAGAGGAATTATTACATCATTTAAAAAATGTTGGGAAGTTTATTGTTTCCCATCGAAAAGTAGAAAATGCCAATGCAGATGAACGTATTGTAATTATGATAGAAGTAATTCCAAGGGTGAAGTTTATTGTAATTAGTGACCTGTGCTTCTTTTTATATGTAGATGTTTCAGGTTTTGAGAATAAATTGGTTGAACGACACCCAAAATTTAGAGGAAGTATTTGCATACCCAGAATATGCCCATCGAGGATTATATTATAGCTCAAATTTCCTTTAATGGTAGACAATTATTCAATGCAAATTAGCTTTTTAAGTGACTGAAATATTAAATAGTTTACAATATGGTATATCACTAAAAATATATTACTTTTAGGTACAATTAGGGCCCGATACATTTCAAAAAGTAGATTATTTTATATTAAATGAGGTATTGTACCAACAATCAATTTATATTAATAACGGAGATTAAAAAATAACAGAATAAATAGTTCTTTTTTTATACTACAAAAAAAACTATAGAATACAACAGTATTTAAAAAAATAAATAAAAAGTTATGTCCCGGCCGAGATTCGAACTCCGGTCTCTCGCTTTCTAGCCCGACTCCTTACGCACTGCTCCACAGTAACTTGCTTAGCGATAATTCAATGACGGTATATAAACAAAAAAACAGGTTTATAACAATATCTTAACGATTTGAACTGGCGCGCGTAGCGTGCTGACCAATAGCGCCTGTTATCACCTGTGACGACTTTACCTGTGACGTAGCGACCAACCTGCGCAATATCATACCTTGTATTCTTTGTACCATGGGTTTAACGGATTCCCCTCTAAGAAAATCGTAGGGGAATACAAAAATGCAAAACGGGCAAGGCGCCATCTTAGAATACAGGATTTTACTAAGCCCTCATTGTATATCTATTTATACATAATCAAGGATATTATGTTGTGAACCTGTTGTAACATGGTTGTAACGTTATAACTATAACAAAGAGTAGATAAGACTGATAAGACAAATTGAATTTTATATTTTTTCATCCCAGGACCGATAGTAAAATATATATTTTATGCATACCTTCCTAAATATCAACGAGATGAGCCATCGGAAGAAACGGATCATAGTACAAAACAGAAAGGTGACCTTTTTTCTTTCCACTTAGGATATTAAAATTATATACTGTGTTATATACACAGGGGAACTGTTTACATTTTATGCGAATGCCAACCATAAAATAATAAATACAAGAAGAAGTGTCAAGTCAATGTTAAATTATGGAAACAGCGTGGCTGCCTGGGTAACTAATTTTCAGATATGGCGGCTGGGACATTTGACATGACAATTTCAATTTTATGAAATTTATTTCCGTTTCCGGTTTTTTTAATGGCGGGCTGTTCAGGAGGTTTAATGAGGGTTAATATACTTTTTACTTTTTCTAGTAGTAAATAATACAACAAAATTACTCAAAAATATTTATTTGGAATTTAGAACAATGTAAATATGCAAATCAACACAATTAAAGAGCTATAAACCCATAAACTACTGTATCAATATCAAAATATTTAAATAACATCAGAGATGCTGTGTTAAAGTGAAATAGTAAAGTAACAATGCACTGACTTACAGAAACTTGAAGATAAATAAATGTTTTCACAGCTTCACGGGCGTAAAACTAACTGGAAGCAAGAAAAAGACAACAGGAACCCACGCAAAACCTGGAATCAAAAAAAAAATATGTAAAAAAAACATAAATATAGGTACATAAGACTGTTGTGAATTAAATCAAACAGGACTTGAATGAAAATAAAATGAATAAAAAATATGATACACATATGATATACATGATATGATATACATCTAATACCTCATTTGTATTTTAAAAATAATCTACATACATAGATTTATAGCATTATTGCTATGAAAATACATAATAGGTACCTATGTGATATGTAATTACGCATTTCTCTTCATGTTGTAGAAAATTAATGTAGGCTAATAATAGTTCAATAATCATAATTTACCTTGTATAACTTGCTTTCAATTGCTCAAAATCACCGATCAGTCTTTAAAGTAGAGATACGGAAAAATCCTTGCCAAAGAATATCCCAAGATCCTTGGGTTTAAAGCTAAAAAAATATAAAAACAGTTAATATATTACCTATTTTTACATATATAATATGGCCCATACCTATTACACGCAGAAACGTCGATTTCATCATTTTCTTCATGTAATTAATATCATATATACTTTATTAAAGTGTTAACAAGGAACTTTATATCAAAAAACATCTTTGTACTTATAAATTTCAGCCGAAATATCATAAACAAACTTCCAATCAAATCTAAACGGCAAAAATTAAAATGGCGCTCGACCTTGCCAGAGGCCTCGGGAGGACCGCGGCTGACACACAGACAGACAAAAGAAGAGGACGCCGACGCATAAAATGTTCCGTAACTGAAATTGACAGAAATCATATAGAAATATTCAGATTTTTGTCTAGGACAGTCTAGAAGGCCATGCTTTCTGCCTGGGTAAGACCGCGCCAGAACTGTTTCCAATTTTCCGGTTTACTGTCACCCCCCTGATGCCAACATCCTATTGTTATTGTTTGTTATGTTGCCAAGTATTTGTCAAAGCCTTTGTTTATTTTTAATTTTGTATACGTATATTTACTTTGTTTATTTTTAATTTTGTATACTTTGAGGAAATCTTAAGAAAATAATAATATAATTAGAGCTTACTACATTTGAAAATTTCGATATTTATAATTTTATTTAGTACTTAATATGATTCAAGTCAAAGATTACAAGAAATATTTGTAAATTTCGTCATTTTTACATCAACCGTTATGATTAATTTTTAATCTGGCAACGCCGCTCTGTTGTTATAGTATTTTCTATAGTAGGGGCAAGGATATATAGAATAAGAATATTCGACTGGCCCAAAAAAAACGTGCCGTATTTTGTCGAGGAAGTTGATTTCGTCACGACCAAAGAGCGTCGAGTATTTGAAATTGAAAACATATAAATTGACGGTAACCTATGTATTTTGACTCAACACACTTGAAAGGCACCGACGTTCAGTGAAATTTCTGATTTGTATCTGTTCTGTGGTTATAACTTCTCATAACCTTAACCGTGAGGGTGCAGCCACACTATCCTAAAAACGGCGTATCGGCGTAGCGGCGTAATGACCTTGGATAGATTTCCAGTAATTCTATTGGCTGAAACATTCATCTGTCAGAAATTTTATCTGTCAAATTCATCTGTCAAAAATTTCAGCCAATAGAATTACTGGAAATCGATTCAAGGTCGTTACGTCGTTACGCCGATATGCCGTTTTTAGGATAGTGTGGCTGCACCCTGAAGCCCCGTTCTCAGAACTGCGTCGTGTCGACAGCGACACTGATTGACACTTCAAACGACCAATGGGAGCTGTACTAAATTTAAAATTGACAGATGTTTGAATTTTGTACAAATTTCATTGGTTCTTTTCATAGACTTAGAATAAAATATAGACTGAGCATCTGCATTCATAAATAGCTTGAAGATGCGGACAGACAACGTCTTGTTATTGTTGTGTTATTGTTTTTTGGCTCTAACGAGTGCGACACGAGCGATAGATAGGCTGTCTCCGTCGTAACGGTCGTTTCCTGACGGCTCTGCCGCCCAACGCAACACTGTCTTTTGTTTCTTCAGTGCACCTGCACTCTCCGTATCATAGGCGGGTATTTTTTTTAATTTTAATGAAGCTATAATTCAATTAAAAATATATCGTATTTAAACTTTTTTTTATATTATTAAGATTTAGGATAAAGAAAATAGTTTAATATAAAGCAAAGTTTAGGACTTAGAAAAAATACGTCTTAGAGTCTAAAAACGATAAAAAATAATAAAGTACGTGTTATAGAAGAAATTTTAATAATCGAAATTATTTAATTTTATGAATTATATAGGGTAGGTGCTTACAATACATTTATACGAACTTTTTTACTTATTTTTATCTGCAGAATACGCTACCGAAGTTTCCGGAAAACAGTTCGGACCACCCTGTATATTAACATAAACAATCCTGAAGCGTTATCGTTAAACGATAAAGCTTGTTTATACACATTTGAGATTTCAGAGTCCAATGCTTTTGTCTGGCAACACTGTCAGCATTTTTAGTCGTGGGAATCCTGTAGTCGGCAGTTCCATTATCGTTCTGTACCCTACCGATTTATCGGCAAATCTACCGATTTTCAACCGATATACTGATTTTCTTAATATTAAAGAAAAATGGTGATGTCGATTGATTTCGGTCGTTTTACATCTTGCCTTTACATTGGATTTGTTAGGGAATTTGTGACGAGAATTACTCTCTCAATAGAATGACATATCATATGTCAACATTTGACATTTTCACTTAAATGAAAATCGTATTTTAAATTTCAATCTAGAGTGCCGTGGCTGTGTTAAACATACTAACTTTTAATCAAGGAGCCTTGAAAAATTAGATTTGATCGTTTAATGTTTTTCGTACATTAAAGCTTGCCGGTTAAAAAATTCCCTAATCGTAATCTTTAATCATATCTCAATTTTTTTCAAATGGAACAAGGGTGGCTCATTAGTATATTTGGAAAAAGTATTTTTTAATATAATTTTGTACCACACACTTGGCATTTCGAGTCAAATTGTCGTTATGAACCGCATGTTACAATTTCAATTTAACCATATTCGAAAATATCAAAAGTTGACATATGATACGTCATTCTAATCAGAGTGTCATTTTCTATCGAATAAAGTAAAAAAATATCGAGGGTGTCGTTTAAAAATCAAAAGTTGTAGTCATTTCTTGTGAAACAGGAAGTGACCAAAAACAATTGAATGCGTCACTCAGTCCTAATTTATGTCATATACTAACATACCAAATCTCGTTTCTTTATCTGAAGAAATAAAAAAGTTATAGGGGGTGAGCCACTTTTGAGACGAACCCGGTATATTTTACCATCATCTGCTTTCAATACAAAATTAGATTCAACAATGAATAACCTACATTTATATTTTTTTAAGTGAAACTTTACGAGCTGCGCAGAGATATACAGATAGTCTAAACACTAACATGGCGCCCATGTAGGCATAACAAGATTTTTGGATGCGCACTCGTCGAAGCTCATTCTCCTTATGTCTAGATGTCTATATCTCTGGTGCTGCATGACGATTCGATCTCGATTTAAATGAATCGATTCTATATAAAATCGGTCTTGTAATAATCGATTCAAAAAATCGTGAATCGCATGTCAAAAGATCGATTTTCTGAAGAATCGATTCAAATCGAACATCCCTAATTCGAAACTACCGATTTTTTATTTTTGAGATTGGCAACGCTGTCCTGTCACCTGTGCCGAGGTTCGTGGTTCTGTACTTCCTGTGTGTACTTCACTCTAGAGGTGGGAAAAAATCGATTCCACGGTAGATCGATTTTTCGATTATAAATTTAAATATTAATCGATTTATCGATTTAAAAAATCGGTGTGATTAAAAAACCGATTTTTATTTTTTTTTAAATAAATGTATCTAAACATTAATTATATTTAATATATTTTATTAATAAAAAATCATTCAAGTTACAAAACAAGATCTATGGTATGGTATTACACTATTTACTACAAAAATAAACATAATACAAAACATTAAAAAAAAACATTAGTTCTTTGTTCCTCCTGTAGAGGTAGAGATCACATAGATAAATATTGCTTTAAAAACTTAAAAATTTTTGGTTCTTGTTTACAAAAATCATTTTATTTACATTTTTTGACTTTAATCGACTTCGTTTGGTTGAAATTATTATGCCTGCCTGTGAAAAAACCCTCTCAGAGGGTACTGACGTTGCAGGAATACATAAATACTTTAGAGCCAAAGTATCTAAATATTTGTAAGGTGAAGTTTTCCAATACTTTAATATGTCGGCAGCCATATTCACTGGAGGAATTTCAAGATACTGACGTACAAGAATTATGGATTCAGATAATGGATTTATTAAGATTGCTTTTTCAGTCCTTTCTTTCAAAAAGCTAAAAATACTTTGGCTAGTCACAGTAGCTAAAAGCAAAAGAAAACTGAGATAAAATCAATTGTTGAAAATGTTGTATTAGGTGTAAGCTTACGTGATTTATTACTGGATTCCTCTACCTCTACCTTTGCCATTGGGGCAGCTTCAAAACTTTCAGCAGCAGCATGGCTTCCAGAATTAATAATTCTAACCACTTCACGTTTTAAAGACTCATGCCCTTCATTTGCATTTTCTTGCAGCCTAAACCCTAGTTTTTTAACCCTGGGATCTAATAATGCTGCAAGTTGTACAGAGTTGCGGGATTCATAAGGGAATAGACGCTTGACAATAGACACTTTCAAGGCTTCGACAAGTGTCTTACATACTTGGGTTTCAATTCCTATTCCAATTTCAGTTAATTGCTTATGTATACCTAATGAAATAGGTATAATTAATGAAGCTGTTGGATATTTGTCCCCAGATATTTGCTCTGTTGCAAATTGAAAAATTGATAAAATTGTTACAGCTTCCTTTATTATATTTATTTCATTTAAATTCAAAGCTGCAGGGGCATTTGCACATTTGGTCAAGGCTAAAACTATACAATCTCCTGAAAATAAAATATAAATAATTAAACAAATATACTTTAAAACACATTTTGTAATACCTATTTCAAGAATCCTTTGTAACATGATAAGAATGCTATTCCAGCGTGTCACTATATCCTTAAGCAGTTTTAGCTCTGGAACACATCTTTTTTTCTGTTCTTCTCGCAAAATATTCATAGCCACATTGCTTCTCTTAAAGAATGTGACAATTTCCCCTACTTTACTGACAATATCTTTAAATTCAATCACTTCATTAATGGAGTCTGTAACCACCAAATTTAAAGTGTGGGCAAAACATGGTAAGTGGGTAATTTGTAGAAGCGAGCACGCTAACTTTTCTGATGCAGCATTATCTGTCACTATACAAATTACTTTGCGTAGTATATTAAACCTAGCTGAAACCTCTTAAAAAGCATGTAGTTATTAGGAGGAGAGATAGTAATAGCAAATAAAACATATAGTAAGTCCCTTGGCCCCCAGTTCCACCCATTTTTTATGCTTATATAATATCTAAGTATACAGTGTATACTTAGTACCAAGATATATATTGGTATTGTATACTTGTTGCCAAGTATACAATACCCCGTAAATAAAAATATAAAACTTACTGGTGATATGTTCTTTAATGTTTTGTGCTGTGTGTCTTCCCTGTAATTCTGATGTATCTAACACTGCTGACTCATTTTTATCTTTATATATAAAGTGACAAGTTATTGTGCAATATGATTCCGTGTTTGCTGATGAAGTCCAAAGATCTGTCGTTAAACTTACATATTTAACCTCAGACAATATTTCCATTAATTTATTAAAAGTTTTGTCAAATATCTCCCCATTAAGAAGATTTTTAATTGTCTTTCTAGATGGGACAACATATCTAGGATCCATAATATTCATTAGCTTTCTAAAGCCCGTGTCTTCCACAAACGAGTAAGGCTGTAAATCGGTTGCAACCATCAGTGCCACTTGCTCATCAATCTCTTTTTTTCGAGTACTGCAATTCTTGTAACTGGCAACCTTAACAAAATTATCTAGTCTTGGCTGACTCTTAAACCTTTTAGACTGGCTGTCACTCGTATTAGGGTCTTCTTTATCATCTTTTTCTTTTGTCATTATTTCTTGGTGAGATCTTTTTAAGTGGTTAATTAAATTGGAGGTATTTCCACAAGTCCGGTATTCTTTCTTGCAAATAAGGCAAGTAGCAATGTCTGTTGTCCTTGACTTTTCAAAATATTCCCATGTAAAACTCTTCTTATTAACACTCATAATTCATAATATAAATTTTTGTAGTTTAATTAATTTTAAATGTTTAGATCAACCAAAAGAAAAAATAAAGTCTCCCGCCGGTCCGCCCGCTCTGTCATCAATGTCAACCGTCAACCGTCAGCGAAACTATGAAATAGACCTGAGAAATAGACCGACTTTTTGTAATCGACTTCGCATTTTTGCAACAATTTTTCTTTATAGTAGAGGAATAAAATCGAATTATCGATTAATCGATTAAAAGATTAAAAAATATCGATTTGTCGATACTCACGTAAAAATCGATTAATCGATTTTTAAAATCGATTCTTTCCCATCTCTACTTCACTCTTCACTCTTCATTCTTCAATACATTTCTGGTGTAATCGATAAATAAATTGCGTCTACAACCAATCCTACCTACGTTTTAGTTTTTTATTTGTGATTAATTTCTGGCCCAGTCAGCTTGATTTGAACGATATCTTTAAAAATAACCAGTTTAATTTGCTCTCCGTTAGGTTATATTAGTGATTGAGTTTGATTTGTATTATTACATTGAATCTCCATAAAAATGGTAAGTTTTTTGTATTACGTCTAAATTTCTGTATACAGGGTGATCCGAACTGTATTTACCCCGAAATCTACGGCATCATATTCTGCAGATAATACAAAATGTATTTCTCAAAGTGCTTTTTATTGTATTCCGACTCCAACTTTTTTCATATTATATCATTCAAAGGTAGCCATATTTAGTGCTTTTTGAATTATACAACTGTGATGAACGCAACGAGATGAATTTTCAAAGTATAAGCAGCCTCTAGGATAAATTTTACATATCCGTTGTAGCAGGCTGAATTCATAATTTATTACCATAAAGATATAATTCTCGTCAAGATATCTGGTGGTGTAGGGGATAAGGCTCTCGTCTAGCAACACGAAGGTAGCCGGTTCGAGTCGTGCCGCCGACACGACTTTTTTTATTTAATAAATAATTATTTTGACCTTGAAGCCCTGAGCTGCACTCGGCCCGCTATAGATGGCAGCAAAAATTTTGTTCGCTTTTTTATTACATTGACTGATCGTTCTGTAGTTATTCTGTGTCAGTCTTTCTTGGACATTTGCCGCGGAAGTGTGTGTTAATTTCTGTTGTGATAAGTGTGGTTGTGTTTACAGTTTGATTTTTCGGTTTTGATATTATGTTAAAATTAATTTTGAAGTATTGTATCACCTGGTTTTATGTAATAGTACTTTTTTTAGTTCTATGATTGTTTCTATGTTATGATTTGTTAATGTTTGTTTAACAATGTTATACCAAAGAGGTTATACTTAATATACTTATCAATTTGCATAGCCTAACTTTTTTATCAATAAACTTTGTAGATTTTCAGATTATTTAATTCCTTTTGTTTCCGTTTGTAATTTTATTTTTAAGACATATTATGTGATTGTTTCACATAATATGTTTTAAAAATAAAATTGCAAATAGCGAAAAAAAATAATTAAAATAAAAAAGTGTATTTTACAATTCCCCCCGGCCCCGCACCCCTTTGGCTAACCTATAATGTCAGCTATGTCGAGAGATGGCGTTACGAAAATGGAACCGATTTATTACAAGGAACTTGGGCTTCTTTTTCGTTAGTATATTCTGTGCTAGCGACTCGTGGGAACACTATGACATAGAGAAAGTTAATAGTTTAGAGAGTGGTGAATCGCGTGGTAAAATGTTGGGAGATTGCGCTTTTAGCGCCCTCTACTTGGCTACAGGTACGAACTATGAAAGAGCGGGAGATTTAAATTATTATTATACTTATTATTTTTAAGGCAATTAAAACTAAGAGTGCCCTTAACCAAAAACAGTGATATAAATGGAGATACCTACTCAAATTTTTTATATTATCATGATACTAAAGGATATAAATACAGCATTTATAATCCTTTTACACCTTTTTATTCAAAGTCTTACACGCTAATATAAAATTTGACTATCTCCATTTATTTCACTATTTTTGGTTAAGGGCACTCTTAATTTTAATTTTCCTTTTTTTATGGGAAAACGATTAAATGGGAAGAATTGAATGGGAATGGAAAGAATGACCAATTATTGTATTTTGTATTAATTTATAATACCCCTATTCTACTAAATATCTAGCTACATTGTACTTACAGTTAAATAGCTACATTGTACTAGTTATATCCATATTTACAGTTTTATGATGGCTATTATTTTATTTCAACGTGCTACCAATTGATTCGCTCCGACTTGAGTACTTACTATACCTCGAGATGGCTCCAGGAATTATTTATCTTACAGGCCTAGAATATGAAGATTCACAGTAGAATTTTTGGTTTTACTGCCTATTAGAAACAAACCTACCCCCCTACATCACGGGACATATAATTATGCCTTGTTCTCGGCCATGATATTCCTTCCATTCTATATCCAACATCCAACTTAGCAGACAGCAGACCTTCTGGTTCACAACAGGGCCTAGACTGGCCGGATGATATTTTAACAGAATAGCCCTTGATATCTCTTTCACACTTTCATTTAATAATTAAATAGGAGGGCTGGATGGTATAATTTCTAGAAAGAATAGCCTGTGAAATAAAAACTTCTGCGTGGACATTATCTTTCTTACCTTTGTCTGCTATTTTTTAATAAAAAACAACTGTTTAGTTTGCACAAAAATAAAATTAACAATCAAACATTTCTTAAAAGATGATCAAACCTTGTACTACGCCGTGTGCCGGTTTTTGAACAAACAACAAACAAAAGAATGAGGTTAGCGGCGTTGCCAATGTCAATTTTCTAAACTACCCAAAAATCTAAATTAAATTCGCCAATTTGGGGAGAAAAATGTCCCGATTTACCAAAAATTCCCCATATGATTATTTTAACAAAAAAAAATTAATTTTAATAAAAATACAATATTTATTATATATGTTAGAGGGATTAAACTGTAAATTACCTCCTTGTTTTTTAATCCCTTTCCTAGTAGTCCTTAAATAATTTGAGGTCACTAAATTTTCTTTCAACTGAAGCATTTGCAAAGGGAAGCACAAGTAAAAGCAGATTATAATTTTAAGTTGGGAAAGATATATCGTCCTGCCTGCTTTTTAAAGCTAAAAATTTTACGCCATTTTCAATCAGCAATAAAATGTTGAAACTCCCTTATTTTCGCCCCCTATTACTAAAAATTCCCACAAAAACTCCCAATCGGCTCCGATTCCCTAAAATTTGGGGAATTCCCCACAAATTGGCAACGCTGGAGGTTAGCGTGTTCTTTCTGAATATGCTAAGACTAACGGACTAGTGTCGAAACACAGATAGCTAGATGGACGTATTTCGGCACTTGCGTCGATGCGCTACAGGTACATTTGCCTGCGCGTCGTATGCACAGTACACTAATTAAAAATAGTAAGGAAAGTACGGCTTCCCGCCAAAACCATATTATGCTAGATTACAGCCATCAGAGGCGCTAGTGGCGGACCATAACCTTTCTTTTTTCCCGCTAGAGGCGCAGCGATCGAACTAAAATTACCGCCACTTAATTTTCAAATACTCTGGCCCAATAAGAATAAAGAACGTAATTTAAACTTCCTGTTCCTCCACCTTTGCCTCATTGTCTTTAGAAAGTAGAAAGATTAGAAAGTGCAGTGCTGCCAGGTCTGGTGAAATTTCACCAGATCTGGTGATTTTCGACCCCACTTGGTGAAATGGTGAAAATTTTTTGAAAAAGCCTTTTTTCTGATGATTTTTGGACACTGGCTTTTATTAAACAAAAAACACTATTATATTATGAGTTTACATTCAAAACGTAACAATGGTTATTGTAAAAAATAGAACAAATATACCTATTAAACTAAGTTTCAGGTAGAAAAATTAATTAACTTGAGAATTGACTTGAAACTTGACTTTTTTACATGGCTATACCGGGTGCGTCTCAAAAGTGGCTCACCTCTATAACTTTTACTTTTTCAGTTAAAAAAACGAGATTTGGTATGTTAGTATACGACATAAATTAGGATTGATTGACGCATTCAACTGTTTTCGGTCACTTCCTGTTTCACCGGAAATTACTACAACTTTTGATTTTAAATGGCACCCTCGGCATTTTTTTTACTTCATTCGATAGAAAATAACACTCTGAATAGAATTACATATCATGTGTCAACTTTTGACATTTTCACATATGGTTTATTTGAAATTATAACTTGCGGTTCGTAAAGAAAATTTGACTCGAAATACCAAGTGTGGGTATAAAATTATTCGTAAAAAATGATTTTTCCAAATATGCTAATGAGCCATTCTAGTTCCATTTAAAAATTGAGATATGATTAAATATACGATTTGAGCATTTTCACGATCAAATCTATTTTTCCAAGGTCCTTAATTAAGAATTATTGTTTTTAACATAGCCATGGCATTCTAGATTGAGTTTTAAAATATGATTTTTTATTAAGCGAGAATGTCAAAACTTGACATATAATATGTCATTCTATTCAGAGTGTCATTTTCTATCGAATAAAGTACCGAAGGATGCCATTACGAAACGTAATACGAAAATACCGAGGATGCCATTTAAAAACCAAAAATTGTAGTCATTTCCGGTGAAACAGGAACTGACCAAAAACAATTGAATACGTTAATCCAATCTTAATTTTGTCATACACTAACATACCAAATCTCGTTTTTTTTATCTGAAAAAATAAAAAAGTTTTTATAGGGGTAAGCCATTTTGAGACCAGTATATTTGCATTTTGCATTTCAAAAATATATTTTTTTTTAATAAAACGTGTTTTAAAACTATTTATTTGGTTCTTTTTTAAATATTGTCTGTAACTACTGTATTATACGCGAAAAAATTAAAATCTGGTGATTTTTTTCCAAATCTGGCAACTTTTAGAGCAGATATCTGGTGATTTTTAATATTATGACCTGGCAGCACTGAGAAAGTGTTTGGTTTGGTCTGGTTTGGAAGTTGAACAATTCTTTCGGCGTTCGGGAAAATCTTGGTAAAATCAATATATTTAATCGATTTTTTTTATTGTGCAAAATGTTTACTATTTTTATTGTGTTTTTCTGTGTTTGTATTTAATTTTAAATTATTTCCTATCCAGAATAATGGATTTTTCGGAAGCTAAAAAAACCCGTGTCCGACCATGCTGCGTTTCTGGATGTAAAAATCGGAATAGCAAAAGACATCGATTTCCTAAAAAATTTGTAAATACGTTTAAAGTTTGGGTGGATATAATAATGCCATCAGGATATGATGTATTATCTATAGATGATATTTATAATAAATTTGTGGTATGTGAAGAACATT